GTGTCAGATTACCAAAAGTGTCCGGATTACCGAAAATAATTACATATTTCGCATTGTTTTGCTAGCAGTAACTTACAATATTCTCTACTCCAACTGTTCGAACAGAACTGCTCACATAAAACACACGAAATGTGTGTCATCGAGTAAGAATTGGATGGGGAGATTCACATCACGACATGCTTCTGTGCAAGCAGACACGTAACGGGGACGGGTACCTTGACGGGAGGTGCGTCGGACTACTGAGCATGTCGGATTAAAAAACGTCGGACTATAGAGGGACAACTGTACTCACAAAAAATTCAGGAGGTTGGTTGCCCGAATTCGATCCTGGGTACCCAAAGCGGCATACTGACGCTTGGTTTGGTTTTATTCGATTATGGAAACGTGACACACTCCCAAGAGGTTTTTTGTGGAAAACTGGCTCCTATTTAGGTGTTACTAACGTGAAGAAATCTGGAAAAACTCCACATGGCTTACTCTTTTGCAAGGCACGAACGCTAGACTAACTATCAGTGTTCAGTGGTTTTATCCACTTAGCCACTGGTGGGTGCAGACTGACGCCTTAAGAATCTTAGCCAGCTGTCATTTAATTAACTTCCTAGGGTCGTTCGCTCAGACTCGATCCCTGATCCCTCAAACTTGATCTTAATTTTAAAAGCGAATGAGGCTTGGAAAAAACTTTCTTTTCTGTTTTTTTTAAATAATCCAGATCAGACACTAAAGTTGCAAAAAATTGACTAATTTAATTAACGAACTGTATAAGTACCAATATACAATATTTTGAAACGTTATATTTTAAAATTTGCAAAAGAAATCTAAAATTTTAAAAATTGGACATGTTACTTTCTTTTTTACAACTCCACTCTATGTAGCATTAGATGGTCTTTTTACCATCATGGTTTGGCTAGGCTCATAATGGGGAAGACAGATAGTGGGATACCAGGTCCTACAAATCCAAGACAGACTGCCTATGGAAAATCACAGATTCCTGACCTGGACTAAGACCCAAGTACCCAGAACAGCAGATCGATGCCTTTATCACTTTGGCCATTCAGTGATCAATATTTTTGACTTAGTATTTGATACTGGAATTAAGTTAAATACACAAAAGCTACATAATATAGACTAAAGGTTTATTGGCAATTTAATTAGCCAAAATGTAGCTTGATAATAAATCTAGCTGATTTTTGATTAGTAATATGATTTGGGCTTGGTTATATAATTTACTAAGACCTAAATTATGGAAAGATATTATTTATAATTATAACAAAATAAAGGGTATAATGAACATATTAGCTAATACACAGTATTCTTTCTCTAGAAAAAATTACTACTGTATGCATATAATGGTGACTGAATATATAGAATTGTTTTACTGAGCAACTACCAGTACTTTGTTTTGGCTACTAATACTTCTGATACTTTTCAATGCTATTTGCCTGTAAGACCTATTGGCATGTTTCAGCTGAAAAGTAGCCCTGCAAATACATACAAATATAATTAGAATACATAAATAATAAAATTTATTTTCTTATTGCTAGCTTTCAAAATTTTCATACATCAATAATTCTGTAATTGATTTTAAAATATAATTGTTGAAGTTCAAAAACTGAAATGACATTGAATTATATATTTATAAATTTAAATGCATTATCAAAAATTATACAAGTTAAAAAAAATTTTTTTAATAATTTGTATATCCATTTCTTCATTATCTATATATATATTTGGTTTTTGCATTTAATTTTGATGTGTTTTTCAATTGATTTAGAAATCATCTAAATTTCCAAATAATAATACTGTATGAAAAAACATTACCTTGACAAATATTTTTTATTGTATGCTATTTTATATTATTTTAATTATTATTAAAATATAATCATACATAATTATATACTAAATTTATATACAAAATCTTTACAAATAAGGCTGCCATCCTGGATAAAGTTGACATAAATTTCGAGTGTCTTGAGCCTGTTGGATTAGCATATTGACCTGTCCATTTACATTCATTGGTATGGTATCTTCTATACCTTTCAGTTTTTGTTGAAGTCGCATCAATGCATGTTCTGCCATTTTATTAACTTCTTTACAGTTTTGACGAATATCACTTTTTAGAAATGCTAGTGAATAAGTTTCACTATTATCAACATGCACATTTTCTCGATTATGATGAAGAGCAGCAGCGTACTGTGGTGAAATTGTCCAAACATAAAGAGGATCATATAAGAACACACTTAAAATTGTCAATAATATTTCTTGGGAATTTCTCAGAACTTCTAAAGTCTTTTCTGCACATCTTTTAAAAATTCCTTCTGTACCACATATTCCCATACCATCTACTATATCACGTGTTAATCTGAATGGAACAGTTTCTGGTGTTGTTAACATTTTTCCTTGTTCAAATGCAATACCAAAATCAATATGTATAATTTCTGCAGTATTTATATCAATTAAAATATTATTAACATGGCGGTCTCCTATGCCAAGCATATAGCCCACTATTGAACTAGTTGCCACACTTTGTGTATATGTGAGTCGTCTCTCAAACCAGACTGAAGGTTCTGGAAAATGTTCCAAGAAAAAGTAGCGAAAAACTGGATAAAAGTTTTTACAAATAGTCTGAAATGTATCTTCTTTAACATCTACTGGGCTTGCCATAACATCTTTCATAGCATTAAAACACTGTTTTGCTGTCTTATTTTCAGGAAAATATCTTTTATGAGCACCACCTATAAGATTTGCTCCACCCACAAGATAATTACCTAAAGGCATTGTGCCTTCACACCATTGGATGATTCCACTGCGGCGAGATAATGGAACAACTTTGTAAGTACGAATTTTTAGTTTCCTTTTCTTAGTTGATCTGTTATTTTGAAGAAGAAGATTGACAAGAGTAAATACTTGCTGCATAACAGCATCTTGTCTTAAATCATCTGAACCTTTCACAAGCTGTTCATACTTTTTTCCATTGGTACCAATACAAGAAATCACTTTAGGAACATTAATACCTCCACATATCTTAAATGTGGAATTGAATGATTTTATTCCTATTATATCATCATAATTACAGTCACGATTAACTTTAATTTCTTCAGTTAAAACAGGAACCTTTATAAAGTTTTTTATTTGTAAAATTGGATGTTCCTCTGGTATACTGTTGTTTGATGATTTTGGAGATTGTACAGCTAGATTGGCCAATTTGATATATGCTGAGAAAACAACTTGCATTTCAGATATAAGATGCATCAGTTTAGAAGTTTTCAATTTTGTTATCATTTCTTTAGCTACTTCAACACGTTCCTCTTTAACTGTTAAATTATTAGATTCATCATTTTTCAAAGTATCTGCTCCTGCATTCTGTAATGCAAAAATAACTGGAAGACCATGATAAGGGTGGTCTATAACAATTCTTTGAATTAATTCAAACAACAATAAAGAGAAGTCTGTTTCATTTCTTCTTGGTTTACACATTCTTGCTGCAAGTTGATACATCAAAGGTAAAAACTTATAAGTTTGGATGTAATGAATATTATTTTTCATAAAATTGTTTAATTTTTCATTTGAATGATTTTGAAACCATAAACTAATTAATTGGAATATACGTAAATCATGACAATTAGTTCCTTTCAGACATTTCATATAATTTTCAACAGCCTTATGTAAAAATTCAAGTTTATCTTTTTGTAGCATTTCAATTTCTTTTTCTTCAATTTTTATCTGTTTCACCATTACATTTATATACTTTTTGTCATCACGATTTAAATTATTTGTCATTTTTTTCAGTTTATCTATTTCTTGATATGAACGTTTCACAAATTCTTTTTTATCCTGATAAATTGAAGATTTGAAGTAATTTGTTATTCGTTGATATTGTATATCAGCATAACGAGCAATTGACAAATAAGCATCCCATAAAACAGGACATTCACCAAATACTTCAGATTGTAATACATCAACAGCCTTTTCAAAATAGTGTTTTAGAATATTTGTAGCATTTTCAGAACAAGTATCAGAAAGCCACTGTCCATTTAACATTAGAGCTTTTGCTTTAAGTTCAGATGTTGCATATCCAGAGCACTTTTCTGTTAATTGTAATAAATTATTTAACTTTTGCTTTGCAACAGAATATTCACTTTTTACCCAGTGTAATTTTGCATCTTCAATTTTCCATTGATAAAACTGATCATCCTGAGCTGTTAATGTCTCTAAAATACACAGAGCTCGTCTTCCAGTCTCAGGATATTCACCTTCTAAAGACTTCTGAGTATATTTATGGAGGAAATTTATCAAGTTCTCTTTAGCTTTACTTTCAAAACTATTATTGTAATGTTCTTTTAGTAAAACATTCTGCAACCACAAAACAGGTTCAATAAATTCAAAACTACTATATGGCAAATTTTCATCCTCATGCCATTTTGCTATTAATGATGTAAATTTTTCATTTTTCCATAGTATATTTGAATAATCTTGTACTATATTCAACATTTTTAATTTACATAACTCAGGATACACACTACGAGCTGACTCAAGATTGAGCTGCTGAAAATTTTTTACAACAGCATAACATCCTGAGTTTAAATTTTCTTCAAAACTATCCTGATCTTTAGATAATAAAGAAGTCAAGCTTTTATATAAAGATTGATTAAATCCCACATCAATATTATTTAAATCTGAAATATTCCATTGACTTAATCTCCAAGCACATTCATTTTGATATTCTATTAATTCTTCAGATATTTCATTACCTTTATCAATAATGCTGTCAATATATATTTTCATAATATTAAATAATCCAAAATTCTTCATTGCTTTTAAAATATTAGATTTATCAGATGATTCAGATAAATAAATATCTTCAAGAGAGAGTAATCTATCCCATTGCTTTTCTTGTATGTAATAATTTATCTGACTAGATGCACCATTTATATCTAAATTCTGACAACCATATTCACCATCAGCTTCTCCAATACAATTATAAGCTTTTCTAAGAAGTTTATGAGCCAAAACAGCATTTTCTGGATCAGAATGACTTACTGCTAACATCACAGGACTATCTGGACTTTCAGGACTTTTAGGATTTTCAATATTAAATTCAAAAGAATTTGATCTTTTTTCTCTCATTCTTGTATCAAACCATATCTCTATATATAAAAGAGAAGTGAATGGTGCAAAGCAATATTGTGCAGCTTGTGCAATGTGTAAGTAGTTAATATCTAACCAAAACTGATTATCCCAGGCAGTTGAATTTGAATAATTGAATTTTTGATTACATCTCAGATGATGAATAATATTCAGCATAATTTGTACAGATGATTTGCATAGATAAGCTGATAAAATTTGATCAGAACTTGTTGGAATTGACTGTTGCCACAACAATGGCTTTTGGCATTTTATATGATTACAATGTTTAACAAAAAACATTTTGATCTGAGATGATATTATGTTGCTTATATCATCATTCTTTTGCAACAAAATTAAATGAATGAGATAAGGTAAGATTTTTTCACAGAATCTAACTTCAATAGTACAAATAGGTACAAGTTGTTGTATTACTTCATCTTCACTAATATTTGCATTAAGCAAACTTGTAACTAATTGTTTTATCCATTCCTTGTAAGTAATATTATCAGGACTCCATAAAGATTCATCCTTAATCTTATTAACAAACTCATTATTTGGAACAGGAGATACTTTTATAAAAGATGTTTTCTTATCAAAAAATGGATGAATATATAAATGTATATTTCCAACATTACTTCTTTTGTAAAATAAAAAAAAGTCTCTTCCAGATTTAGTTCTTAATATATTTTTTAACACTTCACTTGCTGCAAATACTACATCAATCTCTTTATCTTGTAGAAAATCATTTAAAAGATTAAATATCACAAAATAACATTTATATTGTATTTTTGTATTATTAAAATAATTAATCATTTTTGTTTCCTCTTGAAAATAAACACTTGGTTGTAATATAATTGAAGATAAATCAATAGGACCAAGTTCTCCTAAACATCTAACTGCCAATTTTTTAATCTCAGATTTTTCACAATTGCATAAACGAATTAAAGTACATATTAATTTATGCAAAATATTCATGCCTGTATCTTCTATAATATGATGTCTTTCTTGCAAATTATTAATTAACACTTGCAATTCCTTTTTTCTAATTATAATTTCATTTAATAAATGAATTAATCCTTCAACTGTAAAGTTTGTCTCACTATTAGAATGAGAAATTAAAAAGTGTGAAATTTTATCTTCTAATGTATATACATTTTTCTTAAGAAGAAGATTTTCATGATGTTTTTTAATTTCTTGAAATACTTCTTTATTTGGAAAAGGATCCAAAGAGAGAATTTCTTTTTCCAAATATTCAGAATTTTCGATCAATAGGAATGTTAATATGGATAAAGCCTTTTCTTTAATTTTTATTGAATATTCTATATAAGAACTAACTATGTACACAATTCTAGAAAGTTGTCCAGCTATAACTTCTGCAAATGATGGAAAACACTGATGGCATAGATTATTTACAAGATCGAAGCAGGTAAGTAATACTTCTTCAACCTCAGTTTCAATTATTTTAGACTTTTGACTATCCAAAAAGTGCATCATGCTAACAATTAGATCTCTTATCACAAATAATGAATTTCCATCTAATCCACTTTGTAATTCTGGCACTAGTAGATCAAAGAATAAACTGTACATTATAAAAGCACGTCTCTTTTCATGAATTCTATGAGCCCTCGATAATGTACTACGCAAGAATAACAGTATTTTTTGTATTCCATCATGTTTTCGAGATAATAATCCAACAAGAGACTGGCTTCTATCTGTACACCAATTCTTCATCAGATAATGCACAGTTGTTTGTAGCATGTTAACTGGAAAACTAAAAGGATTGGTAGTTGAGTTTTTAGAAGAAAACTCTTCACAATTTAAATCAGTTTCTTCAACTGAATTTAAAAGACATATAATAATCTCTTCCAATTTTTTCTCTACAACATTTTCAATGACTGCACTTGTTAATGTTTCTTCAAGAAAACAATGATTTTTATAAGCTTGACTTTGTCTATCTTCATTGAGAACAACTTTTGAAGTGGCATTAGCAAACCATGGTAAAATTTGAGCAAGTAACTTAGGTAAACATTCAGTAAGAATATCAATCCAACTGTGGTTTATTTCATTTCCAAGATTTTGAATTGCTGAAATATCATGATGATAGAAAAGAACTGATGTTAATGTAACATAATGCTTTTTATAAAAATCTGTCAATGTCTGACATTTCAATAATAGAAATGGGAAATCTACTAATTTGTATTTTTGTTTTGTCCATTCATTTATAATATATGGTAAGTGAAATTCCATAAGTTCTGATTCTGATTTAATTTTTAAAATTTTTGATACTTGAGTTAAAGATTTCATAACATAATCAATAACAATATTTTTTTCCTTCAAACTTTGACAAAGAGCAAATATAGCTAACTTTTCACAATATGGGCTAGAAATGATAATGTATGATAAGCTTAATAACAGTGTAAAACTTTTATTATTAATTTCATCTATTTCAGCCAAGTTTTGACTGTTGTCTCGAACCTTTAATGACGAAATTACTATATAGTATATTTTCTCAAATGCAATTAACTGTAACGATGACTCAAATTTTTGTTTATTTTTTTGAAATAAATATTTTATAGTTATAGTTGCTAATTTCCTAATTTTATAATTTTTGTTACATAAAAATTTTATAAAATCATTAAAAAGAGGTCTTCTTTCATTAGTATCTTCAGACCAAAGTATTGTTTCTTCAAGTGGATCACATTCTAACAATTTAGCCATTGCTTGTAGTAGAACATAACTCACATTTCTGTTAATTTTTTTTTCAGTTTCCATTTTCCAAAAAGTTTTGATTAGATGAATTATCTTTTGCTTTAATTCGTTTATTTCACCAGAATTATTATTTGGAAACAAAAATGGAATTATAAGAATGATGATATTCAAAGATGCAATACTAATTTCCTGTTCTTTATGATGTTTGTTAAGAATATTCCTTAAACAGTTTACAACTGTAGTTAGTTCTGTAATATTGGGAGCATAATTCTTTAACAGAAAGTATTTCAAGATATTTAATGCCATGTCAGCATTCCATAGCTTGTTTCTGAAATTTTCGTCACACATATCAAACAATTTTTTAGTAATATCTTTAAATTTATCCAATGGTGCAATATCATTGTTTATAAAAGCAGCATAATCACACCAAGCAAATAACAACTTTACAGCAGTAGGAAAAATGTTTCTTTTAAATAAACTCTCATCACTTATTTCAGATGATGTATCTAATGTATCAACATCCATTACATCATCATCACATTTGTTTTTGTTTTCTGAACATATTGAAGTTGATGGAATTTCATCAAAATCATCATCACCATCATCATCATCATCTTCTTCTTCTTCATTTTGCTGTTTTGGTTGACATTTATCAATAAAAAGATCATTATTTACAGTATCTAACAGAAAACTTAAAAGTTGTGATGGAAATATAGAAATAATCCATTCAGAAAAATTTGCTCTACTATATTTGTTTACACTTTTATCTATATTAGCAGAAAATATACATTCCAAAGTAGTTAATGGACTATATATATCACTGAATCTTCTTGTTTTTTCAAATGTGTCAATAAGCTTTTTGACAGCTTTTTCAATCAAATTTTCAACTAATTTTCCGATTCCTGTTTGTGTGATAACTTCTATTGTAGGAATATCATACTCAAAAGCAATTTTTAGAATTTCAGTTATGAAATATGCTTTCATAAGAAGAATATTTGCATCAATAGACTGTGACTGAATAAACTGTTCCAATAATTCACTAGAAATTTTCATAATTATTTCTTGAATAGATTTCCAAACACTATAAATTACTTTTTTCTGTTTTCTTTCTGATATTTGATTATTTTCAGCATTACTAATTTCATTCCATTCGGAAAAAGAAAATTTATGAAATGTCATTTTTAAATATTCTTCTTCTAAATAATCAATCCATTTCCAATCTGTTATGCCAAACTGAGAAATATCTTGCTGTAAATTTCTGACATCAGTCTTATTTTGTAAGGATATTTCAATGAGTAACTGAGACAATAATGGAATTAAATCTGCAGATTGAAGATAAAAAGGGATTACAAATTTTTCATTCATCTGATCATCATTAATAGGAAAAAGCCACTCTAATATTTGATGTTGAAACCAACATTTATTATTATTGGAATCACTATCTTCTTTATTCAATGATATAGAATTCTGATTTGGAACAGAATAATTTTTAATGTATATCAACAAAGTTTGTAAAGAATCTTTAGATGGAATATTACCAGAACCTTTGGAAAATAAAGAAAACACTTCATTTTTTGGTATCACTAATTTCTTAATTAGCATAAGTTGTAGGAGTTTATGACTCTCTTCATGACAGTGATTTAAGCTAGCTGTCTTTATTGTTCTTTCCCATAACTGACTTGATACACAATGCAAGTTTTCTGCATTTATCTCATTATAATTTTTTTCTTTCCAATAACAATATGCCATCAGAGCAGCATGGCAACAATTTAACAACCATTGTTTTATTTCTAACTGTTTACAGGATAACTGAATCTGAAGTAATATCTCAAGCAGATTGATAAGATCTTCAGCATTCATTGAATCTGGATATTTTGTTAATAATCTAGATAATAACTGAAGTAATGGAATAACACTTCCTGTTGTAGAAACTTGTTGAAGTGAAGACACAATATATTGAATTCCGGCTTCTATGCATTGTTTCTTTGAAGCACTTTCTCCATCAAAAGTTCCAAATTGTGATACACATATATATGGTTGAGACAATGAAAAAATTTGATGATAAACTTCTACTGCTAAGATTACAAATTTTGGTTTTAAACTTAATTCTTTGTTAGAAGAATATTTATTTCTCACAGAAAAGTTAGTCAAATCAGAATTCAAAATATTATATAACTTTTTTAAATGATCTAACCATAAATCCCAATTATGTGCTAAAGCACCATCTTCTGCTTTAGTAGCACCACATGGATGATGTACAGCAATCTGATGTCTGAAAAATTCTAAAAGCATTTCTTTTATTTTATCATTAGGTTTACTATTCCATAAATGTAAAAGAGGAACAGAAACTTCTTCTCCAAGTTGGCAGAGTTGCTGCCTACAGTCCAAACTAAAACTGTAACATAACTTCATCAGAGAAGCTAATATCCCTTCTAGATACGCATTTGTTTTTTCTGATTTTATTGTTTTGAAATGGAGAGAAACAAAATCAAAAATAATTTTAGGGTCAAAATCATACAAACTTAAAGCCTTCTCAATTAAAATATGTAATGCTTGAGTTAATAAACATCTGTCCCAACCAGGAGGAGGATGCTGAATTAATTTTAAGTATTTTTGAATTAGAGAATGAAACATTTGAAAACTAATATCATTGCATTGCAGGTTAATTATTAATATATCTTTTATCAAGATATTTGTAGAATCCAAACCAAGCATCGAACACAAAAAGTCATCGTCAAGAACCGTATTAATGTGATTAATAAGACGTATAATATTTAATCTTGGTCCTCTCTGGTTAGCAACTTTAACAACGGTCTTAAAAAGACTAGAGCATACTAATTTTTCTTTATTCCAATTCATAATTATAAGTGCAGTTTGTTTGTTTCCAGAAGGATCCTTTCTCTGTAACCTATCTGCTTCTTCAAAAATATAATTTTGTATTGCTTTAAAAACACTATCCCATGTTATATTTTTCTTTTCTGAATGAGTATCACTTTTTCTTCTGTTATCTGTACTTTTATCCAAGAAAGTAATAATTTCGGATTTCGTAATTAGACTCTGCATCATCTCCGCATGCTTTTTTCTAACCGTCAGCTTGTCCGATTGTAAAAGTTTCATGCATTCTATTAGAGTTGTAACAGAACTTTTAGACATCTTTTAATTAAAATATTTTCCAGCACTTCAAATTAACTATAATTTTAAGAATACTGATTAAATGTACTCATGTCCATTTTTTTAAACTTTTAAATATGTCATCAATTCCGTTACGAATCAGTTTCCAACAAAACAAAATCGCATCATATAAAACTTCGCGGGAAAACCAAAACTAAAAACTTCCAGTTTTATAGACTTAAAATGTCTTCAATAGATGGCAGTATTTGTAACGTTGCCAGTTGTTTTTGCGATACGAAATTAATATTAATAAAATCAATATACTATGTTTAATAATTTGAATTTTTATATAATTTTATATACAAACAAACAATATTTTATATCTCATGGCTTTATTTTTATTTATTTTTTACTAAATTTAACATAAAATATTCAAAAATTGAATTTTTGAATATTTTATATTAAACGGAGCCTGAAAAACTCGGAACGGACCATCATCCGACAAATTTTTGGGGTTTTCGATTCCGGATTTCTCAAAGCGATAGACTTAACTGATACCTTAACTGCTGAGCCATCTAGCCGCCAAGATATGGTGGCCGGATGACCGAGCGGTCAAGGTAGCAGCCTACCGCTCTGGGGGACCCGGGATCGAATTCGGACGGGTCAAAGAAACCCCAGGAATTTTTCGAGGGGTGGTCCGTTTGGATATGTCGAGCCCCGTCCCTCACCACCCGGTCACTCCATTGTGGGCCTGGCCGAGCCCATAATGGGCCTGCTTTAAGAGGCCCTCTTAGTGCCCACAGGGCGGAAAGAGTAAAAAAAAAGCCGCCAAGATATGTCAGGAACCAGAGCGGTTCTGGGCTGTTAGCCGCTTGCGTGTTAGAGATATTTGGCCGCCCCCGGTCCCATTATATGAATCGCTAGTAGATTTACATGGTATAACTTAACCCAACCGATAGGAGTTTACTGGTATGTTTTTATGATTGTTCTGTATAGTTGACAGGAGTTTTAAAACATCCATTAAAATATTCGATATATTTATTTTAATTTTATTGAAATCAAAAATGTAGACTACAAGATATAAAACAGAAGTAACAAAATACAGTATATCCAAAAAGTTAGAATTGCACTCTCCTTATTTGCCGATTCGTCATTAGCATCTGATAATTCTCCAAAGTTTTATACAATTCTTTATCTATTGGTAACAGTTCTGATCATTAAATCTTTCTTGAGTCATTGACGTTTTTAAATATTTTTATAAGTTTGAGTTTCAAAAAACGCCTTTAACCCGATTCTATACTAACTGGTAATGTCAGAAAAATTCTCAAACCTATAAACAGATTAAGAAATGATGAAATCGAGTTACGTTTTGTAATACATGTCAAGTTTTTTAACGCGTCTGCAATTCCACTGTTCAAATTTCTATATGTTATCAGCTCATTGAAGAGCTCCAGATCATCAACATCCATAATTCTCGTGCTTGTTTTGTTAATTTGAAGGGAAACATCTAAATCGAAACAAGATTTTTTAATTTCGTCTTCGATCATTTCTCCAAATTCACAAAAAAATTTAAATACATTATTGAACTCATTTAGATTTTCAAATCTTTCCTGAATGGAATTCAAGGCTGTATCGACAATCGTTAGATAAGATTGTATTTTAAACAATTCTTTTGAATTTACGATTTGTTCATCCAGACTTTCATAATCAAAATTGTGAACTTTAGTTCTACTTCTTACAACTGAAAATTCTGCCACTACATTTACTTCGACAACTAAAACTTCTGCATCCCTAATGTATTTATTAAAAGCTTCATCAGATCTGGTTGCACTTAGAAATTTAACAAACTCACTCAAAATATTAAGAGATTCATTTATGTTGGATTGAGAGAATTGGAATATTTTGATATGGTGTGAGATAATGTGGCCAAATTTAGCTAATATTTCTATAGCTTTTAAAAAATTTCCATTATTTGTTTCATATAATTTATCATTTTTATCTCTGAAAGCTAAACTCTGCCCTGATAAAAACTGGACAATTGCAATGATTCTTTCAATAATAGCTCTTCATCGTCTTTTCTCACAAAGTATCGTTGTTGTTCTTTATCAATTGTACAGTTGTTGTCAAGGTGTTTTTTTAATTCATACCACTTTTTACAATTTAGCATATGTTCTATACTCATTTCATGCCGCGATAAATGAGTTGCTAAATGTCGCCAATCTGAAAACCCCTGACTATCTGTTAGTTTGTTTTCCTTTAAAGCAAACAACTTGCAACAAAAGCAAAACACACTATTGGATTTTGTAGAATAGATTAACCAAGTTCTTTGAACTTTTTCATTGTTATGTAAAAGTCTCATATATATTATGACGCAGAAATTGATCTGTCATTGTTATTATTAGGAAATTTCATATTTTGAAGCGGTAAAGTCCCTTCTGAACTATGAGTTGTAAAATCGATTATTAATATATTTTTTCGTGCATAAGCGGTTATCCGAAATATCGATTCCCCCCGAACAACCCGTCCCCAATTAATTCGGATAATCGACGCTCTACTGTAAATAAGTTTTAAAATGTATTAGATTGGTCACTCAGTATGATAAACCCTTATGTAAGATAACCTTCGTAGTTATTTAAATCAATACTATAATATAATAAATATTAAAACGAAAACCATATAAAGAGTTTGGTTTTTAGCATACCATTGTCAGGTTTATCACGGTACTCGAGCGGTACGAAATGGCACAATTTCATTTGTCAAGTAGACACCAATTGAAAATGTATTAATAGTATCTTAAATTTTTTCAGATATTATATTTTTTCTCTACCTCTATAAATGATACCTCTAAGAAACTGTTCCATTCACAACCGAATATCAAATGGTCATCTGACATCTCAAATGATCATCAAATTTCGCAAAAAACGGACCAAATATTTTAACTCGGCGCCCTCGAAAATCACTTAAATCATATTTTATGCAGGCCGGTAACCTCGTATTTTGGATTTTCCAATTCCAATGCCACCATCCGCTGGTATAAAATTTAATGAAATAAAACGGACGTCCATTGACGGACGTTCAACCTCTCCTCTCCCATTGTCCGACATTGTCCGATTTATCATAACCCTCCTCCTTCCCTTCCAGTGTGGACGTCAGTTATGGATAGCCCATAAAAGTGTTGTAACGATCCGAACCATGACTTAAACGTGGATGCCGAAGGTCCATTTACACTAAATTAAAATAAATAAGCACAAAATGAAAACAGCGCCTATTTATTCTTTATCAGCAAAAGTTCTAATCTCACACGATTTCTTAGGTTAAATTTACGATTTACGTATCCGTTGTCATAAAAATTTGTCTTTCCACTTCTTTCCCAAGACTACAAATATTCAAGTACAAAGTAACTGGTTTTAACTTATTTCTACTTAAGAAGTAATTAAATAATTGAGTGATTAGGAAATTGGGGACATAAATAAAACCCTCCTGCAAGAGTTGGAATTTTACTTAATTATAAACTTAATCGAACCAATCTGTAGCTAGTTACAGTGAGGATTGATTTCTTGGTAATATTAGATATATTAAAGACAGAAATTTTTCCAGTTTAATAAGAGTGACTGAAAATATAAATTGAATCTTATTGAAAAAATATATTGTTATAAATACCTTAATTAATAAGTTATAAAAGTGGGTTATAGTGTTATCTAGTCTGTTCGATAAACTCAAATCTTTTCAGTTACTAAGCACAATTTAGATTTATCAATTATATTAACTATTAACTTTTCTTATTTTCTTTTATTTCATGCATCTTTAGTTTATTTGTTTTACAATATTTTTTAGAAGTTTTCTTTTAGTTTTATAAAGAAATGTTTAAATAATATAATTTCAGAGTTTAAAAATTTGAGAAATAATTAATTTAATCCAAGTCTGATAATTGTTTAAAGTTTTATATTTAATCATAGAAAAATTGTGTTTTTTTAACTGTTACATCACATATACAAACATTAATTAATTAATTAATAGAAAAATAGAAAAGCTTATCACAAAACTTTGAATAAGAAGTTAAAATTTATCAATTTGGCTCCGTTTGTTACTATTTATTTATTTTTTATATGTTTTGAATAATACGTAATTTGGACCCGTCTTTGAATTTTGTTTTCCCATTTTTGTCTTTTTTCGCCCAGTGGACACTAAGAAGAACTTTTTAATTATAACCTATTGTGGCTTCTTCCAGGCCGGGTAATGACGAACGTGATCCGACATATCCGGGACCAATGACCTATGAAAAATTGCTCGCCCGATTAGAATAAAATACAATGTTGCAAATACATTTAATTATTAAGTTATCAAAGCAAATAATTCATTATCATCAAACTGCCGGATGGCAGTTATCAAACCGCGTTAACTGCCTCTGCCATCCGGCCGTTCCATTCCTCTTTTAATGATCAAACTATACTTTTTTCAATTTTCGATCCTTTCCGCTCTGTGGACACTAAGAGGGCCATTTTCTAAGCCCGTCACGGGTTCGGCTAGGCTTAATGAGCGGCCGAGTGGTGAAGATCAAAATACTTTGCTCTAATTGTTTATTTGTGCAAAGTAAAATAATTGAAATTTTCGTATTTATTATTGAACGTCTTCTTTTTAGGGAACGTTATAGTTAAAAGTTATAGCCTACTCTTCTATAGGCAAATGGCGATTAAAATGTCATTTGCGTATAGACTAAATGATCGATGCAACTCTGTATTAGCAATGTAATGAATTAATAACAATGTAATTAATTTCATCTCGGATCAACGAAGGTGATGCTTGAAATTATTTTTCGGGAAAAATTCAGTTACAAATCACGTGACAATTACAAATGACGTCACCGGAAATCATGTGATATTGACGTGTCCTTGACCTCTGACGGAAGTTTGAATTGATTGAAATTGACATTTAGTCAGGCGGCATGACACATCTTTAACACTACACTTATGTCACGTTTTTCGTTAAGTCTACATTAGTTCATCTTTGGTCGTAATCTTAGAATAAGAGCCTCTTCTACATTATTCTATAACTTTCAGGTCATAAGAAAATACATATTTACGTATATCATAGACTAGATACAGTGAATAACTTGTTTATATTTGATCGATTATTATATAAATATATTAATATATTAATTAGAATGTCTCGAGTGATTGTTTCTGCTCCAGGTAAAATTATCCTGCATGGAGAACATGCAGTTGTATATGGAAAGGTAAGTTTTAAATATTTATTCAAAGTATGACTTTAAATATGATTCAGTTGCATGTGTTCAGTGATGACAAAACTGAAGAGTGACACAATACAATCTTTTCAATAGTATAAGTATATTTTTATCAATTTATTGCCCAATAGTAATTGATTTCATATAATTAAATACATATTTTTGATTGTATTTGATTCAGATTGCTTATTTATAATAATTCAAATCTAAATTTAAAGTATAATAGATGGGAATGTTACAAAATTCTTATTTCTTATTCTCAGAAAAAAAAAATTATTTCTATCTTTCACACATTCAAATGATTCAATAGCTTTGCATTTGGAAAGTGAAAAACCGATGGGCCATTTAAGATGATTTGTCATCAAAGTTTTTAGATTATCCTCTTTCTAGCAGCTGTGTTGAGAGCACTTTATACAGTCCATTGCACTAAATGCTCTTACATGAAGCACTGTTTAATAGTAAAGCTAGAACATAAGCATGGTGTGGTTGCTACAATACATTTATTAATCATGGTTTAAACTTATTTAAGCTATTTACATTTTTATAAACTTTTATAGTTTACAGGTGTTAATTATAAAATGTATTAAATTATTTTCCATTCCTGTTAATCATTTTGCTGTGTTAATTTATCAAATTAGTTCATTATTATATGTTGTTTGTTATAAATTTTTGTTTGTGTTGAATACTTTTAATTACTTAATAAAATAAAAACAGTTGGCAAAATTAAAAGAATAGTGTGTAATAGTTCATTTAATTATTGTTAAGCTATTACCTATCAGTAGTTTTATTAAATTCAGATAATTACTTAATTTTTTCTTATAAATAATTTAACTCAAAACACTAAGGTGTCCATATTATAAAAACAGTTACAAACCTTTTTTATCTAGACCATTCAAAAAGTAACCCCATTCAAAATTTTTTGTGTGTGTTTGATCATGTTACTGATGACAGTGAAAGGTGGTCATATCATTTTGTTACAGCAATTATCCATAAATTATAAAATGCCTGTTCTTACTGTGTTGGGCAATATTTTGAATCAAAATTGACTCACAAGTTAAATTTTTCCAAATTCAGAATTTCCAGGAAATTTGCAATTAAATGCAAGCCCTGCAGATAAATGGCAATTTGAATAAAAGAACTGAAGATAAAATACTTTTCCAAACATGGGAGGTCAGTTTATAATGGATATAAAGGACATATCCTTTCCAATATTTTTGTACTGGTAAATTGTTCCAAATTTTTATTTTATGCCACACTACAAAAATTAGTAGTAATAGAAAGTGCAGTAGTTTTTACTACTGATTTTTGGTACAAAACAGGTACGTCTTACTTTTTAAATTCACTCAAAACTCAATGAGAAATTATTTCTTACTCATCATTGACCTTACCCCCTCAATATATATATACAGATTGGTGTTGATGTTTCCAAAGATTTCAACAATTGCAAAGTTATCAGTATAATCAATATTAATTGTAAACACAAACAAAATTTGTAAAATGATATACATTGATTGATTTATTCAATATAATTAATGAATTTCAAGGGACCAAATTTTGCATAGTTTATTATTTGGAGTGTTCTTTACTTAGTTTTATTTTATGTACAGTACCTATGACCATGTCTATAGTGTTCTGTCATATAGGGCTGATTTGCTGTTATATTGTCTAAGTACAGAATGTATAAGAAGGATAATATAGCACATGGCAGTAACTGAATAATGTACAGTAATGGAATTTATAATATACAATGTTTTTATTCATACTTGTAATTACATAACATTCTCCTACTTTGTAAAATGCTAGGCCTACATGTTTATTCTTTTAGTAAAATAATCCTTAATTGTTAACTGTCTCATAACTTTTGATAGATCTTTAATAATTTATTTTATTTTATTTCATTACAATTAAAGGAAAAGTCTTGCAGACGTCTGATTTCTGCCCCCTACAATAACATATCATAAAAACAAATAAAACTCCTTAAAATATAAACAAACAAAATAAAGCATAAAAATGATAATAGAAACTAGTAACAAATCTTAAAAGATATACAATACTTTTTACATTTTAGTTTAAAATCAGGGAGATCAAGATGTAAAATTCATCAAAATTATTAAGATTTTGTGATATACAGCAGAAGAAAGATCATTGGGATAGATTTAGATGATAAAAAGGAGTAAAAATATAAGTAAATGATCAAAGTTTTCTCAATGAAATTTGGAGTGAAAGCCAATCTTGAATAAATAAGAAAAATTCAAGTTGTTAAAACAGTCTCATGTTGGCATTTTCTGAAGTTAGAATGAATGCTTCAGAGTATTTAATGTTGCCATGACTTCACTAAGAATTTCTAAGCAGTGCTACTAGGGATGTAATCTGTATATAAAAGGAAAAGATGATGGAAAGTGGGAATGAGTGGCATGCGATTGCAGCAACACAGCCAACAATAAATTTTTATATATCTTTTCCAAAGCCAGAATTTCAAAAATGGCATAAATAATCACAGTATCTCACAGTAATCAAATAATTACAGTTCAATATGATGCATCATGCTGTTTATTACTTCGTTCAGTGAATGGTTGTCTCTTTAATCCAAAATAATTTCTTCGATAGACTATCTTACAGCAAGTCAGGTTAAGAAACTCCTTTATTGTATTTTCACTTTTTGGATTAAAGAGACAACCATTCACTGAACAAATAATACATCTACTTAAACGTGTTTCACAACACTCCCGAAAAAAGTTCATTGCAGAGAGGAGAAAATACTTTGACTTTTATAGGGATCAGGTCAGGACAATCTCAAGTACACTAATTAGAACTTTTCATATGACAGAGAGTTTGCTATATTTTAATTATCTTTAACTTAGATTGGATTCATAATTTTAATTTTATGTGATTGCATTCAAAAGACGACAATGGTTTACTGATTAATGTTGATAAAACTCCTAACTCAATAATCAAAAAGCAGTGGTCATGTATCCTCCAATCAGCAGTGGCAACATAGAAGTTCTGAATTGTTCAAAAATCATGTGATTTCATATTGTGATTCCAGCAGTCTGGTGATGTCCTTTAAAAATGGATGAAAACAATTGTTTTGCTGGTTTTTCTTGAGTATTGAGTTAGGAGTTTTATTACATTCATTTTAAAATTTAAAATGTATAATATAAAAAAAATTAATGAATGTTTTGTACAATATGTAGTCTGCTGTGGCTTTTAGTGTTGGATTAAGAACCAAAATAGAAATTGATGTGAATAAAGAAGATTCCAAATTAAAGATTGTTATTCCTAATGTAGGAATTGATGTTGAATGGAGTTTACAGCAGCTCAATGAAATGAAAATAGCAGAAAATAGTAAGTTTTTTCTATATGTTCAGTTTTTCAATTTTTTTTATAGAATGAAGATTTAAAAACTATCATATATGATCAAAATATTTATTATATATTGATTTTTATTAAAGATTTAAATATTTCAAAAATATTGGGTTGTTCGGAAAGTTCATAGTAATTTTTAATATAAATAAAAGAAACAGTTTCAAAATTAAAATCATGCTTTATTCAATTTCTTTGTTTTTAATGATGTGTTGCCATCCTTGGAGAAACTTCATAATAACCTCTTCACAGAACTTTCCAGTTTTTCACAGGAAAAACTGTTTCATGAGGTTTTTGCAAACTTCCAAACCATTGAATCTTTTATCAAAAAGGAAAATCTTCAAGGCCCAGAATAAAGGGACAAGGTTAAGTGAGTATAGGAATGGGATAAAACATCCATAGGTCCAATAACTTTTGGTATATTCCTAAAGTGTGTGTCTAGTATTATCTTGGCGGTGATGCACGAAGGCCAAGGAATCCTGCCACTCTTCAAAGAAAAAGAAAACAAACACTAAAACATTTTCCAAATATCTTTTCTTAATTAAAATTCATTTTTTAATTTATATTGTGTCATGTCTTCTATTTCTGTACTACTTATGACTTGTCAAATAATGTGTAAATTTTATTGAATTTGCATTAAAAACTTTATCTGTTTAATTTGGCTCCCTCAATATTAAATCCTGAGTATGCCACTGTATCTTGATGACACACAATGCCTTTTCTGTTGGCCAATTGATGTTTTTCTTCATTTGTCATCTTCAGCCTGCTGATCCAGTAGGAAACAATACTTATCAGAATTGATTGTTTGATTCTGTGAAAGCAGTTCTTAGTACAGGATTATTTTCCAATCCCACAAGACTGTGAGCATAACCTTAAGATGAAGACTGGCTGTTAGAGTATTTAATGCTGGTTATTTTTCTTGCCCCACAATTGTTTTCAGCTGATGTTATAAATAACTTTTCATCACTTATCACTAATGTTTCTTAATAGGGTTGTTTTCATTCCATGAATGGCGATGCACTATAGTAAATTATTTTCCATTCAGGTATCCAAATGTTGTTAATGATTCACATATTAAAACTTCATTAGATGTTGAAATATGGTACTGTTTGATGACTTTACTATGTCTGCTATCTCTCAAGTTAGTGATGAAGGTTATTATTCAATAATATTTTGATCTGGTCCTCTTTAATAAAGGATGGTCATCCTTGGTATGGAATATCTATAAGGTTGAAATTACCTGCTTTAAATTTAGCAAACCACTTTCAAACAGTTGATTCTGCTACATCACATATTTCTATCACTGTTTGAATAACATTTTTGTCTTTTTGATAGAAGTAAAGAAACAAGTGTCAATAATGCAACTTGTTTGCTTCCACTTTCACAGTGAGAATTAAATGAAATTTAAATAATTTTAACAGACTTTTTGTAATAGTTTGTAGTAAATGAATGTTATGAAAAGGTCTTTTTTCACTAATTCATACAATTCTAATAACTTTTACTTCATCCAGTGTCTCATCTATCAGCTATTGAAAATCATAAGAATTTTCCAAACAACTCAATGCATACAGAATTATTCCAAATACTGTAAAACTTGTGAGAGCTGGAATCTCTATAAGATTGAAATTTATGATGGCCAGAAAATTGCAGTTATTTTGTACTGCAAATTTTTGCACAAAATATACTTTAGTGTATTTATGAGTGTTAAATCTCTATTATTAATTTCCATTAGTTATGAGCTGTTAAAGACAATCTTAAATAAGTATTAAATTGAAAAATTTGACATAACAAATTAGGATTGAAATTAAATCAGTTAATATTTATTTTGCATATAAGTTGATAATTTTAGGAAATAATTTAGTTTAGTTTAATATCATTATAATTGACATTATCAAGTTTTTAAATTGTTTTGAAAACATAAGTTATGTGATTTAGATCTAATGGTACGCCAATACATGAAACACAGTTAATGATTTATAAAAGCCTAATGTAATATCAAGCAACAAAGTAAATATGTTAAAAACTGATAAACTTCAATAAGTAATCTTGAATAAATAGAGTAATTTTGATGTAATATTTAATTTAGATTTAATTAACTTTTGGTTCCTACATATGCCAGCAGAGTTTATGCCATGTTTTTTGAATGGCAATGCATTATCAAAATATTTATTAATCTTTATTAGAGTTTTAAATATTTCAAAAAGAATATTGACTCTCATGATTATAATGAATGTCATCACAAGATGCTTCTTCTGTTGATTACACTTCTATTTGATTGGAAGCAGAAAATATATTTTCTGCAACATCTATATTTATGCTGTATTTTATACATTTATGATCTTAGATCAAGACCATTTCAGTTTTAAAACCATGGGAGAGTTAATATGCTCTCCCAATACATCAGCATGCTTAAAAAATTCATATTACCAAAAATTTTGAATACTTCATTGTTAATTATGACTAAGATAAATTCATAGAGTTCAAAAGTATTGAATTTGAGCTATCTCTCTCAAAGTATGAATTCAAGCAAGTCAACCACCAAAGATTGCATAAAGACTAAATTTTTAATGAAATAATATACATAAGTTTCACTTGGAACACTTGTGCTTTCTTTTTACAGTTGAGAATATATACATGAATATATAATGTTTGTTTTTCTTTTCCTTTCTTTTGAGGTCATTTCAATGAATATAACATACTATGTCTAGATTGAAATTTGGCTTTAAAAAAAAGCATCATATTTGAACATAATCCATATAATTGCTAATTAAGGAAACCAAAAATTTTTTTATTTCAAACAAGTTGAAAACATTTCTGTCATCTACAGTTTCATATTCACTTTAGATTGAATATAGTTTTACTGTTTTTTTAATATATTTGAACAGAATTGAGCATTTCTTAAATAAAAATTATTTTGAATTCCTTAATTAGCATTTGCATGGATTATATTAAAAAAAGTGTGTTCACACTTTGAAGTAATGATCATTTTTGCATTCCATCCTGTCTAGATGGAAAACCTGCTTATGCCAGAAAGTTTATAGTGTCCTTTGTAATTCTGGCTTACACAAGTTTACTGTTTTTGTTTTTCCTTAAATTATATGATGAAAAACAATACTTTTCATATTTTACTTTTTAGATATGTTCCACAGAACAGCTTTCCCAATTAACTGATGACTCTATTTTATGATATAAAATAAATTCTGGTTAATAAAGTTCCATAAATATATATAATTAATAAAATATATTTTAAAATAAATGTATTGTTATTTCAAAAATTACATTTTATTGATTTAAATAATATGAAAATGTTTTTTTTGTTTCTTTTTTAGATGATGATGATAGTAATGTGATCACATTAACAAATGAATGGCAAAGATGTTTGAAATTCCTTATAGATTCAGTTGTGATATCTGGAAGTGAAGCTTGTCATCTATCCCTTCTTACCTTTCTCTTCTTATACTTTGGTATATTTAAAAAATATAAGTGGTATGTATGTAAATATAATATATAAATTCAAAACACACAACGATAAAAAGTTTTATTTTCAGAAAATTAAAAATTTTATTGCAGTTCTTATCTACCACTTCATGTTTTTATTTCCTCACAATTACCAATTGGTGCAGGATTGGGTTCATCAGCTTCTTATTCTGTCTGTATAGCTGCAAGTCTTTTAGCTATTTGTGGAAAAATTTCTCCTACTTCATTAACAGATGAGCAACTTTCATTAGTCAGTAAATGGGCATATGAAGCTGAAAAAATACTTCATGGGAAGCCATCTGGAGTCGATAATTCAATCTGTACTTATGGTAATAAAGAAAAAGAGAATTTAAAAATTTTAAATGTATTAAATAGTAAGATTATAATAGTATTAAATTATTTAGGTGGAGCTTTATTGTTTAAAAATGGAGAAATATTAGAAAAACTTTCTTTGTAAGTTTATTTGGGCATTTAAATAATGAATTTTTGAAAAGAATAACTTTTACAAATTTATTTATAGAATTCCATCTATTGAAGTCATGTTAATAAATACTAAAGTATCACGAAATACTAAATCACTAGTTGCAGTTCTGAGGAAACAATATGATAAGGTGAGTGTTTTTTTTATTTCATTAATTGTTTACAATTCATATTAATGTTTTAATTATATAAATGCATTGCTTTAACCAGACAAAACATAAAATGCAAAATAATCAAAGAATATAAGATTGAGTAATTAGATTATTATTTGCTTGTCTTGACAGCTGACATTGCTAAATACATTTGAATATCTAAAGACAACATAAAGTTTAGTGCCATCTTATAAGCCTCTAATCTTAAAATACTCATAAACTATGGCAATCGCTAGTAGAACAATACAATACAGCAACACAATACAGCAATTGGACAACATATATTATACACAGTATATGAATAAATCAGGCTTACAATAAGTTGTTTTAAGCTTATCCATTCTTGACATTTTATCCTAAAATTACAACAAAAAGGTTAAAACTATATTTTATTTTGATATATTGAATTTTTTGACAATGTATTTATCACTAAATCATATTGTGTAATATTTTCTACATATATATTAACTTGATATTAAAGATAAGATACACAGCCATTTGTATTTCAATGTGTTTTTAAAAAACTGTTAGAATGTCAATTAGAAAAAGTTCAAATCTTCTTGTTAAACCTGACACAGACCTGTGAAAAGAAGTTGAAAACATTTGTTTAAATAAATTAAAGTCTTGCTGAAAAGAGTATTTAAGATGTTGTTCAAGCTAAATTAGTTTCAGCTTACACATATAAAAAACACCTAAAATGTGTAAGTTTATTCAAATTGTATTTTTTTTACAAACAATGTCTTCATTCATTGAAGTTCAAGTGATATAAGTTTTTTGGTAGCTATACCCCAATTGATCAGTATTAATAACAAATTCCAAATGAAAATTGAGGATATTTCTAGTTTGTGTTTAGAATCTTTCTGATGAGTTTATAGTTTCCTCAAGAGTAATGAAATCTCTTCAGCTGACATATAAGATAAAGCAATGTAAAATAAAATGTCTTCACTTGAATATTTTGATCCACATAGGACTCACTTGAAAAGAAAAATATGTTGATTGGAAAGGGACAGCAGCTACCAATGCCGTCTTGCAAGATTCTTGTTACTTGTTAAATATTTTAGGTACAAAACAATTGATAAGGATTTCATACATATGAAATGTGTTACATCCTTTAAGGCATTTGAAAGTACCAGAATCAGTTTGTCAAGTCTCATTCTGCCTATTTTTACATCTTCCTTCCATTGTATCAAACAGTTTTTTTTAAATGATTTTTTCACTCTTTTTTGCAGAATCTTTAAATTCCAATGTGAAAGAATACAAAGCAAAAGCTGTTGCTGATGCACAAAGGGAAATATGTTGGGAGTTGGTTCTGATAATCACCTCTATTATAATCTTCGCCTATCATTAGATTGTCTTTGCACTGTTAAACACCATATAATGTATAGCTCCCTATAATTAAGAGTATAAAAGGAAGAAAAAGGAAGGAACCCATAATATGTGATTTCCTACAATCCTACATTGTTGCTATCATTTGCCACTACATAATGCTGAAAAACCTATTAAAGTTATTATTGACACTATCTGTCATAGACATAGAAAGTTTGTTCAGGAGGTACTGTACCTTTAAAAGTTTTTCAAATAGTGAGTATTATTACAGTAGAGCGTCGTTTATCTGAAAGTCGGTTATCCGAAACGTCAGTTATCCGAAAGAATTCCAGTCGGCAAATTTAAATTTTCGCTAGTGCTGTGGCGCTGCAATCTTTGTCTATATCTTGGGCTACTCCAATATTTTTTTGATTGATGTATGTGTTTTAGCTGGCAGCCCTGGCAATTTTGTGTCATGCTGAATCGAACATTTTTGATACTAGATTAATTTCTAAAGTATAATTTTTTTTTGTTTTTATATTTTTCAATATATTTATTGTTTGTAAAAAATTAAGAAATAATTTTTAACGATACAATAGCCACAATTATTTTAAAAAGTTTACATTAGGCTTAACATCGACGAAAATTCAACGCAAAGCAACACGCAACGAGAAAAATTTCAAGATGTTAATATATTTTTTCGTACATAATCAGTTATCCGAAAAATAAGTTATCCAAACAACCCCAGTCCCCAATTGATTCGGATAAACGATGTGTACTGTATTATTATTTGCTACTTTTATGAGTATTGAAATTATATTATTATTGATAACTACAATAATAAAATGATTTGCTATTCATTAAAAATGTGTTAAAAAAGGTTGCTGGTAAGTTAACATAGTTGTCAAGAGCCTCAGCTGTTTTGCTGCACAGATTCAACAGAAATCTATGGGTAGGATTAGTAGACATTTGTCATTCTAGTTTTCAAGGATATTCTTCTCAGAACTGGCTACATTTTGCACACTAGCTTTTTCCTATGTTTTAGTACTAGGGAAGGATTACTGTAGAAATAAGTTTCATTCAGATCAGTTTCCCAGTCCTTGTGACCTCCTTGTTAGATGCATTTGAAAAAGTAATGAAAAGTTTGTTTAAATATTTTTATTTTAAAATTTATCAATATATCAATTTGAAATATTTGTATTACAAATTTAAATTAATAGCTTATTTTTGTTATTACTAGTAACAAAATAAAAACGTTTTCATTGAGAATTCAGAGAAGCTGAATAAAGAAAAAGTTTTAACAAACTATAATAAAAACAAATTTACTGAAATTATATTAGTTTGCTTTATTTAATCAGTGTTAATTCTGATAAATACTTGTAATAAATAAAAAGGATTCACAGTTTATTGTAAAATTTTATTGAACAAAAATTTTCAATTTGTCTGAAATGCAATCATAATAAACTTAACTTTTTACGTTTGTTTTATAAATGCAATGTGGCTTTAGAGTTTTATAAATGCAATGATCACTTGGCACTATTCATTCTTTTATTTCAATATTTGTTGATACGCATTTATACACACGTTTCGAGTTTCATTTCGCCCCTCTTCAGTCAACTAAAGCATATAAAACCAATTTTACATACACCATAACCCAACATATGAATTTAAAAAATTGTGAATTATACAAGTAGCACATAACATACCTTTAAAATCACAAATTCCATCTTTAGATGTGTATTACTACAAGCAGGAATCATATAATATATATTGGATTATTTCAAATACCAGGCTAAAGACTTAATCTTACTTGGTACATACAAGACCCAGACTTCCACAGTTAGGCTTTTCTGGATCTTGAAGACTCCTCAAACTTCTATTAAGTCTTATAAAAATTAATATAGTTAATGTATTTAGTACTTAGATATTAAACTATATTATGAACCTATCATTACGTACATATTCACAGAAGGTCCCTGGAGATATCAAGAAGATCCTAGAATGGACATGTAGAACAGTTCTTTCTTCTTTAATGTCAGTACCAGTTCGTACATAATCTACATGATTGAACTTTTCTCTTCAATATCAGTACTATTTCCCACATAATCTATATGATTGAACTTTTCATCCTTATTTAATATTAGTAATAGTTCTTACATAGACAACTCAACTAAACTTCACTTTTACAAATCGTATTTGTTCAGCTCTCAGCATCTAGTGGCGTTTTCCTTTATGGTAATTTGCATTGCATTGAATTCTTATTTAAAAATTGCAAGTTAAAATTCTCAACTATTTTTCAGATTTCTTCCAAAAATTTTTCTTCAAAAAATTTTTAAAAAATGCTGTTTTCCCTAAAAATTTTTTCCCTTAAAAAATTTTTACAGTATTTTTAGCCAATTCTCATTGATTTTTAAAGTTTTTATTTATATAATGTTTATTTTTTAAAATTTCTATACTCTCTTTAAATTTTCTGCTATAAGTTTCTTTTTCTTTATGTAGGATCTTTACATTATTCTGGTCAATATTGCAGTTATTTAACATACAATATTCAAGAAAAGCTGAATTAATTCTACGATGTTTTAAATCTGCTACATGTTCCTTTAATCTAATCCTCATCTTTCTCTTAGTTTCTCCTATGTAAAATTTTTTATTTTCAGATGTACATGGGATTTGGTATACAATGTTTTTTATCTCACCTACTTGTTGTTTTGATATGGATTTATTAGTATTTAGTCTAGCAAAAAGTTTTTTATACTTCGGGGCAAGTTTTACATTAATAAGGAGATAAAATGCACCAATTTTTTTGTATAAACCTCTAATATAAGGGAATGGAATATATTTAATTTTTTTCTGCTCTTCATTTTTGTCTAGTAGTCTTTTCATTGTCTATTCTGTTCACATTAGGATTCTCTTCATTATTTATTTTATCTTCCCAAGTTTTTAGTAGTCTGTTAGGATATCCATCTAATAGGAATTTCTTCTTCAAGTCTTTAATATTATTATATATGTTAACACTTTTATTAGTTCTATTTTTAATTTTATTATATTCCATAGAGAATATATTTTGTTTTATATATAATGGTATATTTGGATTGTATTTAACTGTTGTCTGTGTGAACAAGATTTTTTAAAAGTTTTAAATTCTAATTCATTCTTCTTTCTTAGATGTTACAATTATAAGTAATTTATATCTTGATTAGTTTTTCCTTCTTTTTCTATTGTAAATTGTAACGTTTTTGTTATTTTATTAATTACTTTCGTTATTTCTTCCATCTTAATTTGTGTCTCTTTATATAGAATAAAAATGTCATCTACATATCTTTTATAAAAGTATATCCCTGGTATCTTATTAATTTGATTATCAATATCTATCATCACAAGTTCAGCTAGTTTTGGACCAATCACAGAACCCATACTGATAACTTTTGTTTGTGTAAAATATCTGTCTTTAATTTCAAAATAATTGCTTCTATATGCAAACTCCATTAAATCTATAATTTCTGGTTCCATATTTATCTGTGTTAATTTATTTTCATTTCCCAGGTTATTGATGGATACATATTAACAATGTCCAGACTAGCCATTCATCAATATCTAAGTTTTTTAGGTCATATATGAATTCATCTGTATTATGTATAGCAAATTGAGAATTTTGATACCTCTGTAAACGACTTTATATAATCTAGAAAAATTCTTAAAAAGTAGAATAAAGTAGAATATTTAAAGTCTATGATAGGTCTTATCTTTTCATCTGCTTTGTGTGTTTTTAACTGAACTTTCAATTTTGGTATCCATTCGTTGTTTTCGTTTAAAATAAACCATTTTTCAGCATCAATTTTGTAATATGATTCTTCATTTCTTTATATATGACATCTTTTGGATTAATCGGTAACTCTCGAAATTGATTATTCGTGATGACTTCTAATTTTTTTGTTTCCACCCATTTTTCTGAAACTATAACAATTTGCTTTGATTTGTCAACTTTTATAATTTCTAGGTTATTTTTTTTCAAAAATCATATACCTTATTAATCTGGTGTTTGTATTTAAAATAATTTTTATCTCTAATCATCGTTTTATTTCCTTCACTTTTTATATAATTTATAATATTGTTACTAATGTTTATTTTTATAATGTTTGACTCATTCTCTGGCATATTATTACACACATAGTCCAAATTCAGTAGTATATCTATTAACCTCCATTGATTTGGGCCATTAAAATCTAGACTTTATTTAACATATCAAGTAGGCCTATGTCTTCTGGCATTATTACATTTGTTTTATTCAGAACTAACGATTTTTTATGTTCTATTATTTTAGCTATTGTTGGATATTCAAATTTTTTATTAAGTTTTTCATATTTCTTGTTTTCATATCTTTTTAAAGCTTCTGTCTTTGTTTTTACAGTTTCAACACATTGTTGTGTTTGTTGATTTTTTTTTTTCAAAATTCGTTTTAACATTTTTATTTTTACGTATTTAAACTGAATTGCAGATCTTAGACAATATATCAATTTTAAAATATTATCTCTTGTAGGTATACTTTCTGCAATGCATTTTGGTAATGAGAGTGTCTTTAAAATTTTTTTTTTTCCCACAAGTGTATTTTCAAAAATTGTAAATCAATTAAATTTTTCTCTATCTCACCTTGTATCTTCCCTATTCTCCCATCTCCATGTTGCCAGGCCTTGTTTCTGTTGGTGCTGTTTCTGTTTTTTCATATTCTTCCTCTATGTTTTGAAACTGTGTTGTATCTTTGTTTGTTTTATAACTTTTTACACTAAAGTAAAAATTTGTAGTACCTTTACAATTAAATGAATACATTTACATTACTGCCTAAGTAGTTTAATTAATATCAAAAATTAAAATACTTAATTGTAAATAATCTGTGCTTAAAATTTAAGAGTAATCAAGTTCTAAATTTTTTTTTCACTCTGGCAAAATAGCAAATATTTAATTAATAAAGCTGTTTTTAAACTCATACATATGTGCTTTAAGATATTTAATTTGGAAAATCTCTATTTTAAATGCTTATAAGTTATTTATTCAAAATAATTTCAAATTTAGCATAAAGAAGTCATCAATCATGTAATGTCTGCTATAAATTGCATAAGTGAAAGTACATGGAAAATGTTAAAAGAATATAAAGACCAAACATTTGATGATTTGCTAGAAAAATTACAAGTAAGTCCCAACTTTTTCTTCTTTTTTTTTTAATTCACTTATATCTTATTTAATATATTTCTTCAGGAACTGCTGACAATAAATCATCATTTATTAAATGCTCTTGGAGTAGGTCATCCTCAACTCAATACTATTGTTGAAATAGCCACTGCAAAGAAACTTGGTGCTAAATTGACTGGAGCAGGAGGTGGAGGCTGTGCATTTATTTTATTATCTGTTGCTAACAGTAAGTATAAAATTATTCTATTTTTTATTGTAATTTTCATAACTGGCTTATCTATATTAATTATATAGAAAATAATAATGATGATATTTATGTATACTTCAAAAAATTTCTAATACATTTTTAATAAGGTTTAATTTAGTTTTTCTGAAAATATAGGTTATAGTGAATCCTAGATTTATTATAATAATAGAATTGTCATGTATTACAAAAATTTAATTACAATGTTAAAATGAATAAAAAAACATTTTGATCATCATCTATTTAAACAACAATGTATCAGCATAATATTAATATTACAGTTAAGTGTAGATTAGAACGTTAATAAAATAAAACTAATAACTGGAACTGATGTTTTAAAAAAAAAAAAGTTTAAAATAGTCAAGTTTACAACTCAAACAATCATGTTTTTTTTGTTAAAATCATATTTAATTCTTCTATTAACAATTAACAAAAAAATTAATAGTTCTACCTACTTCTATTTGAGAAATTTTGGAAAAGATTTTCCCCACAGATTAAATCTTTAACACCATCAGAAAATCCTTAACAAATATTTCAGAATTTTAAAATCCATTGATTTCCTAATTTGTTAAACTGTGTTAGAAGAATTAAATAAGATTCTAACTATTATTTCCATTATCAAGAATTTTTGGAAAGGGATTTAATGCAATCTTGGAGAGTTCATGCATAACCAAAGAGGTTACAATCAGTCTTAAGAATGCTAATTCAAATATAATTAAATCTCAAGAGGAATAGAACTTTGGATACTTTTCTGTTTGAATTTAGAATGTTGTATTACTAATATTGTATATTGTAAATATGTAATATTGTTACAATTTTAACATTTGGAAAATTTTATGTGAAGAGTTTAATATAAAATTGACCCAAAAAACTAAACCATGAATTATAATTTATTTGAAACGGCTTTCAAAGTTTATATATTTATCATTCTTTTTAGAATTATTTTTACCTGTTAGAAAAATTTGGAATTCTGAAGCATCACAAAGAATATTTAATTACAATTTTTAAATCTATGTTTTGCATATCTTCAATCATTTAAATTTATTATTGAAATATGGTTCTCTTGAATAATCAAGCATGCATTATCTACCAAAATCTTTAAGAATGATGTTTAGTATTCACATGTTCAATACCAAAAGCATTCAAATTGCTAATCAATGACCTAGAAAATAGATTGTCTAATTTGGTGAGATTTAGACAGACCTCAAGCTGGATGTACTTTTTCATCACACAAATCAGATGGATTGATGTCATTTTCTATAAAATGATTTGGTGGATGAATACATCAACTGAGAAATCAATAGTAGTAATAGTTTTATCAAAAATTTCCAGAAAATTACAGAGGAATGAAAAACAATAATAAATTGATATTTTGTTCTATAAAGAATAAGTATGTAGCTATGATGATTAAGTCATCTTCATTCATATACTATTGGTGAGAAGAATAATTCATTTAAGTCACTTATGAATAATTGTTTATAATAGATTAATAATCTTGAAAATGAAAAGATTGAAAAAAATAAACAGTGTAACAACAAAATAATCATTATTTTATTTTGTTGTTACACTTACTCAAATTATGTAGTAATTGCATGTTGGAAAAATTTGAGAGATGATGATAACGTTTATTTAGGCAAAAACTCAAACTTCTGGTGATGAATACATAAATGAAAGAACATTTTGGGTTAATTTTTATAATTGAGAAGCTTCCTTAAATATGTTGTTGTAAAATTAGATTATAAAATTGAATAGCACATTAAAGATGAAAAGTATCGTCAAAATAATTATCAGCAGTCAAAAATACAACTTTATAATAATATTTTTATTTAATAAATGTAATTACTTACAATTAACATAATCTTGTTAAGATTTCAGTTTGTTTATAATCAGAATTAACTATTATAAAAATATAAAATGTACTGTTTTATTTATTATGGTGTTTGCATCAAATATTTTTATTGAAGTTCTTTTTTTCAGATTCAAGCCAATGGCAGAAAGAACAAAAGCATGTCTTACAACAAATACTTCATGAAAAAGGATTTGAATGTTGGGATGTGCTCCTTGGATGTCCAGGTGTTTTGTTTCATCAATAATTAACAACAAAATTACTGTATATTTTTGAAAAATAAAAAATTTTGTACAACATTACTCTAACATCTCATCTCCCTCCTGGACTTCTTTCAAACTGATCACTTCTAATTGGCCTCGTCCCTTGGTTTCATTCCTTACTAGTTCATCAATTTTTCTGAAATTTCCTGGGTCCGTCAAGAAAATCTAATATTTAAAAATCAAAATGCAATTATGAATTTAGCTTTCAATTACGTAAAAATTTGTAATAATTAAATTCATCCACTGGTATGGAAATATGTATACTTAGGGTAAATTGTAATGAAATCTTTTTTTTTTTTTACTTGTAAAAATTTTAGTTCTCATTAACTGAGCTGATTATTCAGTATTTTTTAACAGAATATTCAAGAGTTTTACATATGAATTTAAGTTTATCCTTTATCTGACAAACTTGATGTTTGGTTTTGGTAACCAGTGTTATTTATTTTTGTTGTAGCTATTCTTATATGAGGAAAGCCAAATTAACATTTGCATACTGTACTCATTTTACTAATAATATAACATTATCTAATGACCAATTTCTCCTAAGAACCATCATGTCTATACTTTCTTGTACAGCAATAATAAAGAAAACTAGCCACTTTGTCCTGTTATAAATTTCACAATGATTTTGATTAATGTTAATGTGAAGTAATTAGGCTGTTCAAATAAAAAAAAATATAAATCACATTTTTAAAGATATGTATAATAATTGATCATTAATGTAAGCATGTAAAAATAGAAATAATTATTAGTTTTGAGTGTTTCCTTTGATTGCTAAAACATTAAAATATATATTTTTAGCAAACATTATAAACTATAAATTAATGCACTATATTTGATTGAAAAATATTGTAAATTATTTTTACCATTTCAAAGTTTCCATCTTCCATACTTTCATTTTCAATTGTAGAAGCAAGATCCTTAATTCTACTTCTAAAATTTTTTCCAGCAGGAATGAAAACTCTCAATTTCATCTGAGATCTTTCAATCTGTATTTTCTCTTGAAGCTTCTTAATTACTTCCAATGCCTATGTTGAGTGTTTAGTCCTATTAAATTATACTCATACAATTTTGTAATATCTAAAGTTACATTTAAATTACAAAATTCTGTTCTACAATTTAAAATTTTAAATAATTATTATATTTATTAAAAATTTCAAAAATTTCTTGAATTTACCTGTTGCTTAGTACCTTTGTTGGGCTTAACAGAAAAATGGATTTCCTTCATACACTTTTCAATAATGCTCACAGTATATGGTCTCTTAGTTTCAGGATTAATACATTTGTCTGCAACAATTGTAGCAATATCACGAAACATAGATTCTAATTGTGTTTGTCTTTCCTTTTCTGATACTTGAAGTTCTCCCTTTGACAAAATCTACAAACAATATTTCAAATCTTAAATCAATTTTATACTAATTTAATTAACTTAATTTTTAACTCTCAATTTTTTCAAATAAAATTTTATGCAATTATTAAAAGAAAATAACCAAGAATAAAACAAAAATTAGGTCTTGTCTTCTACCAAGTTTTATTTTAATTTAATACAAGTGAATTTTTCAGACCTATGATTAGTAAGTTAGAACTTTGAACTGCAACAACAACAAAAAGTATAAATCATTATTTTAATGTTGAACTGATGAACACAAAGATTAATAAGCAAAGATTTGATAAATCCAAATAACAGCAATGTTAATACTACAGTCGACCCCCCTATAACACGGTAGATATGTTCTGTTCTTTATGAATCGATTTCTTACGAGTCCTTACCAATCACAGCCCGACACATGTGAAGTTTACGGACTACAGCTGTTTGAAAAGTTTCCTTCCATAAAATTAATCGATTCTAGACAAATTTGACTCAACATTTCCAAAATACGTATATTTTTTTGGGAATAATCAGTATAAACTCCGCTATAAACAAAAAATTGTACGATTACTTACCGAGTGTGCACCATTCGACGTCACCATTGCTCAAGCTTGTTTTCGTCGCGGAGCAACGCACCAAACCGCGGCTGCGATTTCTGATAAGTTATTTTTCTGCGAAAACTTCATTGAACTTTGGAGACATCATTAATATAAATAATTTTTATGGCCGTTGAATAAGAAATGTTTCTTTCACAAGAAATGTATAAAAGTACAGTATTGTATTAGACTTACGGTACCTAATTTACATACTGTACAGACGACAATAAACAACTTACTCGCCTAAACTCCGTAGCATGGCGCTGGATGGCAGAAAGTATATATATATAATTATAATAAAGTTACAATAAATTAAGTTAATATATAATCAGTACCTAATAATATATATACAGTACCTAATTTATATATAATTAATATATAATTATATGTACAGTACCTAATTTATATATAATACTGTACAGACGATAGTAAACTCAATTTACCCGCCTAAATTCTCCGTAGTATGGCGCTGGATGGCGGAAAGTAGTTCGGCTGATGACGTTTTACCGAATTATAGGAGTTTTTTTTACCAGGTTTGTACGGATACCATCGCAATTTTTTCGCCGTCTTATAGGAATTGTAATTATAGGAACCCGTGTTATAGGGGGTCTACTGTACTAAAGTATTTAATTCATATTTTTCAATGACTAGAATTAAAAACTAAATTACAAACTAATATGCAATGTTGAATAGATGTGGAAAAGAAAATTATTGAACATTTCATTTCAACAAATCACAGAAAAGCTAATTTAAATAGTCCAGCAATGAGTTGTGTAACTTTCCCAGCAACATCTGGTGGTGCCATCTGTTAAAGTTTTTTAAATAAAATATCAACTATTATAAAATGGCAAAAAGCTTAATTTTTGGGGTAAGGATGAGTTTTATAAAAAATTGTAAATGCTAATAACAAGTAAGATCATCCTCCTGGAGATACATTTGACCTTTAAATCAACAAAATTTAATAGCATCAATCTCTCTAATAAACAAACCTCCCTGCAAAATTTCAGAAATTTTCGATAAAAAACACAGGCGTTATTAAGCTTCAAAGAGGGTGAACAGAATTATAGTTAACTGTAGTATTTATTGAACATAGCTTTTTAAATGGTTCGAATTCTAATATTACTATAATTCTAACATACCACTTCATATAAAACAAAATATATTTAATATGGAATACCCTAAGATCAAAAATAGAACTAGTATAAATACCAAGCAAATTGAACATCTAAATATAATAAAGAAAAAATTTATTCTTTCAGCATACCCAAACAGAATTCTTAGCACTTGGGAAAAAGAAATAGCCAAAAAAATTGATAAGAAAATAAAAACAGATCCTAAACAAACAGACATAAAATACATTCGTTTCTCACACATAAGAGGCTTGTACGAGGAAGTTAATAAAGAAGTCAAAAAAATTAATGTAAAACTAGTACAGACATGATAAGCTACTCTCTAGATTAAGTGCAAAAAATGTTAGAAAAACAAATACAGTAGAACCTCGAAAACTCGGCTCACGATAACCCGGCACTCCGGATAACTCGGCCACACCCTGGCAGGGCAAAAAAATCCTTAGTTAATTTTCATTATAGACAGCTTTATAAAAGTATAAAAGCTCTCATAAAGTATTTTTCTGAGGTCTGTCTTATCAGGTAAATTACTGTACACAGTGTATTCATTAATTTTCATTTTCATGTAGTAAAGGCTCTATGCCTTCATAAAGTACGTACTTTTCCTTTGTTTAAGGGTATTTGGGCAGTTTATTCTCTGTTGTATTCTCAAGCAAACAATTCATACAAGTACAGTACAGTATTTTCTGAGGAATCACGCATACTTATTCTTTTTTAACCCCATTCCCGATAACCCGGCATTTTCACAAACTCGGCCACCCTTCGGTCCACATTAGGCCGAGTTTGAGGTTCTACTGTATAACAAAGGAAGAAAGCAAAAACATAGTTTATAAAATCCCATGCACATGTCAAAATACTAAATTTTATATTGGTGAAACTAAATGTAAAGTTAAAGTAAGACTGAAACAACACACAGCTGATTTGAAATATCGAAGATTAAATTCCACCTTTCATGAACACTATCTTTTAAATAACTGTAATATAGATAAAAATAATATAGATATTTTACACAGAGAAAAAGATACATATAAAAGAAACCTTAAAGAAAGTATAGAAATAATCAAAAATCAAAATAGTATAAATAAAAATCGTAGCATCTCTAAGTGAAAATTGGTTAAAAATTTTATATTAATTCACCAACTTCAAAATTGTGTTATTATTGTAATCAATGAGCTAATTTATAATAATAAATATTGAACTGTTAAATAAATTAACAATAGTATACAACTGTAAAATTGTAATAGATGGCAGATAATATGTAAATTTATATTAATTGTTAATCATGTTTACCAACTTTGAGATATTGTATTATTACTGAGGTCCATGTAATAATTTATAATATTAAATATTAAAATGTTAAATAAATTACCAATCCATATACAGCTGTAAAATTGCAATAGATGTCAGATATGTAAATATGTAAATTTGTGAATGTGTATCGAAAGAAACAGAACAGATTTATGAGTGGAAAGTATAATCAATTGTGTACCACTTTAGTAGTTGTATCCAAAGTATGTTTTAGATCAAGATAGTTTTATAATTTCTGAAAAACTTTTGTATAATTTTATATATATGTATTGTATACTCTTTTAACATTTTAGTTGGCTGAAAGTATTAAGAATAAGCTGATGTCACTTTAATTTATAAAACTTGTATGCTTAGGTATGTTTTTGACCACGATAATTTTATAAACTTTACAAAACTTGTGTATTTTTTCTATATATGTGTTGTATCCTTTTTTAATATTTTAGTTGGCTGAAGAGGGGCTTAGGAGCTCAAAATGCATAAATTTTTCATACGTATCAACTGAATAAAGATGAGAAAAACCGCCAAGTGTCTTAATTTATAGCACTTTATTGTGTCAGAAGCAGAAACGTTTTATTATAAATTCTAGGTTAGCTTCACTGTATGAATTATTTCTTTTTACATTTTTTTGATTACTTTAAAATACAATGTTTTATTTATTTTCTTTATTTCTAGTTACATGTTTATAAATTGTTTTCATTATAACTTAGTAGCTGTCTCCTGATGATGGACTTGATTGCCAACCAGTGCTAGAGTAATTGGTAAATAAAGGTAAACTCCAACAAAACAGTTTGTTTTTTGTTATTTTTAAAAAACTTGGAGTTGTTTTCTCATTAGTTTTCATTAAAACTTAAGGACATTATAAAGTAAATAAATACTTTTAATAAAATGCTGGAAGCATTTATAGTTTTTTATTTTAAATGATTAGTTTTTCATGCTATACTTCTAAAACAAAATGACTTCCAACAACTTAACACTTCGTTGAGTAATAATAACGTAATAATAATATTAAATAAGTAATAATAAATAATAAAAGAAACACGGTCAGTCACCACCTGAAGCAGACCTCAGTGGAGGTCGAAAGCGTTTGTGGAGTAGTTAAGAACATAACACTTGTACAGAAAGGTTTTCGTGGATTATTATACTTCTAAATTATACATTTCAATTATATAATGTACAGTTAGTGTTGCCACCTTTTCAAAATCACTGACCTGGACGGCATGTGAGGTTTGTTCAAACAGAAGTTCCTGACGCATGCAATGTCATTTTGCAATGTGAAGAATAACGTGCAGTGCATGCCAGTTCTAAATCAGTTACAGTTAGGGACTAGGAACACTTGGGTAGGAGTAATGTAATTAACCTAAATTAAGAAAGAACAACTACAGATGACTTAGCTCTATTGAATATTGGAAATGTGTACGAATATGAATCGTACAATCGAAAAAAAAAAAGTCGACAAGGTTGCTCACGATATTCCCGGACAAAATTAATAGTTCACCCAGACAGTGAGTCGATTCCTGAACTGTCCAGGTGAAAATTGGATGGATGGTAACACTATGTACAGTAGAGCATCGATTATCCAAAGCAATTCAGATAACTGATCATATATGAAAAAATATATTAACCTATCCCCCATTGAAATTTTTCTCCATTGTGTGTCACTTCGGACTAATGAAATGTTAAGACTAACAAAAATATTTTTAAAATAATAATAGTGTTGTATCGTTAAAAATTATTTCTTTATTTTGCACAAACAAAATAAATATATTGAAAAATATTTTAAAAAATATATATTTTGGAAGTTAATCCAGTATCAAAAACGTTCCTATTCAGCACGACACGTCCTGACACAGTCCTCAGAAAAACACCAGACAAAACAAGCAAAACTCTTTCTTTTTCTTGGGTTCATCTGGAGATGTCAGCTGCTTGGGCTATATTCACTGACGAGCTGAAGCAAAACACAGCACTCACAGTGCAAGGTCCTAGAATATAGCTCATGATGGGGGGAAAAAAGCCTCGTTCAAGTACTGGTGCATCCTTAAGTACCCTCTCAACATGTATGAATCAGAACATTTTTGATGGTAGATTAACTTCCAAAATATATTTTATTTTTGTTTTTTCAAAATGTTTATTTTGTTTGTGCAGAATAAAGAAATAATTTTTAATGATATAATATGGTCATGCCAGAGCTGCCAGTTAAAACATGCTCACCAACAAAAATAATATTGGAGTAGCCCAAGACATAGCCAAATATTGCAGTGCCATAGCACTAGCAGAAATTTGAATTTGCTGACTGGAACGCTTTCAGTTAACCGATGTTTCAGTTGATAGGTATTTGGATAATTGATGCTCTCCTGTAATTTCTTTTTTATTGCAATCTTACATTTTATCAAATTTACTTGCCTCTTTGCAAATTTCTGTTTGATTATCAGTACCAAAATCTCTAATAAGATCTTCTTTCTTAGCAACTTGTCCTTTTGAGACATTAACAAATACTGTGTGTGTTTGGAGAACTTCATCCAAATCCTTTTCCCTAAAAATAAACTTTATAACTTTAATTTTTAATTAAAACTATATAATATTAAATAATAATTTTGTTCAAAGAAAACATTTTAAAATCATTTTTTTAAATAAAAACAAAAAACGTTTTCAAAGCTGTACTTAACTCTACAATAAGATGAAAAAAGTTATTTTAATACTTCTTTTAAAATGTTTTTGTATTTTAAAATATCGATAAAACTGAAAATAGCATTTATTTTTTTTAACCTTTATGGTGGATATCCTATAATCTTGAAAACACACTTTCTATTCAGATACAATATATATGTTTTGCTATGTATTAAGCCTTAACAAAAGTACTACACAATATTGTTAGCTTTAAGAATTTTGTTAAGGATCTAATGATACATGAATAGTCTTGAAAAACATTTAATCTAATAATCTAATAATGATCCCTTGAACTTTTCAGCATTTTTAAGATAATTATTTGATTATTTAAAATTTAAAAAATCTTTATATAAAATCAAAAGAAATTAAAATAAAGTAAAAAATAAACATCAGACTGTGATAACATCAAAATTCTATATTTAGGATTGAATTTTATCACTTATTTTGAAACTTAGTTCAAACAGATTTTGAAGAAAATCATTTTCATATTATTCATTATTTTAATTAATTTGCTGAAAGTCATTCTTCAAATTTTGAATTTCATATTCTCTAAGAAATCATTATCATTACTGAAAACAGCATTTTATTACAAAATTTTAAAAAATTATATTTTTGCTATTCACTTACAATAAATATATTAATAAAAATACTTTAAAATATATATATTTTGAAGCTATTACTTGAAAGAAATTATGTTATTAATCGTCATTTAGAATAGTTTTGATATAAAGTTATAGTTCAAAACATTAGAAACTATTCTGTATTAAATTGTTGTATTAATCTAAATACCACAATTCCTTTCAAGCAATTTTCCTAAAGAAATTCAAATTAGAATAAAAATTTTAGAAAATTAAATATCATAAATTTATTGTTCAAATCATTTTTTCAATAACTAAAATAGTAAAAATCATTTTTTCAATAACTAAAATAGTAAAAACTTTTGTAGAGCACAGTTAAGTAGATAACTGTTTATTTGTATAATAGTAAATCAATAAAAATATCTTTGCATAATATAGATATAAACAAAACTTAGCACATTTTTCACATATTCAATCATCTTTTTATGATACTTAGGATATTCATGTCATTTTAATTGATGATTATTTTGAAATTATTTTTAAATTCTTAAACTCTGCTAAATTTGGAATACAACTTTATAATTACCAAAGTTCAAAATTTTATTGGATTGCATTTTCCAGATTGAAAAAATAAAATCTTTAAACATTCCTACCATAATAATAAAACACTTATTCATGCAGAGTTAATGTATTTTTGCTTTTAAAGAATTATATTTTTATTAAAATTATACATTATAAATTTTCAAAATATTAAAACGAAAAAGCATTATATTCATCTTAGAAACTTTTAAATAATTAGTATTATAATCAAAAACTATTTTAATCATCTAAAAAGCAGTGTTTCCCAACCCACGTGCCACAAGAGTGCCTCAGATGCGTTGCAGAAACATTAAATATTTTAGAATCTTGAATAATAAAATATCTCTTAAAATTTCATTTATCTTCATCTTTATACCACTGGCCAACCAAAGGGAAAAACAGGGTATTTTTTTTTTTAAACTCTTTTTGCCCTGTGGACACTTAGATGGCTTCTTTCAGCAAGTCCATTATAGATTTGGCAAGACCCACAATGGAGTAGCCGGGTGGTGAGGACAGAGACCAACATATCCGGACAGCTCACCCCGGGGATATTTCGACATGTTCGGATTTGAACCCAGGTCCCGCAGAGCGGTAGGATGTCACCTCGACCGCCCGGCCATCGAAAATGAGGTATTCACTAAAATGCTGATCATTGCAAAATTTGCAGCATCAGCATATTTCCTTTGCAAAATCACACGAGTCTATCCACGCCCATGCCAATATATCAACTCTTTGGAGCATTTATAAATTGTATTATAAATAAAATTTTATATAACCTTTTTTAAATTATTTAATAAATATATAAGTATTATAAATAGAACATTTTATGTTAGAACACCTTTTAAAGCTACAGAACATTATAAATTGGAACACAGTTTTTTATCTTCTACTGTAGTTGTTTTTGCTTTTTCATTGGATAACCCAAGGCAGGCCGCTAAAGAAGGCCAAAATCATCATCTGCTATAAAAAATCATCTTTTAAAATTGGTATTACCTCTTATGTACACGTCATACACGTGTACTACTTTGAATTCGAATAGATAAGATATTCGTTCTTAAACTACACTTAAACTGAATTTTATATTGGCACGACATTAATATTTTACCTATAAAATCACAAGGATATGTCAATTTAAATTTAAGAAAACCAAAAATACCAACACTTTCATTCTCCAATTCATGACTTTATTCTTATAGCAAGCGATCTCGTATCGTTTTCCTTTCTTCTTTATCCTCACCACCGCGACATTCGTCAGCCTAATCTGGTTTGTTGGAGTGAAAATCGACATATTTAATAATCTTCAGATACTTCACGTGATCAATTACAAAATCCAAAGCAATAACGACACAGTCCTCAGAAAAACACCAGACAAAACAAGCAAAACTCTTTCTTTTTCTTGGGTTTATCTGGAGATGTCAGCTGCTTGGGCTATATTCTCCTATGAGCTGAAGCAAAACACACCACTCACGATGCAAGGTCCTAGAATATAGCTCATGATGGGGGGAAAAAAGCCTCGTTCAAGTACTGGTGCATCCTTAAGTACCCTCTCAACATGTATGAATCAGAACATTTTTGATGGTAGATTAACTTCCAAAATATATTTTATTTTTGTTTTTTCAAAATGTTTATTTTGTTTGTGCAGAATAAAGAAATAATTTTTAATGATATAATATGGTCATGCCAGAGCTGCCAGTTAAAACATGCTCACCAACAAAAATAATATTGGAGTAGCCCAAGACATAGCCAAATATTGCAGTGCCATAGCACTAGCAGAAATTTGAATTTGCTGACTGGAACGCTTTCAGTTAACCGATGTTTCAGTTGATAGGTATTTGGATAATTGATGCTCTCCTGTAATTTCTTTTTTATTGCAATCTTACATTTTATCAAATTTACTTGCCTCTTTGCAAATTTCTGTTTGATTATCAGTACCAAAATCTCTAATAAGATCTTCTTTCTTAGCAACTTGTCCTTTTGAGACATTAACAAATACTGTGTGTGTTTGGAGAACTTCATCCAAATCCTTTTCCCTAAAAATAAACTTTATAACTTTAATTTTTAATTAAAACTATATAATATTAAATAATAATTTTGTTCAAAGAAAACATTTTAAAATCATTTTTTTAAATAAAAACAAAAAACGTTTTCAAAGCTGTACTTAACTCTACAATAAGATGAAAAAAGTTATTTTAATACTTCTTTTAAAATGTTTTTGTATTTTAAAATATCGATAAAACTGAAAATAGCATTTATTTTTTTTAACCTTTATGGTGGATATCCTATAATCTTGAAAACACACTTTCTATTCAGATACAATATATATGTTTTGCTATGTATTAAGCCTTAACAAAAGTACTACACAATATTGTTAGCTTTAAGAATTTTGTTAAGGATCTAATGATACATGAATAGTCTTGAAAAACATTTAATCTAATAATCTAATAATGATCCCTTGAACTTTTCAGCATTTTTAAGATAATTATTTGATTATTTAAAATTTAAAAAATCTTTATATAAAATCAAAAGAAATTAAAATAAAGTAAAAAATAAACATCAGACTGTGATAACATCAAAATTCTATATTTAGGATTGAATTTTATCACTTATTTTGAAACTTAGTTCAAACAGATTTTGAAGAAAATCATTTTCATATTATTCATTATTTTAATTAATTTGCTGAAAGTCATTCTTCAAATTTTGAATTTCATATTCTCTAAGAAATCATTATCATTACTGAAAACAGCATTTTATTACAAAATTTTAAAAAATTATATTTTTGCTATTCACTTACAATAAATATATTAATAAAAATACTTTAAAATATATATATTTTGAAGCTATTACTTGAAAGAAATTATGTTATTAATCGTCATTTAGAATAGTTTTGATATAAAGTTATAGTTCAAAACATTAGAAACTATTCTGTATTAAATTGTTGTATTAATCTAAATACCACAATTCCTTTCAAGCAATTTTCCTAAAGAAATTCAAATTAGAATAAAAATTTTAGAAAATTAAATATCATAAATTTATTGTTCAAATCATTTTTTCAATAACTAAAATAGTAAAAATCATTTTTTCAATAACTAAAATAGTAAAAACTTTTGTAGAGCACAGTTAAGTAGATAACTGTTTATTTGTATAATAGTAAATCAATAAAAATATCTTTGCATAATATAGATATAAACAAAACTTAGCACATTTTTCACATATTCAATCATCTTTTTATGATACTTAGGATATTCATGTCATTTTAATTGATGATTATTTTGAAATTATTTTTAAATTCTTAAACTCTGCTAAATTTGGAATACAACTTTATAATTACCAAAGTTCAAAATTTTATTGGATTGCATTTTCCAGATTGAAAAAATAAAATCTTTAAACATTCCTACCATAATAATAAAACACTTATTCATGCAGAGTTAATGTATTTTTGCTTTTAAAGAATTATATTTTTATTAAAATTATACATTATAAATTTTCAAAATATTAAAACGAAAAAGCATTATATTCATCTTAGAAACTTTTAAATAATTAGTATTATAATCAAAAACTATTTTAATCATCTAAAAAGCAGTGTTTCCCAACCCACGTGCCACAAGAGTGCCTCAGATGCGTTGCAGAAACATTAAATATTTTAGAATCTTGAATAATAAAATATCTCTTAAAATTTCATTTATCTTCATCTTTATACCACTGGCCAACCAAAGGGAAAAACAGGGTATTTTTTTTTTTAAACTCTTTTTGCCCTGTGGACACTTAGATGGCTTCTTTCAGCAAGTCCATTATAGATTTGGCAAGACCCACAATGGAGTAGCCGGGTGGTGAGGACAGAGACCAACATATCCGGACAGCTCACCCCGGGGATATTTCGACATGTTCGGATTTGAACCCAGGTCCCGCAGAGCGGTAGGATGTCACCTCGACCGCCCGGCCATCGAAAATGAGGTATTCACTAAAATGCTGATCATTGCNGAGTAAGAAATTTTGGCATGTCTTGTGGATTGATGATGATGTGTGTTAGATGTTTAGCTAGTTCCTGGTGCAGTGATGTAAACTTTTTGTACCAGAAATTGTGAATGTTGTCTACACCAGGTGTCTTCCAGTTGTGTGTTCTGTTAACAGCGTAGCGAATGTCGTGTACGTTTATTTCAGCACAGGGCATAGTTAGTATGTTGTGCAAGTTTCTGTTCTCCTCCTCGATCCAGCCTGCATCAGGGATCGAATCTGGACGAATCGAAAAACCGACGGACCTGGGTCCGTCGGTTTTTCGATTCGTCAACATATTCTGGATTTCTTCGATTTCTTCGTCAACATATTCTTCGATTTTTCAACATATCTGGACGGACCTGGGTCCGTCCAGATATGTTGGAGCCATCCCTCGTCACCCGGCCGCCCCATTGCAGACCTGGGCGAAGCTATAACGTCATCTTAGTGCTCACAGGGAGAGGAGAGTTAAAAACAAGACACTCTTTTATATCTAGACTCTTCTCGAGATTATTCAATTTACTGCTTTTATTGCAGCATTCTTCCCATAACGGAAATTCCGATACAGCGCTTCCATGAAAGCTCTGATTCGAAAATTCCGCTTCGACGTGAAGTAAAACGATGAATGCTTTCTATTATCCTTTTAAATCTAAAAAGATTAAACATAATATAAAGTTTATGTATTTTATACGGCGTATTATATTCTACCGTGATTTTATCTAAAATCACAAAAGCATCAAAATAGCATTTTATTTAAGTTAATATAGAATTCCGTTCATTAAGTTTAAAATTGCGGCATTATGGATGGATTTGTATACATTTATTATTAACAAATATTACTAAGAAAATAATATTAATTTAATTAATATAATTTTACTAATTAATATGAAACTTTTAATATTTCTGGGCGTAAAATATTTGAATGAAAATTATTACGTAAAAGAAAAATGACGCAAGATCAGAGCAACTTGCATTATTTTAGCTGGCAACATGTACACACAAAATCTAAAAATATATTTTACATTTATCTTAAAATAATCTGTTTTTATTATTACAAATAAACGATTTCGATATGATAATTAGAAAATTTTAATTTTATTTTTACATAACGCGAAAAAATAAATAAAAACGTTATATTTCTAGGATAATACGTCATCAAATATGGTGTGACGTCACAACACCCGGTGTGATCGTGATTCAGATTTGCTTTATAGTGTTTTCTCTGATTGTGCTTGATTTAAAGTTTGTAACATGATAAAATTGAATTGTAGTAGATCTAATCCTCCGCTGAGTATCGTAATTGCTGTGGAATTCGTGCAACCCGATCTGAAGCTGAAGATAGAATGGACAGAATCGACACATCTGGAAACCAAAAATGGTCCTAGTTTCTCGGATTCCAATTCAATTTTACGATATTTAAGTCGTCTAGAACCCAAGAAATATCTCTATGGTAAAACATTATTGGAGAGAACAGAAGTTGATCATTAGTTATCATTTTGAATCAGTAATTTAAAAGAACCGCCTCAATATGAAACCATTATAATTTATTTGGATAAAATCCTCTCTTCTGTTACTTACTTAGTAGGTCAGGCTATTTCATTAGCAGATTTAGCTATTTGGAGTGAACTGTATAAAAATATAAAGTGGCATGGTGCTCTGAATGGCGGTAATGCCCCTGTAAATGTTTCCAGATGGTATAATTATATATCAAGTCTTCAGCAAGTCGTTTTGTCTTTACGAAATCTTCCGCCCGACGTTTGCAAGAATTTAAAAGTAGTGGAAATGGGTAAAAAAGATAAAGAATCGTCGCAAAGCAAATCTCTACCTAAGGAAGAAGGAAAATTCGTAGATTTACCTGGCGCGGAAATGGGTAAAGTAGTTGTACGGTTCCCTCCTGAAGCCAGTGGATATTTACATATTGGTCACGCCAAGGCGGCTTTGTTAAATCAGTATTATCAGCAGAGTTTTAAAGGAAAGTTAATTATGCGATTTGATGACACAAATCCAGCTAAAGAAAAAGAAGATTTTGAGAAAGTCATTTTAGAAGATGTTGAATTACTTCAAATTAAACCAGATAGATTTTCTTATACTTCTGATTATTTTGAATTAATACTTTCAAAATGTGAAGAACTCATAAAAAATGGAAAAGCTTATGTCGATGACACGGATCCAGAAATAATGAAGATGGAGAGAGAACAAAGAAAAGAATCAAGATGCAGAAATAATACTGTTGAAAGCAACTTAAAAATGTGGGAAGAAATGAAGAAAGGTACGGAATATGGTCAACGTTGTTGTGTTAGAGCAAAAATTGACATGACTTCGGATAATGGCTGCATGCGAGACCCCACATTATTTCGATGCAAGAATGAAATTCATCCACGCACTGGAAACAAATATAAAGTCTATCCTACTTATGATTTTGCATGTCCTATTGTAGATAGCATAGAAGATGTCACTCATGCTCTCAGAACTACAGAATATCATGACAGAGATGATCAATATTTTTGGATCATAAATGCTCTTGGATTACGAAAACCACATATTTATGAGTATTCTCGTCTTAATATGATGAACACTGTTCTCTCTAAAAGGAAGCTTACATGGTTTGTTGAGAATAAAATTGTAGAAAGCTGGGAAGATCCACGAATGCCAACTGTAAGAGGTGTTTTAAGAAGAGGAATGACTGTAGAAGGTCTGAAACAGTTTATTGTTGCACAGGGTTCTTCACGTTCTGTGGTAGTAATGGATTGGGACAAAATATGGGCCTTTAATAAAAAAGTAATTGATCCTATTGCACCAAGATATTCAGCTGTTGAAAAGAATGGAGCAGTAGAAGTAATTGTAGATGGTATAACTAAAGAAGAGCCATTAACTGTAGCAAAACATCCAAAAAATCCTGAAATTGGTACAAAAACTATTTGGATTGGATCAAAATTACTAATTGACAAATCTGATGCTGAAGCAATGAAAGAAGGAGAAAATGTGACTTTTATAAATTGGGGTAATTTATTGATTAAATCTATTGAAAAAGATGCAAAGGGAATAAAGAGAATTAAAGCTGAACAAAACTTAGAAAATAAAGATTATAAAAAGACATTAAAAGTGACATGGGTTGCAGAAACTGAAGAAGTATCATTAGTTCCCTGTGTGTGCATTTATTTTGACCACATAATTTCTAAACCAATTTTAGGAAAAGATGAAGATTTCAAAAATTATGTTGCAGAAAATACTAGAATAGAGGTGAATATGTTAGGTGATGCTGAACTTTCCACTTTAAAAAAATCTGATATAATTCAGTTACAGAGAAAAGGATTTTTTATATGTGATCAACCTTATGATCCAAGTACAATACGTCATATTGGACGAGAAAGTCCTTTAGTATTGATTTCAATTCCAGATGGTTCCAAGGATACAAATATTCTTCCAAAAGAAGTAATCCAAAAGAGAGGTAAAACTGAAAGTGAAAAAGAACAATTGCAGAGATCAAAAGGAAAATCAGCTGAAAAGTCTCCACAAGATGAACCAAAAGTTACAATAAGCCAGATTTCTGTAGAAGAGTTGAATGAACAAATTAAGCAACAAGGAAACTTAGTAAGATCTATGAAATCTGAGAAAATGGATAAAGACAAAATTAGCAAAGAGGTAGATCATCTATTAAAATTGAAATCACAGTATAAAAATCTTACTGGTAAAGAATGGAAACCATCAAATAATGATCAAAATAAAACTCAAGTAAAAAATATTGCAGAACAAACAAATCATGATGAAACTGAACTCAATAATCAAATTTTATCCCAAGGAGACAAAATTAGAAAAATGAAAGCAGATAAAACAGACAAAAGTATTTTAGATCCAGAAATTAAACTGTTATTAAGTTTGAAAGCTTCTTATAAAGCTCTTACTGGAAAAGAGTGGAAGCCACATACTGCAGATCAAGCAAAAAATGAAAAACAAGATAAAAGTGAACAAAAAGATGCATCACAACTTTCTGAAAATGAATTGAATAATCAAATAAAATTACAGGGAGACAAAATTAGAAAAATGAAGTCTGAAAAACAAAGCAAAGATGTTCTTGATCCAGAAATTAAACTACTATTAAATTTAAAAGAAAAATTCAAAGCACTTACTGGTAAAGAGTGGAAACCGATAAATCAGAACCCAAGTCAAACTAAAAATGCCAATACAACAGAAAATACTGCTGTTAATTTAAATGTGAATAGTAAGGAACAGGGAGAAAAAAGTATAAAGAACAAAGATACTATATTTGAAAAATCTGTAGAAGGGAATAAAAGAACTGATGTTAGTCACCCTGCAGCAATCGAATTAAAAAATAAAATTGATACTCAAGGAGAAAAAGTCAAGAATTTAAAAAATAGTAAAGCTGCTAAATCTGAAATAGATGCTGAAGTTGCAGTTTTATTAAAATTAAAATCGGAATATCAAAATCTCACTGGAGAAGATTTAATTAACAGTAATAAAAAGAAAGAGAGAAAATCACCAACAAAAGATAAACATACAAATATTAAAGAAAAATCCTTAAAAGAAACTGTTCAAGATGAAGAAATGAAAAGTTCAGCTCTGAAAAAGATTACTCGTCTTGGTCTAGAAGCAAAAAGAGAAGAGAACCTTGCTGATTGGTATTCGCAAATTATCACAAAAGCGGAATTAATTGAATATTATGATGTGAGCGGTTGTTATATTTTGAGACCTTGGGCCTTTGCTATTTGGGAGAATATCAAAGAATATTTTGATGGCAGAATTAAAAAACTTGGAGTTCAGAATTGTTATTTTCCCATATTTGTTTCCTCACATGCTCTAGAAAAAGAAAAAACACACATTGCAGATTTTGCACCAGAAGTTGCATGGGTAACAAAGTCAGGAGATAGTGATTTGGCCGAACCTATAGCTATCCGACCAACTAGTGAAACTGTCATGTATCCATCTTATGCAAAGTGGATTAAATCTCACAGAGACCTTCCTCTTCAACTAAATCAGTGGTGTAATATTGTTCGATGGGAATTTAAACATCCTCAGCCATTTTTACGTACCAGGGAGATTTTATGGCAAGAAGGACATTCAGCCTTTGCAACTGAAAAAGAAGCAATTGAAGAGGTCCACACCATTCTAGAGATGTATGCTGATGTTTATGAGAAACTTCTTGCTATTCCCGTCATTCGTGGAAAGAAAACAGAAAAAGAAAAATTTGCTGGAGGAGATTTTACAACAACTGTAGAAGCATATATATCTGCCAGTGGAAGAGCCATTCAGGGTGGTACTTCTCATTTTCTTGGTCAGAATTTCTCAAAAATGTTTGAAATAACTTTTGAAGATCCTGAAACTAATGAAAAGAAATTTGTGTATCAGAATTCCTGGGGACTTACAACTCGTACAATTGGTGTCATGATTATGATTCATGGTGATAACAAGGGTTTAGTTCTTCCTCCCAGAATTGCAGCTTTTCAAATAGTGATTGTTCCATGTGGTATAACTGCTAATCTTGGCGAAGAAGATAAATTTGATTTAATAAATAAATGTAAGGATCTGGAAGAAAAGTTGTCGTCATCAGGAATTAGAGTTAAAGGTGATTATCGTGAAAATTATTCTCCTGGTTGGAAGTACAATCATTGGGAGTTAAAAGGTGTGCCAATAAGAATTGAACTAGGTCCAAGAGATGTTAAACAAAAGCAGTTTGTGGCAGTGTGCCGAAATACTGGAGATAAAATTACTGTATCACTAGAAAATGCAGTTGATAAGATAAAATCACTTCTGGAAGAGATACAGTCTGATCTTTTTAACAGAGCAAAGAAAGATTTAGAAGATCATCTCACTGTTGCTTATCAATGGGATGAATTCTTACATAAATTAGACAATAAATGTATCATTCAAAGTCCATTCTGTGGTGAAATTAATTGTGAAGATAATATTAAAAAAGATAGTGCCAAAGATGCTGATATGCACCAAGATGCCGGAACACCTTCCATGGGTGCAAAAAGTCTCTGTATACCATTTAACCAACCAGGTTTGTTAGATTTTAATACAAAATGTATTTACCCGCATTGCAGAAATCCGGCAAAATATTATACTTTATTTGGCCGCAGTTACTAATTTATCTCAATGTTGCTAAATGTGACAAATAAATGGAAATAAGTATTCATATATTTTTTATTTGTTTATTTAGTTTAATTTGTTTAACAAGAAATATTTATTGTATTTACAAAATTACACTATAAATATCATTTTCATCCAAATCAGAGAAAATGTCTTTATATAAGACTAAATGGGTGGAAAATGCTTTGAAAACTGACTGTCCTAAATCATTTTTTATTAATGACAAATTTGTTATAAATTAAATTAATATATAAAATATTTTTCATAGTTTTGACTTTGTAAAAGTTACAAAGCCAAAACTATTATTTGTGCAAATTATTAGTCATTTTCTCTTCTTTGAGAAAATGACTATTTAATAATTTGTACAGAAAATATAATTTGAGAAGAATATACCTTGTAATGAGAGATTATTTATTGTGACATTGTCACAATGCTGGGCTGCAATTTTTAATCATATTATTATAATTTATTTCATTTAAAATATATGCTTTCCACCTCAAGTTAGTACTGTCTTGCCCCTGTACATCATACTTTTCCCTTTAACAATAGAGTTGTGCCAATCATCTATTAACTGTTTTCAGAGGAAAACTTTTGAACTGTAATAACATGACTTCTGGTTTGCATCAGAAGTTCTTATAGTTAATCGGGGTCTCCTGCCCCTAAGGTTTCCTGGTCACAAATTTCATCTATCTAATTCTGTTCTTAAGATTAACCTTTCAACAGTGGAATAGTCAGGTATGGTGCTACCCCTTAGTAGTGGAGAATAAACATGCAAAATTTTTAGAGTATTTTTCCACGTGTTTTTTCTCATTACTGTTTCAGAAAAAGATTTTGTAAACAGTTATGTCTAGTAAAGAAAAGTCTTTTTTTATTGTTACATAATTCATTTTTTATGTGAATTTTTTTTTTCGCAGTAGTTTTTGGTTATACCCCCAAAAGAATTTGATGTATATATATATAATCTCACTGGAGAAGATTTAATTAACAGTAATAAAAAGAAAGAGAGAAAATCACCAACAAAAGATAAACATACAAATATTAAAGAAAAATCCTTAAAAGAAACTGTTCAAGATGAAGAAATGAAAAGTTCAGCTCTGAAAAAGATTACTCGTCTTGGTCTAGAAGCAAAAAGNAAATATATATATATTTATTTTTTTTATGCGAAAAATATATATATATATATATATATATGTCCCTCACCACTGCCACACAATCACCCTTGACAAATATATTTGTCGCTCACTGCTGAGTGGTTAAAAGAAACAACAGTGGGAATTTATACATCTACAATTTTTTTCAAATTGCAGCCCAGTTATATTAATCACAAAAATATAACATACAAATAATTATATATTGTATGGACAGAAACACTGCACTAGGCTAGTAAGCTGTAGATCAGTACAAAATTTTTGTCTAGTTGAAATATTTGAAACAAGTGGCTGGTCATGATAAAAAATAAGTGGTGAAACTGAGGCTTTTCTGCTTTGCCTTGACTGTTAAGCCATGCAAGTGCTTGTTTTATTGATGATATCAAGTAACTTCTCCTTTGAGTATTTTAACTGGATGAAAAACATTGTACTGATCTTGAGATGTACGACTTTGTAATTTAAACTATGCTTTCATCTTCATTTTTCATAGGATCTGAGATAGGATTTGCCCCATGTGAAGGGGATTTGGGATGCATGGATCTAAACCAATGCACTACTGAATAAATATACTCTACTGCAGCAGTTTCCAACTTATGTTCCATGGAATACTAAGGTGCTGTGAATGAAATTTGGGGTTCCACAACAAAACTAGTTTTTGAGCTTTAGTTAATAGTTTAATTAAATAAATTTTTCATACATATTTTAAAGTTTCAATTATTAATATTCCTTAAGAAAAGATGATTTATTCTCAGACTCTCCACAATTCACATTTAAGAAAAATATCTGTGAGTCTAATGATGGGCAAATTATGTATTTGATTCTTTTCCGCGTGTTCAATTCTTTGTATTTGAATACTAAAGTAATTCCTGTTGGATAAACTGTTTAATAATCCTGTTGGATATCAATATTCAAATATTTGAGTGTCTTTTAACTATATGCAAAAAAGTCAAAAATAAATTTAATTCTTCTACCATGTAATGAAATCATCTGCAAAAATTAATCTTTTACATTAATTACCAGTTTGAATTAATAATAATAATTTTTCCATTATTCTGAGTTTTGTATGTTTAATAAATTATTAAACATACAAAACTGACAAAATTAAAACATTGTTGTTTTAATTTATAGTCAGTAAAATTGTCAGGTTTCAAAACTTTTTATGAAAGTGAAAAGGGTTCCTTGATTAGTATAGTAGTAGTTCCCATTTAATTTTATAGTTGCATTTAGTTATTAGTTAATAGATACAAAATACAGCCTGATGCAATGTTTATGTCTACACCATTTATTTATGTATACAGAGTCTACATGCATCACTACATAAATAGGTATAGAGAGATGAAATCAGTGGTGTGCTGTGGAAGCACTGTTTTCTTTGTATTTTCTAAAATATAAATACATATTGTGCAATTATTTTCATATTTTAATGTACTGTACTTTGAATTACTGTACTTAAAATTAATATTTTATTATAACTGCATTATGTATTTTATTACAAATTTCTATACATGTGAAGAACAATGATAAGATTGCTGTTGTATATTTGAATATAAATTCATATATGCATATTCCCAATGGAAGTGCTGTATTGTCTGATATGGGACAGCTTCCAAGGCAAAAATATTTGAATGGCATAAAGCATCCAGATTATATGTATTCACACATGCTCTTTATAGAGCACCAACTTTGCGGTTTAGCTCATGGATAATACACGCCAAAACATTGTATTGCGCTTCCAATGATTCTATCTAGGGCTGGCACAGCTTCCCTATCATCAAATGTCACCACACACCACTGGATGAAATATATAAATTACTTATGTATTTATTTTTTGCATTAATTAAAACAATACATAAATTATGGGTCTAGAATGATTAAATATCATTTAATATACTTGTTAATACTTTCCATTTGAAAATTAGAATTGTTCAGTAATATGAACAATAATTTAACACTCAAAAAACCTTAACAGTCCAGTACTAAATATTTAATAGAAAACAAATGTTTTCAATTTAAATATTTAGTACTGGACTGTTAAGGTTTTTTGAGTGTTAATTTATATGTGTTCCAGTATTCATGTACAAAGGTTTTTTAATTTAAGCTGAACAATAATTCTAGATTAATATAAAACAACATTTTTAACACAGATATAGAAATTGACAACTTAACTATATATATATATTTTAAATGCAGTATCTGTACTAGTAACTACTATCGTGTCTTTAATAAAAATCAAAAACTAAGATTTCTAATTCTGATGCTAATTTTATGTTGCTTATAATAGTATTGTAATAAATTCATCATAACTTACTGATGATGACAAAACAGATTTATTCTAGTAAAATATGATTGATACCATTTATCTGAAAATCTTGAAATTTTCAAATTATTCTGAATAGAATTTAGTCAAATGTATTGACTATTTGCTCAAAAATAACTTCATATGAAATTGAAATTACTTAAACTTATTAGTAGATTAACTGTATTGCTACACATCAAAATCACATGATAAAATTCTATTAAAAACTGCAACAAATTTTTAATTTAACAGTGTTATTTAATTCCCAAACTTTTATAAATTGACATAAAAAAAGAAGGTTGTTTTATATCTCAAACAATAAATTAAAACAATCTTCTAGTTTACTAAAATTTTTTCATATAGATTTTAAATTTAGCAAAATGTTACTCTCTATTATTATGTGGAAGACATCGAAAATGTTATATGCAATAATGACAATTGTATAAAAACCAAAGAAATGAACCTAAAGCTACATCTTCATCAATGTACATCCATCTTTGAAGCAATTATACCACATCCTAATTCATGCAGGGCTCATAGCATTGTTGCCAAAAGCCTGCTGATTTTTCTGAATGCCAGAAGCTTGATACCAAAGTTGAAACCAAAGTTTGATACAATAATGCTGTTCAAGTCATTTCATATCAAATGAAAATGCAATGGGCATTCACTATACATATTCAATCATAAACTACTAATGGGAAAAAATTCATTCATGAGCAAAGAGATTCCATATATCTCCCAGCCAGCAGACATGTTGTGAACTTTATTTGTTTCTGCAGGAAAATTAATGATTGATACTTTTTGAACACTCCTATTTATTCAACAAAATGAACTTTTGGGCTATATATTAAAACGGAATAAAAAATAGGCATTAGCATTTTGATATTGCTGAGAGTAAAAGATGTCAAATTGCTCAAAAATTTTATTCATGGAATGAAAAATTCTCAGAATAGTCTTTAGAAGTTGGCAAGCTTAGATACAACACTACAAGAAAGTTAGTTAGCTGTTATTTACTGTTGTAGCTGTGTGGCATTTAATAGCTTAGGCAAAAAAGCAAATTATCTCAAACTGTAATAATCTCTTGATGTTTATAAGAGCATGTACAGTATTTGTTTTGAAATACTATTTCTGTAATCATGATATACTTGTAATACTTTGTCAGACAGTCTGTCATTATAATTACTCCAAAATATTGAAATTAATTCAAAGCTGTTCTTTATTGGAATGATCTGAATTTCAATAAAATATTTTCTGAAATATCAAATGCTTTTCAATGATTATTGATCAAAAACAATAAACATATGCATAGAAAAGTATTTTCTATGTTATCTTCAGTTTATTTAGATTCTTCTTAAAAGGATTTTTAAACATAATCAAATATTAATAAATTAAGTATATTTTAAGCCTTCATAACAAATGAGAATGAGGAGAAAAAAGTGCAAAAAACATTTAATACATTCATATATGTAAAATTTTGACTTCTTTAATAAGTTATGTTTTGCTAATGAACTTTTTAAATTTTTATTGGTCATAATGCAAATTTTGCTGATTTTCATTGCATAATCTGATGTTACCATGGAAATTCCATGTATACTAATATTAATGTAATTAAAAATAATAAGTTTTTTTTATTTTAAAATAATTCTGACCTGTAAAATAGCTTCAAATGAAGCTACAATACACATTTCTTTTAAAAATTCTACTTCAAGTATATTTAAGTTATAGGTTAAGTACTAAAGCAAAAAAAATTTTTTTTTAAATACAAACTTGTGCTTTGCTTTAATAATTTGATTTGAAAGTTTTTATAAACATTTGTTAGTATAAATTATTTGATATCAATTATTATAACTAATAATTTTGAAGTAATAAAATTTAATATAAAATAGTACAGAAAAATACAAAGTTTTATTATGAATTTTGTATTTTTTTTAAAAAAATTATTAGTCATAATTATATGCATAATTAAAAAAAAACATTTGAAGATTGCTAATAATTTTGTTCTTCACAAATATTGTTTTTAACATTTTTTTAGTTAAGATAATCTTGAATTATCATTTATATTTTATAAATTGATTTAAATTATTTAAGTATTTAGAAATTCTGTTATTAAAGGTACACTTCTACATTAAAATTTGGTAAAATAAAAAAAAAAGTATGTTTAAGAAATTACTTCATTTAACTATAAAAATATATTATGTATAAATGTGATTATCATCATGGTGAATATTAGCTGTTCATAAATCACATGATGCAAATACAGATAGTTGAATATACTGTACATGTAATTGTTACAAGGCATTACAAAGGGGTGGGGCATATTTATAAAAGCTATGCAATGCTAGCCTCAACCGTGGAATAACAAAAGGACTCATTGTTTCTGAAGTGTTGCAAAATGAACAGTACTGTTATGTCACTGCTTTGTAAATAGAAAACATAACATTTGGTACCCCTTTGCTGTATATTATTCTTTAATACAGTTAAGATGTTGGATCCAGGGTATGCATTACATAATATTAAGGACAGATAAGTGTCATAGCATTATGCAGTGTTACAATGGATAGAATGGTATAAAAATAGCATTACATAATTTATAGACATTCTCTTATATATTAATAATAAACTCACAATAATTAGTTATTGTATTATTTGCCATTTTTTAACATCTATACATTTTTGTCTTAGAAATTTTAATGTTATAATCATGAAATACTCAAAAACAATTTGTTCCAGTATCAACAATTTTAGTTACTATTCTTCATTTTGAATTTGAATACTGTTCCATGTACTTCTAAGCAATGGTCAAAAATGTTTAACAAATAAGTCTAATTTCTGATTTCAAAATGGTGCCAAAATTTTTTTTTTTCATTTAAGTTTCATATTTAATTCTGATAAATTAATCATATTCAGATTTGTTAATACCTATTCAATAAATTATGATTTTGGGATTAAAAAAATTTCAAACAAGTAGGCGATTTATTCGGATCTGAATATAAAAGTGAAGAACATTTTATCAATAGATAAAATTAAGGCTGATTGTAATCTCTCTAGTTATACACACAAACCTGTTTAATTCCATTAATAGTTCAGAATTTTTAAAATCAAGTTTGTTAATTTTCTACAAATTAAAAGCTCATAGAAAATTAATGAATTCAGTTTTCAAAATTCAAAACCATAAGTTAACAGAATTAAGTAGAATTCTAACATAAAAACTATTTGGTTCTATCTACAGGTAACCCCCGTATAACACGGTAGTTATGTTCCAAAAAATTGCCGTGTTATGTGAATCAAAGAACTAGTACAAAAAGGAGGATTAGGTTTCAAAAATTAAAAAACATGCTACTATATTTTCATAATTAAGTTAAATATCTTTATTAAAATTTTCTTAAGTGATACATATTAATATAAATTAAACAATGTTTTCTTTGTCATCACTAAAAACACTATTAACCAAGAGCGTTTTATTTTTGGCAAGTTGTTATTTTCTGAGCATTTTTCTGCATTATTTTCAAATTCTTGCTTTTACCTTTTGCGAAAAGTGTATGTAATTTTAGATTGCTTGCTTCTAGTTAAAAGATCTTTATAAATTTCCTTATATGGTGTTAAGCACTTATGGAATAAGGGAAAAACATCTGGCAACACCAGAAGCGTCGAGATATGGCAAAATTGAAACAATTTTCGCGAAGGACCATGTGTATGGAGACGAGAAAAGAAAATTTACACACTGAAGTACTAATAGTTCACGAAAATAATAATTTTTGTGAACTATTAGTACTTATGTAAAAATTTATTACATTTCATGTTGTACGAGGGTTTTACCCATTTCTCCAACCGTGTCAGAGTGAATCCGTGCTATAAAAGTACCGTGTTATACGGGGGATGGTACCAATTCTCAAACTGTGTTAGAGTGAATCCGTGCTATAGAAGTACCGTGTTATACAGGGGTTACCTGTACTTGTTTTTGAAAAGTTTTGGAAGTATCCTCATAAAGCATTACATTTTTATCATTTGCTGGAGATTGAAAAGCTGATTACAACTTGTGTGTGTGTGTGTGTGTGCAATGTTTTTTAACATGTCATGTAAATATCAATTATGAAATTGTCATTTAGAGTTAATCAAATATTAAAACATATTTGTCTATTATAATTTATATAAATTCCATTAGACTGGATTGGATGTGAGCTATTAGGCTCATTAACAGTCTCAATTTTGACTGTTATAAATAGCTTGATCTATTATAAGAATGGAAAGCAAGGAAATACATAAGAATATTCCAATTTAGAACTGCACATGAATAAACAGGTTTCTGAATAATTCGAATCTGGTAATATTTAATGCAGGGCCAGGTGAACTATGAAAAAATCTGAAAGACAAATTTTTTTTTTAATCTTATGAAAATAACAAAAGTCGTTTTCATCATCTAATCTCCATTTTTTTAAATTGCATTACATTAACATGCTGCTGTTCTTCAGAATATATCCATGGTATAACCAAGTTTTAAATACCAGGAAATTTTGAATCTTATTTCCTGCTATTACATAATTTGTGTGTTAAGAAGGAAAATATGTTAAATAGTAGGATAAAATTACCTGAATTTTCTAACTTTATGATTCTAAAATCTCAATTTAGTCCTAGAGGATTTTTTTTCTTTTCGTTTTCTTGATGAATACTTAATTATGCAATCTATCAAACTCATTTTCTTCCTCAGCTCCAATATTTTTTGATTTAATATATTTTTGCTTCTTTTTCCATTATTCTTATAATGTAAATATTTTTTAGTTATAGATATACTTTCAGATTTTTTTATTTGCATGCTGAAAATAGCTGATGTAATAAAATATCACTAAAAAAATTGTGCGCATGCGTTATCAATTCTATCGAGACGATGGAACTTTCTTTTCAAATGATTTTTATGAATGTACACAAACATTCTGAAAGATATCTATTGTTATTAATAAGAACAAGAACAGCTTCTCATTGATATGCATTACAGTATATATCAAAAATACACTGGCATAAATTGTAACCTCTTTTATTGTACATTTATTTATTTGACAATAATGCTATTCTTTATTTACATAACTGTGCCATCCTTAGTCAAAAAACTTTGGGTTCTAAATAAATGGGGGAAAAAATAAATCACTCAAATGCAAACAGGTCTTCAGGCACCAAAAACACAAATCTTTAAAATAATTTATGTCTCCAAGAAATAACATATTCAACAAGTTAAATGTGTAAAATACACATCAATCATATTTTACATTCATTTACAAAACAATGTTTATTCTGAATACCATTTAATCATTTCATATCTTAGGCTTATAACTTGGCAATTTTTTTTGTTTTGTTTTCTTAGAAGGGCACATTTTGTTATTTATATCTACAAATATGAAAACCATTGTCAATTCATAGTATTAAAAATGTCTGATGTTTTAACTGGCAGAAACCAGATTTAAAAAAGTATCTGAACTATATTTTGACTAAATTGCCGAAGGAGGAATCTAGCAGCAGTAAGTTCAAAATAATTTTGGTAACGAATAATTTTTCTAAAACCATTAGAGCTTTCGCTCTGATAACCGTGCTTTAAAGTTCAAATTTACATGTCAGAAGCAAATTTAAAAAATTTTTCTGAATAGCAACAATTGTGGTTTCAAAATAGCATTATGAATGTACAACTTTTAATAAATTTTGGGAACCTCCTTTTCAACTAATTTTCTCTTAAGCTATCTATATAATACAAAAAAGTGCCATCCAAAATTTATTTTCTATTAACATAAAATTCATAATTTACAAAAATTATTATAAACTTTTTTTATATTTCATTTCTAAAAAGAAATGTTGAATTGATTCATTTTTTTCTTTTTGGTTTGGTCATTTTGTGCAAATAAAACACAAGGTTTCGGATGTGGCATAATTTCTTGCACTTGTTGCAGGAATCATTCTTCTTCTTGATCCTTTTTTCCCACACTTTACCATTTCACAAATGGAAATACCAACTTGTGTTAAGGTATCTTGGATAAAGGAGGCACACATGCACTTGTAGGTAAAATCTGCTGTCACCACTTCAATGACTGAATATATTTCAATTTATTTTGTACTACATCTTCAAGTTCTTTCAAAGACACTTTATAACTTTTTTCAATTTTGTCTTTTACACCTTGAGCTATTTCTTGACTGTCCTAAAATACACAGATACATTAATTTAGCAAATTAAAAATTAAATATATGCTAATTATGAATAAAATAAAAAATTGCTTACTTCAATACTTAATTCTGACTCCGTTAATGATAAAGATTTTAACTGAGAAACTAATAGTGAAGAATCCAGATTTTTTAGAATTTCTTGATACTGTACAATTGCTTGTTCAATGTTATTGATAATTTCACTGAAATGCTGAAAGGTTTCTGGCTACAAAATAAAATATTTAATTAAAAAAATGAAAAAAAGAAACTATATTTAAATGTATTTTTGTAATCTTACTCCAATTATAATATTTTCTTTCTTCTTCTTGCCTTTTTTCATCAGTGCAGATTTTGAAGGTTTTAAAATAGTGTGGCTAATGTCAACAAGCACTATACATAAAGATAGTGTCTGAAAATATAAAACTTTTAATTATAATTTCATAATCAATATTACATTTATGTCAAAACAGTTAGAAAGTTTTAATGAATTAAAAGTTGTTATTCTTTATCTTAATATTTTTGATAAGAATGACATGTGTAAAATACAAACAAAAAAACAGAATCCATTCTTGTGTTAAAAACAGAAAATATTTTAAATTAGAATCCTCAAAGTTTATTTATAAAATACAAAACAGTTTTTATAAATTAATTTCTAAAAATGAAAAATTCTCATAATTAGTTGTCCTAACAGAAAAAAAACATTACTTGTATGTGGTGAAAATAAAATTTGAAAGTAATAATATCAGAATTATTTTTTGATTTCCTTAAATATTGCATATTTATTATTTGATACATAAAATAACAATAAATGTCATAGTTTTAAAAAACCAACATTCTTTTCATTGTGGAAATTATTCTGTATACTTGAAATTAATGTTTTATTTTCTACAGATGTCTGAATAGATTATAACAATAAACTTATAAATAATAAATGCTTATAATGCACTGTTTAAATGAACAGTTCAGCAACTATCATATTTCCTCAATTGAACCTAGGGGATTTATTTTTAAAACATATATATCCCCAGGGAAGAAATGCAGAATATGCCCAATTGTATGAATCAATTTGGAGAAATTAAAGCAATCTCAGAAAAATTTATGATATAAAAACATTATTATGGCAATAGCTGCATATAATGAAATAGCATATCACCTAGGCCGATAAACATTAATTGAGAAAATTAGCCAAAATGCAAAGATCTTATGCTTTAAAAGTGAAATTAGAATACTGTTTACTTTGTTTCTAATCAGTTCAATCATTTGTTATATCATTTGTCATGTGCTTGCAATAAGGATGAATCAATCTTAGTTACTAAATCAGTTTTGATTTTTATGAAAAACTGAAACCAAAAAAAAATTTTAAAAAAGTTTGGTTTTATTTCAAAACTCTTTTTGATACTATTCAATGAGTAAAATTTCATATAGGTGTGAATTAAAATAAAATAGTTACTTGTTCCCTGAATGGAAAATTTGCTAATTAATAAACTGTTTAAAAACTTTCTGAAGCAAATCAGAAAATTCTTCAAAAATACAATGTCAATAATAATAATTATTTGTTTTAATTTGTATATACAAATTCATAATGTTTCATATTATTAAATATAGATCAAACTACAAAGTAACAATAAATCCTTTCATTAGATGTTATAATTCCATATCTATATAGTCTTGTTTATAAGTATTCAACATTTATCTTCCTTGAAATATTACAAATATCTGAATTTGCTCACAATAAATATGAATAAAATATATCTTTTTTGCCAAAAAATATAGAATAAAATTTATGATTCCAAAAAGTAAAGATTTTTTATCAACAATGTTGAACCCAACTATAGTTAAGAATGTTTTTTATTTGTAATTTGAAATAAAGATATTTAACGTAAGTGAAATTAAAGTTTTATTCATATTAAGATTACTCACTTCTACAAAATTAACTAATTCTTCAAGAATATATTTTGATTGGCTCAGCTGTATAAATTCTCCATCTTCATTTGCACTGATATCTTTTATCCTTTGGATCATTTCTGAAATTTCAGTTCATATTAAAAATAATGCTCAAAACTCTAAAATTACAATAATTTTTCTGATAGATCTTACTTTGAAAATTCTCAGCAATTCCAGTTTTCATTTGTATTTCAAACTTCTCATTTATCTGTCCTAGGAATAAAATAAAATAAAATTTTATTAAGAAAATTATTTATGCAGTTTAATATATAAAGTGTAAACAAAAATTCACACAATAATAGTAGAAATAATCTTCTGAATAATTATAGTTATAAAATTAGAATAATAAATATTAAAAAAGAAGTTTATTAAATTTTTAAACTGCAAAATTCTTGGAACTATATTGTAAAAATAAAAATCTATGTTGCTTTTTTTCAAATAGTCAAACATTTAATTATATGTAAAAATGTTTTTAGTCTTTTTGACCAACTTTAGCTATGGAAAATTCTTAAAACATAACACACATACAAACATTATAGAATTAAATAATAGTTGAAATTAATGAATTTATATTAATTTAGTAAAATATACAATTTATAACCACTATTATATATGCATCACAGACATCCTTCCAGAAGAATAAATTACAAGATAGGTTGGTGTACTGTACATTCAAGCCAATTTTCATTTTCTTTGTGATGCAATTTTAAAGCTCAAAAAACAGGGTACTTGTCTTGTTGATGCTTTGGAAATAGTTGAAAAAGTATAACAGAATATAGCAATGAGTAAAGGTGCTTTTGCAGTTGCTATTTCCAGAAAACACTATTATGTATTGAGAAGATTTATTCTGAATTCTATTAGAATCTACTATTTTGAAGTTTATTGCAGACATATTGAAAGGAAAAGAAAATAATGTTTCTCTAGAAACCCTAGAAGAACTAACAGTCCAGGAAGCTCTGTGTTTTAATTATGCTACCATTATCTCTTGTGACACTGAAGATTCAATTCACTAGATACAAATCTATATTAGCAACCAACAGACAAAAGTTTTACTATTGGAAACCTTTAGCACTATTTAGTTGTGTATTGAAATATGTAAGCTAAGTAAATTTAATCTAGAAATCTAAGTAAAATTTTAATTTTGTTATATTATTTGCACATTTCTTACTTCATTTATTTTAATAATGTAATTGATTATTAATTACTATATGGATATATCACTAATACATTTTGAAAATTTTTTAGCATATTTCCTACATTTTTTTGCCATAAAATTCTATGGCTTATACATTTCATAATAGCTATAATAAATGCTTTATAAATGTAATGTACACACTGTTTTTGCCATTAACATTTACTGTTTGTGCTATTTAGCTAGGCATCATACTTTTGTAGCAGTCATATGATCTCTCTTTAATCATCTGGCATTGTGTTTTTGTTTGTGTAGTTCTGCATAGTATACACAATCAGGCTATCAGATGACGGGCCTTCTTTCACAGCTGTATTAAAATTTTTTACAGCTTCCAACTTATTTAGTATACTGTCCATTATAAAATACATATCACTAAATATTTTTTGAAATATAATTGTCACATTGATGATGTAATTTTCTGGTGAAAAAAGCATAAATTTCTAATTTATTACAGAATTAAATCTATGAACACATGCAGCCTTTTTTAGATGATTGCATGCATAAGGTGGCAATTTTATATATGTATATTATAGTTATATTTATGTATTTCTATTTTCTTCTTTGTAATGATGACAAACCTACAAAAAATATTTAGTTAGGCTACTTTCAAAATCCCATAAAATTTTTTATGCATACTATTGTAATTTTATAAAACATTTAAAACTTTAAATCTGAAATAACTATGCAAAAATAAAATTCTGTTATACAAATAAATTATTCCATAGAAATTTTGATTTACCAGAATTTGATCCATCAATAAGTGTATGCAAATATAATGTGATTTCAGCCATGATTAATATTACACTGGCATGACCACCTTGTAAGTATCTAGGAAGTCTAGAAGGACCTGGAGACTGAAGAGGAAACTGAAATCATAAAATATATTTATATACTCTTACAAAAATCAAATTACTTAAAGAAAATAAATCATTTCACTTCTATTTAAGAACTTACATGTGAATTTATTAGCTTTTGAACATTAATATTAGATATGTGTTCCCTGAGAGAAGTTAAAAGTTCCTGTAATATATCTGACATCCCCCTTTTTTCCCCATTAGTTAAATCATTATGATTAGATGACAATGATTTGGTGAGGTAGAAAGCAGCAGCCATCATTCTAACAATTAAGTTTCTTATTTTTAGCCAGTTGATCTATAAAGACAGAAAAATTTATAAATTTTGAATATTTTAAATCAATAAATATAATACTATATAAAATATACCTCTTCATTAAAAGATTTTTCTCTCAATTCTTGAACTATTTTTCTAAAGGAAAAAAATAATATAGTTTTATTATTAATTATCAGAAGTCTCTAAACATCAGAATATATTATAAGAAAATATTACAGTTCAAATATTTAATACAAAAAAAATATATATCTAATATTTTTAATTTCCATAGAAATATTGTGTATTTTCAATATATCATTTAAATATCAAAGTAATAAGGATAATGTAGTTTTTAGCTGATTTATTACTAAAAAAGTATATTAAATAAATGCTTAGTTTAAGTAGTCAACACTTTTATAAAATAAAATGCTTCTATAGTTTGTTACTAAATAAAATATAAAGTATCTCATATACATTGAAGTGTCAAAAAAAAAAAAAAAAAAAAATATATATATAAAAAACTGGGATAGCTGTATCTTGTAGGTCCACCTCTAAACCACAGAATTGCAGAAATATGATGGGGCATGGACTCGAGTTTTCTGAGGAAGTCTCTTGGCAATAAACACCATGCCTTCTAAAGAGCAGTCCACAATTCTGCAATATTCATAGATGGTGGACCTTTGCTTTGAATGGAACATTGCATGGCATCCCAGATATATCAATAATTATGATATAATAAAATAATGAATCTGGTAAACAAGAAGGCCAAGTTTATGACTGTAAACACTTTTCAAATCATAATTTGGAAGCTGCTGATCTGTGTGCTGGCATATTGTCTTTTTGGAAGAGGCCAAACTCATTAAAGTGAAAACATAGCATGAATGGGTGTAACACATCTTAAAGGATATTAATGTAATGCTCCCCAGTCAGAGAATTTTGTAGCCATATAGTGTTTTAATTCATGCCAGCTGAACATACTCCATACCATTACTGAGCTGCCATCAGCGTATATGGTCAGTTCCTTGTTGACATACTGGATCCATTGGTTTATGGGGTTTCCTCCATGCAAGCTGTTCTATCTCCTCAAGTCAGTTGGAAATGTGATTTATCAGACAAAGTTACTCATTTCCATTTTTCTAGTGTCCAGTGATGATAATCCCAAACCCAGGCAAGTCCCAGAGCTCTATGTTGTAAGGACTCAGGGCACTCAGGTTGAGCATCAGCTATTAAAGCCCTTATCATGCAGGAAATGTACAGTCCTCACACTGATGTTAGTAGAGGCTTCAGCATTGAAATATGATGTTACTCAGGGCAGGTTGTGATAATTGAGACTCTTCAATGGCTACACTACTTTCATATGTTTGATGTTTCACCAGAATTCTTGTATTTAAAATCAAGTATGAAAATCAAAACTTTGGACCTCCAAAATGCTATGACCCATTTCACAAGCACCTGCTATCATACTATGTTAAAATTCATTTAAATCATGATAATTTGACATTCTCACTGTACAATCACTCTATGCTTCCACAGATGTCTTCTGCTATGTATGCTTTGCATATGGAAGAAAATATTTATGACAAGGGGTACTGTCATGTTTTCTGAATGGGATTAACTATCCAGTTTTTCTGGCACTTCAGTGTATAAATAACATTTTTCAACGGCAACTTCATAGATGTGTGGTGTACCATGGTGCAAGTTATATGTAGAGTGCATCATTCAAAAAAAATGTTTTAGATAAAAAGTTTGTTTGCTTTTGATATAGAATCATAATATGCAATAAAATGGGTTCTCATTTAATAAAATGAAACTGACTCTATTTTTACTAATCGTAGCACCATCTTTTATGAAACCTATAGTCCCATCCTATGGCTCCCTTATAGTCTAACATTTTTGGTTCAATGACTTTTTGTAGGATGCATATCTTTTGAGTTATTTCAGTGGCATGATTAAAATGAACCATCCTGTATAATGATAAATAATAAACATATTTATATAAAACAACAAACTGTATACAAACAATACATAAACCCTATTCTAATTAACTGATTTATAAACATCCAGACTGAAGATCAATTAATTACTAATAAACCCCAATATTTTTTTGGATAGTAAACAACATATATTATTTTGAACACTGTAAGTAGTCTGATTTAAAAACCATAACTCAAAATTTATACATTTAATTATATGTAGTGCAGCAAATTATTTCAGTAAAATCAGCTAAACTTTTTCTACATAATGATCAATCAAAAAAATTGTATTTTAAGAATATTTCTGACTAGTAATGACAAAACTTACTTATGACTTCTTGACCATGATCTAAAGACATTCATATCACGATTATCAGTAAGTTTTTCCCACGCTGTCTTATCTACATAAATAGGATATTTCAATATTAAATTGATTGATTCTTTAAGTATACAATAAAAAAAATGACAAACCTTTCTCTGGATCAATTTCCATATAAGTTATTACTTTTTCTGTATCTTTATGGCTGTAAAAAAGTTTTTGTTGTTTTTAAAAAATCTACAAAAATAATGTTATACAGATTGATTTCAAAAACAAATTATTCTTAACAACACTGAAGATGAGGGGGTTGTACTTTGAATCACTATTTTAATACTAATCCAAATAATTTGAAAAATATTGGATTCAACATATTTTAGCAAAAGAAAGTCTCTTTATATAAACCATTGAAAAAAATTTAAGAATATATTTGCTTATATAACTTACTTTTGCTAATAACTTAACACACTTTTTGGAATACTTCTTGTATTTTAATATATTAATGTAAATTAAATCAAATTTAAAACAGTTTTTCTTAATATAAAGAATTTTAATAACTTTTGAATTATAAAAAAAAATTCTGTAAATATATGGAACTGTAAAGTTAATTAAATTAAATAACAGAATAAAATTACTATTAAATTTTACAAAGTTATAAAATTAAAACAAAATATAAAGATACTTTTGGGACCATAATATTTTTATGCAGAATTACTCAAAAAATTTTTAAACAAGCACTGAATATTTTATATGATATACTATAAACTATTTCTTCTTGTTTAAAACCAGAAAAAATTGCTGACAAAATTATTTACATTAAATTAGAAATGTAAATTCTTTATAAGCTGAATTTCAAATTTTATTTTTATTCCACACTTCCACTAGTTTTGTCAATAACTGATTTGTGTTCAACATAACATTAATTTGATAAACTTAAGAAAGAAAAATAATTCATTTTTTAAATTCTCATATAAAATTTATTATTTTATACATTTTAAATTCTTAATGAAATTTTTTAGTCGTGTTTAAAAAATGACTCACCATTTTGTTTCTAGAATGAAATCTAAAATCATTCGTTCAACAGCAACATTAGCATAATGTATTGAGTTATTTAACCTTTCTCTGAAACTTACAATTTCAGGTATCTACAAAAAAAATGACAGTTGTTATAATCAACATTAATTTTATTTCTTGTTTTTATGTATGATTCTTTCAGAATGTACTGACATCACATTGATACTGCCATGTCATTACATGTAAAGGACATCTTTGTCCTTATAAGCTTAAAATAAGTCACTGACACATTTCTTCTATTATTTCAGTTGACAGAATAATCATAATTAAAGAGTGGGTAGGACACTCTGTAGAAAGAACTATTGGGCAAATTTCAACCAAACTGTATACATACTGTCCTAAGTACATAATTTCAATTTCAGAAAAAAATTTTACTTCAAAAGTCAAACACAGGAATGAAATTTGGTGTTGCTGTCTCCTTAATGTTTATATTATGTATGTTTTTTAATGAATTTCATAGATTAAAAAATAATTGCAATAATTTTATTTCAATTACAGATGTACTGAGATGGCATTGCTGTTTCATTGATAGAAGAAGATTGGCATTGCTGTTTCATTGATCACACAAAGTGAGTACCATGACAGTTCACTGTCAAAGAATTGTGAAGAACATTTTGCAACTCTTTTTATACCCCAAATTTGTCAGAAAATTTATGTAATGTGCATATTAAGGAGACAGCAATGTCTAATTTCACTGTAGTGTTTGAATTTTGAAGAAAAATTTTTTCCCCAAAAATCAGAATTACATACCCAAGACACTATGTATACTAAATTTAGTTGATATTTGCCCAACAGTTCTTTATAAAGAGTACTCTGAACACTTACTTTTTGATTATAATTAATCTGTGCATCTGGAAAATTTGAAATCAATTTATCACTTAAGTTACTTTTTCAGTTAAACTCAATTTTTAGATATATTTTTAAAGATTTTTAATATCATCATAATCTTTTCCAATAAAGCCCTATTTCTGTGTAGCTAATCTAGGATAAATAATGTACTTTTATCTTCATTTTAAATATCTCAATATTTTTTTCCATCACACTACATTGTCAACTCATTTTATAAGGATAATTCAAAAAGAAATGAGCCAGAGGCTGGAATGTGAAAACCAATGACAGAATTGTAATATCGTTGCATGTGTACGAATGTGTGGTTCTGACAACAGCACGGAAGATCACAGCCCGCCACTAGAGGGTCATGGGTGTATACCACGTGACTACAAAGCTGGTAGAAGCACATGTCAATTGTCCATCACGGTCAGTCGTGTTGTAAACAGTGAAACAGTAAAATGGAAGCATCAAAAGAAGAGCAAAGAGGAGATGTTCATTTTCTGACAATGGAAGGAATAGGGGGAATGGACATTCATCAAAGAATGTCACAAGTGTACAGTGAACACTGCATGTCCCTTGCAAGGGTCAAGGCATGGCACAAGCACTTCAGGGAAGGGCAGGTGTCGTTAGCCGATGATGCACAGTCAGGAACACCACACTGCATTACCGATGACATTGTGCAGCTGGTTAGTGGAGTCATTACCCAGGACTGCCGAGTGATGGTATAAGCAGTTGCTGCCAAGGTCAGATTGAGCGTTGAAAGTGTTCACACCATCATGATGGAAAGATTGAACTGGCGCAAAATGTGTGCCCCACAGTCTTCAACCACAACAGGAAGCATGTTGAATGGCCCAATGTCTTGATCATCTGGAGCACTATGCCTGGGAAGGGAATGAGTTCTTGTCACGAGTGGTGGCTGGAGATGAGTCATGGTGTCATCACTTTGAACCTGAATTGAAACAACAAAGTCTCCAGTGGAAGCATCCAGGGACACCACCAAAAAAATCAAAGACCATCCACACAAGTGCAGGAAAGGTTATGCTCACGTCCTTCTTTAACCAAAACGGCCCCCTTCTTATCAACTTTCTGCAGCACAGGACAACAGTGAATGCCAGTGTTATTTGCAAATCTTGACCACCCTTTGCCAAGCAATCAAATCAAAATGACCAGGGCAGCTCACCCGTGTGGTCATTCTGCTCCACGACAATGCCAGGCCCCATATGGCCAACACAATCATGGCACTCTTGAAGAAATTCAAGTGGGAACTCCTCAGTCACCCTCCATACAGTACCTCTCTCCCTGCGATTATGCCATTAGGCTCCGAGAGGCAAGCAATTCACCTCAGACAACGACATCCAGCAGTATGTTCAGAACTGGTTGACACTGCAGCACCGGGACTTTTACGAGACAGCCATTCACTGTCTTGTGTCACAGTAGGACAAGTGCCTCAACAGCCAGGGCCAATACTTCTGACATACAGGTAAGGGTTTCTGTTCCTATGCCTCCGACTTGTTTCTTTTTGATTCTCATATAACACATGAAAAGGTAAATATTTTTATTTTAACTACATTTATGTATAAATACTTAATATTGCATTTAAAAAGTTTTTCACTTTCTTACTTCTATATTTTATTTTTGTATTTGCTAAAATGATATTCTGTATTAATCTGCATTATCATTTTGTTTAACTGGTCTACATTTTTATATTTTATTTTATTTTATATAAGTTCTAATCTCATATGACATTACTGTATAGTTTGAGTTAACAAAACACAATAAAAATAAAAAAAATAATAATAGGGCTCCTTGAACTACTTATAGCATATTATTTTATTTCGTAAAAATAAATTAATAATTATATAACAAGAAAATTTTTAATATTTACCTTTGTAAAAGATCCAAATTTATAACATGATATCAAATAATCAATGGTCTGGAAGAAGAAACAATTTAATTTATAAACTGCTACATAAATAACTAACTAGTAATGAACATACATAACTCAAGTATCAAATTATAATTCTAAAAAACCCTGCTTTTTGGAGTTTACATCTTTTTATTCTCTAAACATTTTAGGTTCTGCAACTCATCTTTAAAGACAGTCAACCATGGTAATCAACAAAAACACAGTATAACAGTCAAAATAAAACAAAAAGCAGGTTTCTTGGGTAAATTATTAATTATTTATTTTTGTAATTTCACAGAACTTTAAATTTTATTCCTTAAAATTTAAAACAAGTAAAATAAATTATTTTGATGTTATCTGCTGGATAAAGTTAAATATACACACAGTATTTTCCAGAATAAGAACGGAACCAAATATGTTAGATTTTGAATATGTATTACTCTGTTAGTGTAGCTAAACAATAAATGGAGTAAGCAGGACTGAGGAATTGGCATATTTTTTTGATAACTCTAACTCTGATCTCCTAGTATTTATATATATTTTATTCACTATTTCATCACTGACATGTAATTCATTAGGTTAATTTATTAATTAGTAATGCATTGGTAGTATAATGATAATTAGAGGATTGTACTATGGTTTCTATTTTATTCAAGAAACAAAATAATTTACAATGTCTCATATATAGAAATAACCATGCTGTTTCAAAATTTTAGATTCATCCAGTCCTGAGATATAATGCAAAATAAGCACTGGCAAACACAAACATAATTTTGTAAGGAGTTTTATACATTTTTGGACTCATGGAGGGAAAACACTAGCGGTGTGGGTTGGGTCAAAATTTGACCAATCACCAGATAACAACCAAAAACGTAAACATAATTATGAAATATAGTCAGTTAAGAAGTTGGAGTTGGCAAATATTTTCCTGAGACTCTCCAGCCCTGGGATTAAGTTAAGTTCAATAAAATAAAAGAGAACAACATTGAAAATTCAAACATTACAATATTCCCTTGACATTATTATTAAAAAACAGTTACACAATCTCAAGTTTCTTGCAAAAATGTTGAAAACTTCAAACAGAATATTAATTTTAAGCATATCTTATAACTTTCCATTATATGTTCTATATATTTAGATTATGTTCTATTTTGTAATGAACATGAAGCTTTTTTTTCTTTGCATATGTAGATTAATAAATAGATCTATTATTATTACTATTACTTAAATTCTTTGTGACAGATAAAACAGAAAATTCTGAATTTTAAAATAAAAACAATAAAAATATTAAGTTTATATTTTAAATAATAAATTTTTTGTGATGAAACAGATATCTAAATTCCAATGAAAATTAACAGAAAACTTACATCTTTATGATTGCCTGCAAAAAACCTCAGTGTGTTTCCTAATATATTGCTAGACTGTGTAAAATGTGCTGCAGTCAGTAGAGGTTGAGTAATCAAATACCTACAAAACAATTTATATTACTTTTAAAATAAAAAATGTTAGTACCTTTTTTTAAACATTAAATACTCTCATACCCTAAAGTTTCATGTTGAATGTGTTTCATATCTAAAGATTCGCAGAGAGATTCACTTTCTCCTGCTGCACCTTGAATAAAATAAGTTTTACAAATATAGTTTCAATAATTTACACAAGGATAAATCACAATTATTCCACAAAATAAATAGTAGAGAAATAACTAACCAATTATATTATAAAATTTGATGAGCAAAAGTTTTAGTTGAAAATTGGAAGGACTACTTTTAAGTGCCATTTCCAATCCTAAAAGAATATGAATCAATAATCTTTCATCATCTGAAATAAAAAAATTAGACATTCATAAATAAATTTATTAATAATCAATATTTTTATATATGTATACTTGTAAGTACTAATTGATTTTAAATAATTATTTTAATATAAAAATATAAATTATTAAAAGTATAAATTCAATACAGTGTGTTCAATCTCAAATACATACATAAAAGCTGTTATACATGTTACGGAAATCCTTTGAGGATTAACCGTGATTTTTTTTTCTATCTATCTCCCTTTAAATAAAAATAATTCTTTATATGTTGGGAAATATTTTAATAAGTTTTGTAAATTACTATGTTCAATCCAGCCAGTTATATCTGATTTTTTTTCGTCTGTTAAGTACATCCTTTGAGGATTTCTGTAACGTGTATAACAGCCTTAAGAAAAATAACTATAATACTGTTTAATTTTGAACTTTTCAATTAAGCTTTATACTTGTAGATAAAAATTAAAACAATTAAATATCACAATAACTTTTTGAAGAATTTATATGAAATTTTATTCCGAGCAAAAAATTTATAAATTATTGTTTTATTTTCTGTACAATAATTTTTTGGGAAATTTTGGATACTGAAAATCCCTACTCTGTAAATCCAGAACAGCAATTATCTCAGAGAAATTATTATATAAGAATTAAGAAAGGCAATATTTTCATCAATGTGATAAACTAATGTGTGACTCTACAAAAATTCAAATTCTTAAACTCTAATTTTGTAATAATTGTTCCCCATTTTAATTTTCATTTATAGCATAAAGATAAACATTCTGATTTAAAGAACAGAAAAAAGTATTCACTATCATTAATATTTTGTGTTCTTAGTAATATTTATGAAGCATAATTTTTATATATCCAATCATAAAACAGTTTTAGGTGTAAGAAAATAAATTATATATACAAATTCATAAATAAGTTAATAATATAGTCTATAGATGTAACAATCATTTAACTAAAACAATTTTTTTTAAATGTTTAACTTAATTCCTTTTTTAAATAAAATATTAATGATTAATTTCTATGTTACCTACTTGTTTTTTCCCATAGTTCAAGTAATAATTGAGCTGCTAGAAGGCAATAATTATCACTCAGTTGAAATTCTGTAGATAATAAACTTTTTCCTGTAATATTCAGAACATATTAAATTTATTTAATTGTAATTGATTTTTGAGTTTGTAGTAATATTTACTTACTTCTATACTTTTTCTACAAAAAATAATTGACTTAAAAATTATAATTATATTTTAAGGATGTAACTTAATGATAGATAATGAAATTTAAATGCATTAAATCAATATTTGAAACAATGATCTGACTAATTTGTATTAATAATAAATTCATAAAACAAAGTTAAATAGTGTGTTGAATATAGTAAAGTTATCAATAATTCAATTTAATTCTCAAATTATCTTCAACTAACTTACAAATTATGAAACTTACTAAGTAGCAATTTAATTTTTAAAAGTATAATTTTAGTTTTACTTTAAACACTAAAGTTTTGATTTTCCTTCCTTTATAAAGTTTGATGTTATGTTAGCTAACATTATTTAGCTACTAATTTAGTTACATGTATCTAAATTAATCAACTATTATATTAACAAATTTTCTAATTTTTAAATTCATATTTTATTTAAAAATTCAAAAATTCATCAAAAATAACATTTAATTTAAAAAAATGTATTTTATTTTAAAATGCATTAATCTTCAATAGAAAAATTAATATAATTTTACTAATAAGTAAAATACGTAGATACATTGTTATTAGTACATAACATACTAAAAGAGAGTAAGCGAGAAAAGATTGTCTGAATTCTTTAATTAAAATTTTATTATTATTATTTTTTAAATAAATAAGTACATATTTATAATTTAACTTTAAGAACTAAAAAAGTATATACTATTTTTCAAAAAAAATAATAATAATAATAATTAAATTTTAATGAATGAAATAGACATATACTTTTTTATAATTATGTTACAATAAAATTAAGAGATGGTAACCTCTAAAGACATTTTCAGTACTCTGATATGATTTTGTAGGAATGTATCAGTTATATTACTGATACATTCCTGAAACATGAAATAACAAAAGTAACAAATGCTCCCAAGTAGATAACATACCAATTTAAACAGTTAACTGAAATTAACCTAAATCTGAAAATAATTTAAAATTTACATTAAGTAATATTATTTCATTACTTGAGGGCATCTTGAGTATTCTTAAAATGCACTTTGCAGTGAATTAAAGGATCAGCAGAGTACAAAATAATGAGGCATCTATAATTTTCAGTAGAAGATCACTCATTAATTAATTGATTATCTGTAATAATTTCAGAAGCAAGTGTAATTCCATAATAAGTGAAAATTAGGAATGATTACAAAAAATCCATAACAATTGATATCTTTGAAATTGCATATTTAATCTATATTTTTTTTATTTTTGTTTAATTTGTAATAATTTGCACATTAAGCACAAGTGGATTTTACATGATTGAATATTTACATATAATAATTCAAATAAAATAAAAGTATATTCAAAAATCTTTTACTTGCAATCTGAGTTAATATGTTTTTACTGTAACTATATTATTATTACAGAGGAAAAAGCATATTGAAACTTACCAAACTGAAGACCATGGTAATATCTTTCTAAAAGATCTTTGGCTAAATGTAATCTCTGATGAGGGAGAAACTGATCGTGTCCTCCAAGCCAATGTTTTAACTGAATATAACATAAATGTCGTTGCATTTGCCGAGACTATAAATAAACAATTTTAATTAATTGTTAATTTTTTGCTTTTATTTTATAAAATATAGTATTGTAACATTATCTTGTAGTATATAATACTATCCCCATTTTTGAATCACCACCCACATTTTCTGGTGTTAATAATTCTCTAGTCATTAGTGCAACGTCATGTATACTTTATTACAGAAATCAACTGATAACAAAACTACACTCACTGCCAAAAGTTAAGCACGGAGCAGAAAATGTTCATGTCCGGAAAGCAATCTGCATTTGACAGGCTGCAATTCACTGCAGAGGTAGGTGGAAGCATGCAAATATGTTACGTTACTATCAATCAAGGTTACGTGTCACGAAATATGCAAAACAGGCAGTCGTATAAGAAGCCAGCCTTCTGAAGTGTGAGAGGAGTTGCATGTAAGTGCCGAGAAAAAGTGTGGAGAACTGTTGTACAATTACTGTGCATGACTGACGTGTTTCTATGACTTCCAGAAGACGAATAACAGACAGTGAGCGCTGGCAGTGTGTGGGATGCCTTGAAACAGGACAATCAATCACAGATGTTGCTCTTTTCTTCAGCGTTCATCATTCCGTCATTTCACGGTTATGAAAACAATTCCAAACAAGCCAAACAGTTGTCCGAAGACCTGTGGCCGGTCACCCAAGAGTTACGACCCCTGCAGAAGATCGCTATATTGCTCTTGTAGCCAAGCGGAATCGAAGAGCAACCTCTACACGTGTGACATCGATGGTTGCAGCAGCCATTGGTAAAACGATATCTGCTACTACTGTGCGCCAAAGGCTACACATGAACGGACTGTACGCCCAGGTACCACGAGTTTGTGTTCCACTATCCGTCCAATCCAGAGGCACACGATTAAAGTGGTGTCGGCAACATGTGAATTGGACTGTGTCTGATTGGGACAACGTTATGTTCACGGATGAGTTGCGATTTCCCCTGGAGCCAGATGACAAACGTGTAAGAGCGTGGAGAAAAAAAGGCACACGCAATCGACCCCAGAACATCATCGAGCATCACGCATTCCGAGGTAGAAGCATTATTGTGTGGGCAGGCATTTCATTGGGATATCGCACCGACCTGCACATGTATCGAGGGGGTTCTGTGATGGCTGTCCGGTATTGGGATGAAGTCCTCGAACCCACTGTGAAATTGTATGCTGCAGCAGTTGGTCCTGCTTTTGTTTTAATGGATGATAACGCACGACCCCATAGAGCTGCCTTCGTCGACGACTACCTCGAGAGTGAAGGAATAGCGCGTATGGATTGGCCGGCGTATTCGCCAGACCTCAATACCATTGAGAATCTTTGGGGTACCCTCGGCCGTGCTGTGTGTGCATGTTTCCCACCCCCTGCCACTCTCACATAGTTGCAAACTGCTCTACAGGAGGAATGGCACTTATTTGACTCTGGAGTAATTGATCACCTCATGGTAGGCATGGTTACACGCTGTAAACTTTGTGTAAGGATAAGGGGTGACCATTTACCCTACTAATGTCGGTTTTGTTTGTTTGTTTTGGATTTAAACATCGTTTTGTTAATGATTCCAATATGATTTCATCTTATACTTTATGAAAATTCAATATTGTTTTCATTTTTCTATGTAACTCTCTGTGTTGTTTCATGCATAAACATATTTGCTACTGTCCTGCTGCATTTTGTGTCAATCACAGCTGTATTTGTCGATTTTTTCGCAGTTTATTGCTCCGTGCTTAACTTTTGGCAGTGAGTGTATGTTCCAATATGCAAATCTATACAAATAAATAGCAATTAAATGCAAATGAAAAACTTATTTAGGACAAATATAATAAATTCATCTTAGAAAAAGTTTGACATAGAAGGCACTGGAAATAAGTATGGAATCGTCTGCTTACCTGCTTAAAAAAAGCAAAACTACTTAAATACTCAAAGCTGTTTTGTGTATCTTAACTGCCATCAGCAGTTCTGATATAGTTACTTAAAATGGCTCCAAAAGCAGAACTGTCTGACAATGTAAAAAATCACATCATTGTGTGGCTAAAGAATGGATATTGTCAACATTATGTTGCCTAGATCATTGATCTCCAAACTTTTTTGATCACATACCCCTAAGAGAAAATAATTATAAGTTGTAACCACCTATAATATAATAAAATTTGCTAAATTTCCACTATAAATACATAATCCCTGCTAAATTTCCCACAACCTACAATTTGAATTTTTTCCATGTATGATTGTAAGCCTACTTCTTCAGGAGAATGACTGTAAGATTAGACAGACTGTGGACTTAGCATTTTAAAGGAAAACTTGGCATACTCCCAGATATCACTTTGTGACCCCACTTTGGAGACCACTGGCCTAGATGATGGAGTGTTCACAGTCCACTGTAAGATGTAATGTTTACAATAATAAAAACTGACAGAAATGACTATTATCAGGCATAGAATGAAAAAACTGAACTGTAGAAGAACAGAGTCATATCAGCTTCAGTGATCAGTTAAAGATCAACAACTAAAATGATGATGGTTATGACAACCATTATCATTTTATTGGAAAAGGAAAGGAAAATTAACATGTCAAGACAATTACAAGAAATGCAAAGTCAAAGTTTCTCAGTCTCTAACGATGTGGGAACACAAGGACCTGGAAAACTGCCTTCTTAACATCACTGTTTGAATGCAGAAGTATATACGAAGATGCTGAAAGGATTCCTTATCCCAACAATTAAAGGATGACAACAATTGTGCCACAGAGCAATGTCATTTTGTGGAATTCTTCACTTGAAGAAATTTGGAAAGGATGAATTGGCCATGAAATAGTCCAGATTTAAATCTGATAAAAATTTGTAATGTTTATTGTTCTCTGTATCCATCAAACAAGAAAGGGCTAAACAGAATGTTATTAATCATGCCTGGAATTACGTAATACCTGTGCATAAATCTGTAAAAAACTTGAAGAATCAATGCCTAAAAGTTATAGCTGTAATGAATGACAAACAAGGCCATAAAAATTATTAAATAACAAATTTATATTTATGATTTCATACTTATTTCCATAACCTCCTATGTTTCTAAACTTTTTCCCAAGATGAATTTATTATGTTTCTCCTAAGTAAATTTTTCAATTGCATTTAATTGCTGTTTAATTGTTTAGATTTGCATAATGGAACATAGTTTTGTTATCAGTTGATTTCTGTAATAAAGCATACATAAAACTACAGAAAATTGACACAAGAAAATTGTTATGTTAATGTCAGAAAATGTGAGATGATTCCAAATTTTTCCAAAGATAGTATATTAAATTCATTCAATAAGTAATCAACAAAAAGTTATAATTTACAAATTATTATAATCAGTCTTTACATTCAACAATTTTATGGTTTTACTAACAAAAATTTGAACATTATATCTGCATTCATATAGCTCCTAAAAAAAGGAATTCAGTTTTTTGTGCATTTTGTATTTTAGTGAAAAATAAGATGAAAATCACAAGTCTAAAATATGGAATATGGTGTCAGCTGAAACATTTCAAAAAGGACCTAGAATTCTATAAGGATTTTTGTAACATAAAATGGAACTGTACTATATAAAATAAAAATTCTTAAGCAGTATAATGAATGGAAATAAATCATGAATAAATTTATGATTAACTGAAAATGCAAAAGAAAAAATATTTGATATACATTTCATTGAATTGAAAATTATTTGATTGAATGATCTGTGGAAAAGTTATGACAACAACATTCTAAAATCATATCAGTATAATCCTAAAAATTAATCAGTAAGAGAGAAATTTGTCAGGTCAATTGTAAGCATTTTTTTCAAAAAATAAAACAAATAAATAACGCATGCCATTAAGTGTAACGTCTAAAAGTAATTAAAAATAATATCTACAACTTAACATTATAAGGCTGCTATTAACATCACAGGTCTGTGACATAGATATTCTATCATATCCTCCATATTCTATGGACTTTGCAATAAGCATTCATATTCTTTATATCTATTTATAGTATTCTTTTTGGCAAAACACTTTAAATTAAATGGAGAAATCCAATAACCAACTCAAAAGTTAGTTATGGTTTAGATAGTAGTCAGAAAAATATTTATTTTATTGTAACTTATCACTAGATTAAATATTTCATAGGGAAAAGACAAATTATCATTTCATTTAAATTTACAAATTATAATGTTCTATTGAAACAAAATAAATGTCAAATCAAATATTTAAAATATTTCAAAACACATTTCAATCAACATTTCTCATTTATTTACTAAACATGTCTAATATAAATTAATCTAAATTATAAATAATAATTAAAATACTAACATCACTTGGCAGGATAAGTTTTCCATCTTCATTAACTTCTAATGATATTCTAATCTTCTCCAAAAGCTTTAAAAAGACAAAAAGAAAGAAAAATAATATTTTACAAAACATTTATAATTCAATTTTAAAACAAAGACAGATAACTTCTAATGAGAAAAAGTAAATTCTATATTTTGAGATAGAATGCTTTTAAAAAATACTCATCTAGCCAATATATATCAGGAATGAATTAAAATATGAGTAATATCTAAATATATTGCTAGATCACAGCATGCACTTTTTATAATATCAATTTAAAGAAAAGTACATAATGTACTGCTTTAGAGAAATGCTTACATGAAGATACAAAATTAGAGATGTGTATGTAAAAACATTACAGTAGACCATCGATTATCCAAATATCGATCAACCAAACCATCAGTTAACCAAAAGCATTCCAGTCGGCAAATTTAAATTTCCACGTGCTGTGGCACTGCAATATTTGGCTATGTCTTGGGCTACTCCAATATTATTTTTGTCGGTGTGCATGTTTTAGCTGGCAGCACACTGGCATGACCATGAGAAGGTACTTAAGGACATGCCAGGATTTGAATGAATTTCAACATGGCATAGGTTAATATATTTTTTTCGTACATAAATGGTTATCCAAAAAATCAATTATCCGAACAACCCCGTCACAAATTGTTTTGGATAATCGATGTGCTACTGTATTAGCAATATAAGTTTGCATATTGCATATTTTGTATATTTTTTGTTTGTACATAAACTTTTTACTTATAAGTTACTGAGATCCATTGCAGGATGAAGACAATATGGAGAGTCATGCATGTTGCAAAAAGCTTGCAAGTGGGTTGAACAGTTCAAGAAAGCTGAACAAACATACATGATAAGCACTGTATGCTTTTTGCAGTAACATGCATTATTACTCTTCATATTGTGCATACATCCTGCAATGGATCTCACTACATCTACTGCATTCAATTATCAAAAATCAAATAATAGTCTGCTGTTCAATTCTGGTGCAGTTTGATATGGATGACGCTACTTCATAAACCATGTAGTGAACAAATGTAGTTTAAACTAGGCAGGAATAACTATTGCTACAAGGCTTTATTACTGTGTACTTTTTCAATATTATTAGTCTCAATCTTGTATGGTATTTGACATAGCTAATTAACAATTAACTGAAAGAAATGCATGTTAGCTTTTGTTTAAATAAAACTGTTTATCAAAAAATTTATGAACATGTTTAAGATATGAATCTTGATCTCTGCAATGAGAATTTGGTATATTAATTATTATGCACTTCTGAAGGATATAAATATTCTATTACTAATTATAAATTTTTTCAAATAATAAAATGATTAACTATATTAACACTATACGCTACATAATTTGGAAAGAAAAGTGTATGCCTGAGCACTTTGATGTCATTTCCATTAGAATATTGTTTCTTCACATCTTATCATCTATTAGTTGAATGAAAATTAAGATGATAATTTTGAATTGTTTGAAATTTGTTAATTCCTCAAATGTGCATTCGAAAGGACTGAATTTGAATAAAGACACATTTGTATGTATTGTCTTGAGGAATCTTTTTAAGGATTTTCTGTATTGATAAATTTGTCCTGGCAATATTTTTATATTAAATGTATTCACAATTATTATATCAAACACTTCAAAGCCATCATCTTAATTTTCATATAAGAACTGATTATTATAGAAAAGGCACATGTCCATATTTTTCGACTTTTGAGAAAATTGAGTGAACTGACTATGCTCATAAGTACACTATTTAGACCAGTGTTTCTCAACGGGGCGATATCGCCCCCATGTGGGCATTTTTCCATGTTGAGGGGGCGATTAGTAACAATTTATATTTGGGGGGCAAAAAACAATTTTCTGGGCGATATAGTAAAACATTATATTAAGAATAATTAGGTATTTTATTTGTTATATCGTACAATAATTAAACAAATAACATTATACTAATCACTAGTCTATTCAATGCAGTACGAATTTAGCGTTAGCCTTGGACCTGGGCATCGGATTTTGAAGTGAAGGGGGCGATACTACGTAACGGTTTTATTGAAGGGGGCGATACTACATTAAAGGGGGCGACATTTTGTTAGAGTTTGAGAAACACTGATTTAGACACACACACTACATATTTAATGCATTTGTTGTTTTCAGCTGTTTAAACTATTGTAACTGTGGTCATTATGGTGTGTATTTAACTGTCAATGAAAAACTAAAAACTGTAGACATACACTAACAGTATCTTAATGCTGCTAAGACACACCCTCATGTGACAGAATTCAAAAACACATTCTGGAAACTTGTGGATAAAAATTTTTTATTTTAGAAACACAGAACATGACAAGTATAAATGGAAAATGAATATAGTATTAGTGAAAACCTTTAAATTTATATGTACTATAGTTGAAATATTTTAAGAATGTATACAGTTTATGTATTATTGGTGATAATTATATACAAAAAAAAAACTGTAATTAAAATACAGAAAAACCTCAATTTAATGGACTTCAGATTTAACAGACAAGATTTCTGGTCCCTATGTGATAATTGAAAATTAACACCCTGTTTCTTATAAAATGCTTTTTATATGTAATTAAATTAGCAGATTATATATTTTTTTTTTCAAATCTAAGAGTTACCACTCATTAAAAACATTATTTATTTTGGTCAAATACAATTAAAGTGCATTTTCCAAAAAATGTTTATTTACAGTATTTTGATTTAGCTCCTATACTCATTTATTACAGTCCCAGAATTACAGTGAGTACATAAGTAATAATGAATACACAATGAAAGCTGTGTAAAGTGGAATTGCACAATATTGAATTTTTTTTCCAGTTTGAAAGGCTTCCATTTTTTTAACAGAAAATTGCTGCATTTCAAAAAATTATTTCCATTTAGGCAGGTTTCTGTTTTATTCAAGTTCAATTTTGGACATGTTTTACTGTACAAAACTTTTCTGTGAAATTAATTTCTCATAATACTTAATTTCAATTATACAAACATATATACACAGTTGTTCAAAAAGTAATGCACCATAATTTAGATCTGGAAACAAAGACTGTGATGATGCAAGCCAAGAATAAAGTTCCAGTCAGATGAAGATGTTTTCAATGCTGTGAGGAAGTGGTTGCATGTATAGAATGAGGATTGGTACTGAGCCAGCATACATGCCCTTCCTCAATGCTGGTGTGAGATCATAGGCTTGAGTTTGCAAAAGCAGACACTTTATTGAAAAATAACATAACTTAAGATAACAGACAGGATATGCCCAAGTTTCATAATTGTATGTTTCATACTAGTAGCAAAATAAATTCCGGTTCATTACTTTTTGAACAAACCTTGTACATAAATCAAAACAGATAAGCTAACTAATTTGTTAATTTTTTAATAAATGAATTCAGAAAAAACTATCTTATTATATAACAGACTTTCAGTCTTAACAGAGATCCCTTCACCTGAATTAGTTCATTATTACTGTACTGCATTAATGTAATACAGTAGAGTCTGGAAAACTTGGCCTAATGTGGACTGAAGGGTGGCTGAGTTTGTGAAAATGCCGGGTTATCGGGAATGGAGTTAAAAAAATAAGTATGAGTGTTTTCTCAGAAAATACTGTACTGTACTTGTATGTATTGTTTACTTGAGAATATAACAGAAAATAAACTACCCAAATATCCTTAAACAAAGGAAAAGTACATCCTTTATGAAGGCATAGAGCCTTACTACAAGAAAATGAAAATTAATAAATACACTGTGTACAGTAATTTACCTGATAAGACAGACCTCAGAAAAATACTTTATGAGGCATAAAGCTGTCTATAATGAAAATTAATTAACTAAGGATTTTTTTGCCCTGCCAGGGTGTGGCCAAGTTATCCGGACTGCCAGGTTATCTAGTGCCGAGTTTCGAGACTCTACTGTATTAATAAAATATCAGAAAAGTCAACCAAAGAGGGCAATGTAGCTGAAATATATTTTGACTGATATAATATTTTTGTAAAAAAGAAAATAATGCTGAATTAGTAATTATATAAAATGTATAACTACATACAACAAGCCCAAAAATTGTTATGTTAAAATGGTCTCCTGTACAATGCTTAACAATGTCAACTCAGCCACAATTATCAGCTTGCTTTCTAGTAAGTAAACCAAAAGCAAGTATAGTGGTAATCCATTCATCTTTGTAATTAAATAAATATAATTGTAGGATTAAAAAAATTGTGTTTTACGTTATCATAAAATAAAAAAATATCAACTTACTTCATCTATTTGTTGATCAGACATAGAATGTGATTCAATTACATGAACTATGTCTAAAAAACAACCAGGTTTATTTCCAAATTTTTCAAAATATTTCATTAACAGATCAAATGGAGTGCCTAATGAATATATTAAAAATAAATGTTTAATTAAACAGTTATAAAACACAAAATATATAAACACAATATACATTACCATATGTTTCATATTAATAATAATTACTTATCATCTCGAAAATATGCAATATGAATATTTAACTGTGATAATCAAAAAGTTTGCATATTTCAAATGTAAAACTATAAATATAATAGAATAATACTCAAAGTTAGTTTAGAAATTAACTTTGAGTATTATTGTGTGTTGAGTTTTAATGTGCAGATTTAAGTGAAAACAAAATGCAGACCAAAAACATATTATTTGAAAACAGAAATTTTACAAGTATATTCTAACTATTATTGTTTTTAACTGAATTATTTAAGAAAATCTGCAATATAGACATTTACAGCAGTCAAAGAATTTCATTCTTGTTTTGATAATATTTCATAATATGAATTTACTTTTACAAATAATGTTTAGAAAAAGAATTAATTTCAAATAAAAATAACTGTTTTACGAAATAATTAAACTTTCAGACATTCCAGACAATTGGTGATTATTATTTTTAAATTAAACTACTGTATTTTGATTTCTTTTAAAAAAAATCCCTTTATCATCATTAAATTAAAAATAAATCTGCTAGGAAAAAATTAAACTACTATAATTTAATGCATACATTTTTCATAATCATAAAAAGAAAAAAATTCTATGTTTTTTAAATAGTTCATTAACTAATCATTATTTATATAAATCCTTTAAAAAATAAATAAAAAAGCTTGCATAATTAAACACACAATAATTTCATTAAAAAAACCATAAAAGTCCATAAACTTTGCAATGTCAATAAGACTTTATATTATATGAATTTACATATTTAAGATGTAAAATTGATAAAATAATTGGTTAGGTAATGTGAGGCATCAAGCATATTAAAATAACATAATCTGATGCAAATATACCCATTACAGGGTGATTATATAGCCAGCATTAGTAAATGAAAAGATGAGGAATAATTTATCATGTAAACATATCTATGCATGATTACAGGGTCTCAATTGAGTTCAAATACTGATCTTTACAGCAATAGATTAAGATGAAAAAATTTAAGTTATTAAATATATTAGATAGATCATTGTATAGTTTACCAATGTTGTTGGACAATTCATTTTTCCTTTCTAAAAGCATCCATAGCAATTCCATTTGAGCAAGGTAAGGACCTCTAAGTAATCTGGAAGTATTTGGCTTCTCATCTTCTTTCTTTACCAATGAAGAAATAAATTCTATAACTTTATCAAAGGTATAGTCAACTGGTGGTTCAAAATTGCTGAAAAAGTAATTAAATTATTAAAAATAAAATTTTAATTTATTTCATTCTATAAAGAACCACCTTCTTATAAATAATGAAAAAATAATAAATATGTCTGTCTTATAAATATGAGAAATCTAAAATTTAAAGTTATGATATTCACTTCTGTAACTATCACGGGCTGGATGAGTATTATACTCATGATGGGCTGGATAGCCCATCATGAGTATAATACTGTACTGTACAACACAGTATCTGTAATGTCTGTACTCAGTGAAATAAATTAAACAACCACCTTTTTGAATGTCTTCAAAATGATAAAATATAGTCTTCATCACAAAAAATAATCTAGATAAATTTTTGATTACTTAAAGAAAGAATCATTCATTGAAAATAAAAAAGTTTTGATGAAATAAATATTTCCATGCATGCACCACCATTACGCGGCTGATTGATTGACTTCGTTCAAATTTCTCATACAGGTATTTCCACTCTTGCGCCACTGTCTCACAGTCTTTACAGTTAATACAGTTGCCTTTTAAGTTGACTTTATAAATTTCCAAGGCCTCCAGGTGACGAATATGGGCTGTTTGAAAGGCCTGCCTAATTAATCTGGTGTTCTGGAGGTCCACATGTACTTCCGGGTCAGTGGCATAAGTGGACAAGGAAGTGGTATGCCTGTTGTTCGCAAGGATGAATTGATGGTCACATATCCTTTTTGTGTATTGAATGTATGGTTGAGCCAATATAAACAAAGTCCTTTTGGAATCTGTCATCCCTAAGAAGAATACTCCTGGGGCTCTGCTTTGATCTATTTTATCTTTTGCATTGTGTAGCATCTTGTAAATTGTACTGGATCTCCTGCTACGCAACACAAAAGATAAAATATATCAAAGCAGAGCCCCAGGAGTGTACTCTATTCTTCTTAGGAATAATAGATTCCAAAGGGACTTAGTTTATATTGACTCAACGATACATTCACAATATGCAAAAAGATATATGACCATCAATTCAACCTTGCGAACAACAGGCATACCACTGCCTTGTCCACTTATGCCACTGACCCGGAAGTACATGCGGACCTCCAGAACACCAGATTAATTAGGCAGGCCTTTCAAACATCCCATGTTCTTCATCTGGAAGCCTTGGAAATTTATAAAGCTAACTTAAAAGGCAACTGTATTAACTTTAAAGACTGAGACAGAGGTACATGCGTGGAAATATCTGTATGAGAAATTTGAACAAAATCAATCAGCCACATTAATTTGATATACACAATAAATAAATACAGGTAAGCAGAAAGTTAAGGTTTCAGTTCACTCTGCATTAATCTTTTTTCTAGTTTTTAAATTTAATTAAAAAATTAATGTAATTATTAAAATTAACACAAGTTGACAGCCTAACTGTTTACTTTTAGAACAAATTTCTTTATGTTGATTATTAAAAGTAGCCAAGTTATACACCAAAATTAATCAGGCATTTAATAATTTGATAACTTCCTTTTGAAATCTATCCGGAAGAACTTTATAAAATGATAAAGATTTAGAAAATGAAGAATTCATTATCAGTTACCAGTTACATTATTTACAATGTGAAGAATTGTAATTATAAGTTAAACCTATAAATAAAGACACAAAACAAAGCAAGTGCTTATGATTCACTTGATATATGGAATTAATCAAAATATATATTCCTTTCTAATGTTCACAAGAAGTAAAGAATCAAAAATAAAAATAAAAGAATCAAAATTTACAATAAATTAATGTATAAAATAATTTGTAGAAATGAAAAATAATGATTAGAATGAGATGTTAATCACACTACTAATTCTCTCATACTGAGTCAGTTGAGTTTTTATATATGCTATCACCAATAACTCTCATCAAATAAGAAAAAAAACTCTGACTGAAAATATTATTTTGTTTTTTCATATTCTGATGACATTTCTGAATAAAAAATTTTTAAATTAAATTAAAAAAATTACCAATAACAAAGTTATTAATAGAAATATAACTTGATATATTGATGTATCAGAATGCTCCTCATATATCAATAGTTCATTTTATAAACTGATATTCCAATTTTTTCAATACACATTCTTCATATCATTTTGTTACAGCAAACATTTAAACACATTGAAGGACATATGCTGTAAAACTAACCCATGGTAGACAGAGCATCCTCATCACTTGTTATCTGCTACCAATAGCCATGTGACTTACTGTTGTTACTTTTTGCAAGTGCCAACTTCATAGAGGGCACTACTTTGCGAAGACTGGATGTGTTTTTAGCAGACCTGTGTGTCAATTTCCAGCAGTACTGATGCACTTTTTATATGGGTTTCCCCAAAAAATTCTGTTTTGAAAATGTCTATCAAATATGTATCTTAAAAAAAAAAATTAAAAGAAAATGCATAATGATCTGCTTCTATAGTTTTACCAAAATTATTACCATACATAATTCAATTCTTCACACATCGAAATGTTTAGATTGAAACATTTTGTTATAGAACAATGATTCAGGTTCTCAAAAAGAGATTGAAAACATTTGTAATGCATTAAATTTTGTTAAGGGATGGGATTTAGTTTTGGTGGTGTGTTCAAAGTTACTACTCTTAATTTTTTTTAATTGTAAATTTGTTATACTATGAGAGCTTCAATCCCATACAGATGAATAAATGATAGTGAAAAGTTATCCTGTCCTTCTGTTCAGTCTTTGCAATTGAATATTTTGCCCAGAAATAGAAATCACACACAAACAAAGCATTTACAAAAGTAACTCTCTACACAATGCTTCTTTTTTCATTTTTTACTGTTTTAGGGTCAAGTCTTTGTTTTGGAAACACTAACAACAGGAGTGTTCTAACAGCATCACAAATTTTATATGGGTCTAGTGAGTATCATTATAAAGGGTGGTGTAGTAAAAATTGTAGAAAAATAGTGTTGAATAATTAATTTTTTTTTTACTCTTTTAACCCTGTAAACACTAACAGGGCTTTCTTTTAATCATGTCCATCATAATTTGGTCAGGCATGCACAGAAGGTGGCCAGGCCACAGGGAAACACGACCAGATACATTCAGGACAGATTGCCCAATAAAACTATTGTGTTTCTGATCCAAAATGAAGATGACAGATAGAAGCCTAATGTGTTATGTGGTTTTTCTATGATTCACTGTTCTGACTATTTTCCAGCTGTTACATACACAGAAAACACATGTGCATACTTTGTATTGGCTGTCATTTTTCTTTTTAAACAACAATCTGTCATTGCTTTTTGAAATAACAGTTGAAAAATAACAACCCCATCACTACTGTATTTTTGACCAGTGTTTAAATTCCATTAGGCACACTCAGTCACATTAGAGAGCATAGACAGTGCCACTTAAAGTGCCATGCAAAGTCATTGGACTGCTACTTTTTAAATTTAAATGGGCCCTTATTACATTTTTGGGTTCATCATAATTAATGAAAAATGGTAAAGTTTTATCAAAATCAACCCATTAAATTTTGAAAACAAACTCAATTCTATAAGCCAAAAGAAGGCATGCTAGTGACCATGAAATATTGCATGACGTTGTCATGTGATATCACTGTCACATGCTCTTGCTACTACCTTAAACTCAAAGACGAAGTCATAAACCCCCATTTTTTATAACACTTTTGGATTCCTCATTGTAATTAATGGAAACTGGCAAAATTTAATTAAAATCAAACAAACAGATTTTGAGAATGAACACAATTCTGTAGGCCACATAGAAAAGAATTCAGTAACACTCAGCCTCAAAAGTAAATTTACTCAGTATTTTAACAATTTCTTAGAAAAAAAAAGTTNAAATTTAATAAAACAACATTATGATTGTCAAAGATATATTATTCTATCATATAAAAATATAAATATAAATTATATCAAATCATTGTTTCATAAGAGCAAAAATGAATTTCCAACACAAAAATATTATCATATATTAGAAATATAAATAATTTTAAAATGTTATAAGTTAAAGCATTTAAATTGATTTTATTAATTAACTCAATTCAGATTATAATTTCATAAATTAGGTTATAAAATATATTTCAATTATAATAATAAAATTTCAATAAAATGTGAAAATCAATTTTGTATTTAGATAGCAGCATGGACCATTTATAATTTTATTTAAAATGATTTTCAAGTTTTGTGAAATTTAATATTATATAATTTTAACAAAAATTAATTATATCACTATCAAAAAATATTGCCATACTTTTTATTATAATTCTTTCTAAATACATTTTTGCATAAATTATTTTTCTTCAAATAATGAACTGAAACAAAACTAGTGACATAGTGTATTAAGGCCATCAAGTTTGTGATAAAGAGATGGAACTGATCTTAATTCCTCAAAATAATAGCTTTCTAATAATTTTTTATAAAAATTTTCTTTCTTTTTCAATGAACCTCACAAACATACAGAGAGTCACTCATGCACAATGTGTCATCTGCATAAAACTTCAAATGTTTGTAACTTCTAATAAATACACTTTTAAAACATTTTAGATAAAAAAGATTGTTTGTTTTTGATATAGAATCATAATATGCAATAATAAATTAATAAATACAGATTCCCATTTAAGAAAATGAAGTCAATCCTGTTTTCATTTATCTTAGTGCCATTTAAGTGAAACTGACAGTTCCATCTTGTGGTCTATTAAATTCTAACACTTTTGGTTTAGGTAGGGTGTGTTATTCTATTATTGAAGAGAAAAATCATTAAAACATTTTATAAATTCACATAAAATCACAATTATCATATTCATCCCACATTATTTAATTCACAAAGATGTTTTAAATAGTTTGATACAGTCTTTTTCATAATTACAACTGCTTTTAAAAATTCCAATCTATCAAGTGATTTTCTAAAAGAATTATTATTTTATTTGGGTAAATTTTTAATCACATTTTAATATCTTGAAATAAATAAATACATATGTATGTCTAGCTTCTAAAATAACTTTCTGCTCTTATTTCATTATGTATGTTACTCCCATCATTTACTATTCTACAAATAACAAACTGTTTAGAAATAATTTCAAATGCTGCTAATCTGGTTAAGGAAATTTAAGTGTCATTTCTTGTATGTTCTTGGAATTAAGCACAGAGAACTTATCATACAGGAACACTTTTTTCAATGCAAAAAATAGATTTTATTTTATTTTTTTTTATAAAAGGAAATGCATTTCAAGTCATATGCTCTTCTTCAGTTCTTATTATATATAATATGGTAAAATTACATAAGATATTACAGAACACATTTAATAGTTATTTATATTTTACATACACATACAACTCATAATACAAACCTATTTATCTGTAATAACTAATGGTGTCTACTGGAAAAACTAAATGTTAAAAACATTTTCTTTTGCACCTACTAAGTGTTGTGTGGGCATTTTTCACCAAATTGACTTACATAGCTGTGCTTCCATATTCTCTTGCTACTTGCCATCCATGTAAAAATTTCAGTTGAAAACATTTTTATGCACAGGCCCTCCAAAAAAAAACCACTGTAAAAATTTGCTGCCTTATACATGCAATCATGTGTAACTTTTTTATTGTCACATAATCACATGTATAAGGAGATAATTTTCCACTCATTTTTGGTAATCTGACATCATGGAAGTCTCTCATGATTGCCACAAAAGATAGGCATAACATCATGGATGTTTGCAAGCTATGCATGATATAATGACAAAAAGATCTGCAGTCACTATGACCTTGAATGCTTGTCTCCATAAGTCAGCCTTGGGCCTTTAACAATTTAAATGTTTTCATGACTTTATTTCATGCCATAAAAATATAGAAAAATCATCTTTTTGGTCTTTCTGAGAAACATCTCAGCCCTCCAGCCGAACTCATTTCACATTGACCCATCTATTGAAAAGATTGAAGAGTTCCTTCCCTATGGGAGCATGGTTAAGGACACTGTTCTGTAATAAAAACAATATCTCAAAACTAAACAACGCATGACATGAAATTTTTCATGTGCAGAGAAGACACATTACAGGATTTTTCAGAACTAAAATTCGAGGAATGGCAACAACAAGTATGAAAATTACATAATTACAATTCATATATGGGAAGTGCTGCCCAATATATATAAGTAGTGCATGCGAAAGATTAATTATTAAAGTCATCAATAAATGTCAACATAACACAAACATTACACATAATTAAAAATGAATAAATTGTGAGATTCGACCTCAGAGTAAGACCAAAATTGTTCATTTTCATCCCTACATTTTCGACGCATGTGAAATAAATTTGTTGCCTCCTCATTAAAATAACATTGTCAGAAAAAAAAAATCAAATATCAATATAAACTTATAACTTTCATCATTAATATAAACATTCAACCCTCGACCAATGACATTCCTCTGATGCAAAACAAAAAGTTTATAGTTAAAGTCCGAATTCATCATTTTGTTTTGGTCCCGGGAACAACTTTAACCCCACACCTGCAGGACCAACTCTACCTCTCACAATAATCCCCTATTGTGAGAGGTAGAGTTGACTAATCACATGACTAATTTCCCCAGCCCGAAGCTATAAAAACGACTGCGTTCCCCCTCCTCAGGGGAGTCTCACATCCACGGCCATCGGAAAGGGTTAAGTCTCGGAGGAATTTCTAATCTTGTGCGTCGATCAATGGCAAAACGGACTAAATTTTTCCCATCTACGTGGAAGTATACTAGAGGTATGGTCGCTAGCTCCTAACTCTCTCTCTGCGAGTTAGGAGCTAGCGACCTAAATTCATTTCTCAAAATGTTAGAGTTTGTAATTGTTAATTTTCGTTAATCTAATAAATCGTCGTTAATGAAAACAACGATTTATTAGATTAACGAAAATTGTTAACTGTTATTTGTTAATTGTTAACTGTTAATTGTTAACTGGTGTCATTTACTCGCATATCACTTACGCCTAATTGACAACCCCTCTCCCCTCCTCCACTAGACCTGACAGAAAGAATCCCGACCCTTTGGGCCCACATTCGAAATTTAGCCATCTTGACAAGTGAGCAGGTTTAACGACCTGTAGCCGGAAAGGGAGACCTCAAACCTCCCCGGCAGTTCACAAAATTATAACATAAATTTATCTGTTGAACCATATAAACAGCTTATGCATTTTTTAAACTTAAAAAATTAACAGAACAGAGTGAAAACTATTTTAAAAAGTGTAAAAATTTAATTTGAGTATTATAAAACATTACAAACTGTTTAAATTTCAATATCTGAGAGAAGATGAAGTATTTAATAAAACATTTTTCTCAAAATATAAAAGTATTTTATAAAATTTATTTATCAAACAAGCAAAAAGCTAAATAAATTTTATATTAATACTGGAAATAAAAAATAAGCAAAACTTACCCTTTAAAGGTCCTTCCAGAACTTCCAATGCTTCTTTGTATTTTTCTTGGTCTTCTAAAATCATCAAATACAACTGCACCTCTGAAACATCACCAGATCAGTATGTACATACTGTATATATATTTGACAACTTATTAACGAATTACAGTGTATCAGTGTGTGATGTTAATTGATGATACAACCTATAGTAGCTAGCACTTGCTTCGTTATTGTCTCCATTTAAATCAATATGCTAATCTATCCTTAATCTGCATTAAAGCAATACCTTTTAGTCATATCTGACAAATTTTCTTCTAAAATGTCATTTCACTGGCATTCAATAGCAGACATCAAACCATCACCTACCAGCTTCAGCTTCAATTTTATCTTCTTGAATGAATTTATCAGTCATTCGCTCTGCAAGGGGCAACAATGTACTCTTGGCCAATTTCTCATCACTATCTTTCGCCTGTAAAAAAATTGTAATTAAAAATATAAGGTCATTAATTTAAAATTATTTACTTTGACTAAAATAATTTTGCTTTTTTGAGGAAAATCAGATAAAATAAAAAACCACATTGATGCTTTTTTTAGGAATTCAGTTTTAAAAATTAGTATTAATGTCTTAGGTCCTTATAAAAGCCATTTACCAAGGCTATTCTATATTTTATTGAATTGATCTTGAAATTTACATCAGTAACAATATTCAATTCAAAATTATTTATTTTTCAAAATATGTTACACTAGCCTGCAAATTTAAATTTTTTGGTCATTGCATAAACCAAACCAAGTGAGTCTATAAAATCTACATGTGTCAAATAAAAAGAGTCATTTTTTCTATCAAAGGGATTTCTTATCTAATAGAAAAACAATAATACAGATATTCATAGTTTTACAAACATTCTATGAAAATAGCCATTGATTACAAGCATATTTTCATTCATTAAAATGTACAATATTTTTCAGTCAAAAACACCATTAAATTGCCAACCTAGTTCCACACAACTTTCAACCGTTGTAGAATGTGACTTCCTAGATTCAGAGTACAGACAAGACATATTCTTCCAGTTTGAAATTTCACTCATCCTCCAAAACAAGCCTATAAATCAATCTAACTTCTGTCTCCAGGATGTCATTTTTTGCACTGTATCAAGCCTGTGCCTAACTTCCATTTAAATCATCTTTGCTCTTTTTAAATATTTTATAATTTTAGTTAATGTGTGATTGTAAATTGTAAAATTAATGTAGTTATTGCATATTTACTAGTGTAGAAAAAGTATTTATGCCTTGTTTAGCTTGTATGGAAGAAAGCCCAATGAGGAGAGAAATATTTTAATTTCTGAAATGCATCTGGAAAAAATAAAGTTGTTGAATGGCTAGTAATTATGGAGTCTGTGGATTTGATAATTCCTAGAAAAGAACAGTGTTTGAACAGGTTATGTATTAAAGAAACAGAATAGAAGCAGAGGATAAATTATTTAACATATTTAGATTAATCTACATTATACAGGATGGCAAAAAAAGCACATACAACTTTAACTGAAAGTTTCTCTGTAAGAAATAAAAATCAGAAATACTTAGTTTAAGTTATATATTAAGGCAACTCTACATATTTGGTATTTTCTGATTGCTAAATAATTGTCTTTTGATAAAGTGTCTGTCATGTGGCAAGCACATGCACACACATACACACACATGCTTATTTGCCAAGCATTGATTCATTGTGGGAATTATCAAATGTTTGTCCAAGATTTGTTTCCTTTCGTTCAGCATAATATATCAATGAGGAGTGGAAAATGGCAAATACCAAATATTTGTCAAGTGAAGTCACGAGTAAATCATCCACACTACTTGGTACTGGCCAAATGTTTGTTCAGCATTTGGGAAATATGGAATGTGTGGAGCTGACTTTATTGCAACTACTACTCCTAAGTGTGAGTTCTTCCAAGTATTTTCTTAAACAAATTTTTCTTTCAGATTTTCAAAGATATTTGTAATTAAAATTAATGCCATTCCCATTAAAAATCATAACTAATCTAATCTAAATGGCTTATACAACATTTTTAACAATTATTAACAGAATGTTATTTTTTTACTGTGTGTTTCAAGCAGTTCAGTCTTTGATTAATAGTTTGAAACTACAAAATAATTTTCATTATGTGATATACAATGCTTCTTGAATACTTTATCTTTGTTGTCATCTATATAACTATGTTATGCTGGATGTTCCTAAACATGATTTGATGTGTGTAACTGTGATTAGATGCCACAGGTAACCACTTTCAACATCTGTTACAATAATACCAGCAGTTTGCTTATGTGTTACTGATAAACTACAGATCAGGGCTACCTTTTCATCTGCTACCCTGTATAAGATTATTTGAAAAACTTAAACAGAAGTAGAAAGTATGCTTAAAAATATAGCTGGAACTTTTTATTCAAATATGAGAAAATCCAAGAAAGTCTAAATTATCAATCCAAAAAATTCAACTAGTATATGGGGGTATCATTCCTTGTCTTTTTTTTAAGCATTACTGTGCATTTTTATAAGTAAATAGTTTTTAGCACATTTCTAGTATCTGTCAGTACTCGACATTCTTTGACAACACTACATTTTCTCATTTCTACTCCTTTAATCTCTAATTTTTTAAGCTAAAAATACGCTTGTATGTGCTTCACACTTAATGGCATTGCTTAGCTCTGTTTTTACAATGTCTTATCTAGATTCAGAGGTCATTAAAACTGTGAAATACCTGACAATTCTGAAACTCCCAAGCTATTTTCTTTTTTAAATATATTGAATTATCCATATTTACACCGAAAAATGTTTTTAATTAACTGAATTTTTAACATTAAATTTCAAGGGATGTATAGTACTGTACATTCAAATTAATCAAATATATGTTTTTCCATCATTCCCAGAGAACAGTCAAGCATAAACTAAAAACTTTGTATAGTGTTAATAGTTCATTGATGAATTAAAATTTTTTTTTTTTTCATTTGGAATAATGTAAAATTTATATAATTTTGTAAATTGTAGACTGAAGAAGAGTATATATTTTATACATAATATACAGTTAAACTATTAAATTACAGATCAAGTATTCTGATTCCAAATTTAATAGAATCAAAGTCACTTGTGGAAATAACTTTTCAATCAAATTAATCAAGTTTTAATTAACCAAATTCAACTGGGATTGTTTTCTTCTAAATTTCTACAATTTTAAATTCTATCAAGGTCATAATGTATTTATGGAAAAATTTTAAATGGAAATTTAAGTATAGTTTCTTCGAATAACTTCTGAATATAAATTCTGAAGCAGTAAAAATGTTAAGATGAATGAAATAGTTATAACATATTTTTTAAAAGTGTAATTTTTTAAGTGAAATTGATTTTGTGTAGTAAGAAATAAAATTGAAAATTTAAATCATGTATAGAATGAAGAAAAGATGTAAAAGCAGTATTATAAAATTAATGAACACCAACAAAAAAATAACATTTGAACTTGGCACAATATTCAAAAAAATGAGAAAAACAATGCTTAATTCTGGAAACAAAATTAATTTTTAACTTTATTCAGAATATTCTTTATTATTATCAGAATTCTTTATTATTAATTAAACTTTATTCAGAAATGTTTTCCTTCTTTTATAAGATCATCAGCAGCAGTGAAAATTATCATGTGTATTAGAAAGAATTGTTCAAAAGAGAATGTATTCCTTCAGCACATTTGATAATTTTCACTGCTGATGATTTATAAAAGAATAAAAATGTTTCTGAATAAAGTTTAATTTGGTTTCTGAAATTAAGCATTTTTTCTAATCTTTTCTTATTAATTAATAAACATGATAAACAAAATCACTTTTGCCTCTTGCTTCTTCACTTATAAACAATTCAAACAAAACTGTTAAAATATTGAAATGTAAGCTAATGTAATTAAATGAACTTCTTGTTGATACTTGCCTGTTTTAGAAATTAATTTTAACAAACTAGCACTTATTTTGTTTTTGTGCTTTTTTTTTTTTAATTATTCTATTCTAACTGGTTGTAACTGAAAAAGCCTTAATAAAAGAGGTAAAAGTGTTATAAAATTAATAAATTCAGATACTCATAAAAACTTTTAAAAATAGTAAAAACAATTTAATTAAGAGCATTTTCGGTTATTTTTGAAGACCTTCCTCAGGTAGACTATAAATTCAAACTTAGTGAAAATTGAATGTAACAGATAATTATGTCATATTCTATTTATATACCTATTAAAAACAGCAAAAACAATTTAATTACAAAAACATTCATAATTAAATTGTATTTGCTATTTTTAAAGGTTTTATGAGTGAGTGAATTTCCATATTTGTAGCTTCTATTTTTAAAATTAATAAATAAAATAAATAAATAACTTATGTGTTATATGCCATAATATTTTATAATACTGTTTTTGTAAAGTGTTTGAGAAGTTACTATATAACAAGAAATCTGTAATGACACTAAAGTTACATGTATGGTATTGCATACGAGACCTGCAAGCTGTATGCAATACCATAAGGTCAATTGGTACCAAATGGACAATTCACAGGTCTTGTATGCAATGTTGTACACATGCCTTTAATGTCATTACAAATTTCTCACTGCATAACATTTTGGACACCCTGTACATTTTCTTCATTCTATCCAAATGTAGTATGTAAGTTTTATTGCATCATATATGAAAAAAACTTTATATATATAAGTTATATATAAAATGAGAACTTACTTTCCATCTAAATCCACATTCATTGCACAAAACAAAGGTAGTCATAGGTTCATCAGCACTTCTTGTTTGAACCTAAACATTTTAAAATTTGCAATTAAACAGTAAAATATAATATGCTTCTAACACAATAAAGTGCTATAAATTAAGACACTTGGCGGGTTTTCTCATCTTTATTTAGTTGATANATCAGTGTTCCGCAACCTTTTTCTACTTGCGGCACACCCATGACTCAACACGGCACACCAAAATGTTATTCCCCTCAAAAACGTATGATATGATACTATTAATAGAATTACATAATGCCACTAACCTATTATTATTGTTATTAAACAGATACCAACACCTGTGAGCAAATTTTCTTTACATATAATTTATTAGAATACATAAAAATGGGTAGCTTGTAATAAAGAATAAACAAACATCATCTTATTTCATCAGTGTTGCGGCAGAGAATGAAATACATACAAAAGATAATATAAGAAACACAACAATTGTGATAAAAATATATAAATAAAATTTGAAATTAACAGAATATGTAAAAGTTCACGTCACACCTTTCACCATGTGACGGCACATCAGTGTGCCGCGGCACACCGGTTGCGGAACACTGATGTAGACAGACTCTAGTTTTTATGCCATATGACTGTTTGCTTTCAACTACCATCAGCATTCACTATGGATTGACAACTGACTGTGTATAAGCATTGCTAGTCATCAAAACAAAAATATCCAACAAGTTGAACGTGCTCTTCATCAAATAGACTACCTACATTTTGTTGAAAAGATTGAACTTGAGTCTGTTGTTTGATTACAGGCAACTTCGCTTCAATTTTGAAGGAAACTAGTTTGCTGTGATATCAACTTATTTGCACCAGACTTAATATTAATGATAGATTCAATGGTATCAAAAGGCTTAATTATATCTTATAAATAAGAAAGCTTTTCACATTAAATATATTGAGAATTTATTAATTGCACTTAAATATTTTTAAATATATATAAAAATTGCTTACTTGCATTACAATACTCATAACTGCCCAAAAATAATATGGATTTTTTGGTTTCAACCTGTACAGTGTCATAGCTGTTTGCTTTTGTTTTTGATAGTCTTCTAAACGTACATAAGCCATAAACAAATGAGATAACAATTCTTCATTATGTGGATCTTTTTTTACAGCTGTTTCATATGCATCAGCAATTAATTCCGCTGAAATTTAACAAACTAATAAATTAATTGTTAAAATAACTAATTTTTTAAAAAAATAATACATACAAAATTTAAATAAAATCCAAATTAAGATCAAATATTTATTTTTAATTGTAAATTAAATAAACTCATAAACATGAGAAGATATAACATTATTAGAAATTAATAGAATACCTACTATTATAGACAAATGTTGACTATAAATCATAATCAAAAATATCAGGCGATAGCACATTAAAACTTTTCAAAATAATAATTGTGAGAATCAGGATTTAGGGAGAGAGTTTTAAAGAAATTAGTGGATAAAAAGAACGTTTTATTTTTCGACTAAAAAAAATATTTTATTTCGGAGAGAAGTTAAACAAAGAAAGGATGTAGCTTCTGTCATTTTAAGAAGAAGGGAAGTAAACTTCCTTTCTTACAGCCAACTTGGAAGTTGAGTCCGAAGCAGCTGCATACGAGACTTGGCCGTATGTTAGGCCGCCAACTCTTATAAAACGGGCATTTTCCCACCACTCCAGGCAGTTCAACAAGGTAAGAACATGCCGTAGGAGGCAATTCATCAAAAGAAGTACTTGCCATATAACATACGATGAAGGCTGTTCCAAGATAGGAGGACTGCCACAGAGATGTCAACCATATTGTAATAGTGCATCCATAGATGTTACAATTCCTAAACGTCTCCCTGATCCTGAATGAGAAGACAGCTTCAAATACAAGATACTTACAGAAATTGTGAAGGTAGTATGGATTTATAGATTGATGTGAACTCTCTCTCTCTGTGCATAAGTGTTAGATTTTGCACAATTAGGTTAAATTTAGATTAAGTCGGATAGTTTGATCTCCCTAGGGAAATGTAATATTTGTACTCCATTTAATGTATTTTGATTCAATTATGTATTTTACTTTGTATTCATTCTTTAGTTTAGTTATATTAAATTTATTGTTACATAAACAATCTTATTCATTATGCACTCCAACTCACTCAACAGTTGACTCCATAGCTTTTCTCGGACGTTGTCACTCAAACGTCACAGATATTTATAATTAGACATAAATGCGAATTAAAGCACATATTTTAAATTTCCTTAACTGGTGTCGGGAAATCCTGATAGGAGAATGGATTATACAATCGTATGATCTCCACCTTTCATAAACACTTTTAAAGCCTTCCTTAAAAGTTAGAGATTGGATCGCAAGATCACATGCAGAGTAAGTGGTCATTGGACTGCCAGTGACCCCCTGCTTGTCTCACATAATAATATATTAGTGAATTGTATCCTGTGGTATACATACCAGTGACTATTGCTATGTCAGACCAAAGTCAAGGTAGAACTATAGAAAATAAATGTTTTATTTATATGTTGTTTGTATGTGTATCTGTGTTTAAGAATTTTCTCACAACATGACATGTATTCAGTATGGCAGTCTTCTGCAATGATATATGTGCTGTTGTAAAGCCCTAATGTCTGAAGACTTCTTGTGTAGTGTACCGGGTGGTTATAAAATAAGTATCTCTATTTGAAGCTGTCAATAGCTTGTAGGAATAACCCAAATGAAACCAAAATTGGCACACTTACTATTTAAAAAGGGGAAGAAGAATGGAACAAGAAAAAAAATAGTTGAAAATTGCTGATAGAGAGCTCTGTAAAGTTTGAAATGTAATGTGTAATACAAGAAGGAAAAATTAAGATGCAAAAACTGACAGTGTATTTATTGGAAAATGTCATAGTTAATATGGTTTTGCTGTCTCATGGCAGTGATGATTCAGTTTGAGTTCCATAAGTCCTTCCCCCTTCTTAAATAGTAAGTGTGCCAATTTTAGTTTCATTTGGGAGAACTTCAAATAGAAAGACTTATACCAACAACTCCAAATAGAAAGACTTATTTTATAACTGCCCAGTATGTGATATGACACCTATGTAAGAAAGAACTACTGATGCAATATACACCATGATCATCCTCCATAGACATTTTACCTAGTGCACAAGTTCAGAGTTTTTACTAATTTTTTTTCAGGGTATTATTTTGTATGTTGCTGGCATTTAGTACAGCTACATCCATGATGCATGTGATTTTGTTTTATTTGTCAATGAACATGATGTCTAGTCTGCATAAAAATATATTATAATTTATACTTGTATGTATAACTGAATTTAATATTTTCATTTTATTAATAGCATATTACAACAAAATTTACTTTAGAATCATTTTAATGGCTTACGCTTATGTAATTCTCTATAACATATTGTCATTGCTTGTAATGTGGCATCATCCATTGGTCCCTCCTGGTGAACTTCAGACAAAGTAGCTAAACTTTCCTCCTGACGACCAAGTCGAATTAATGCCAGAGCTTTTAAAACCTAGATTTAATAACAGAGTTGAAATTAAGTTAAATAATTTTTAAATAAATATATATAAAAGAATAAAAAAAATGTCACACACCCAATCAGAATCTTATCTATGACACATGATCTATATTCTGCCACAAGTCTAATATTGCATTCCAGTAAACCAAAAGTATCACCATTATTTCTATCTTGCTTTCAAAAATTAAAGTACTCAAAACACATTTTGAGTTAAAATATAAATTAATAGAAATTTTGAAAGTTAGAAATAATGTCTATCTTTGAGAATAAAATACCTAAAAGCATGCATTACTTAAATTATCACAGGTACTTGGGTACTTAAAAATTTCCAGTGTTCAGCACGACTCGATAACGAATACTGCAAGGCATACATATCCTGTTCAATTGATGTAATTTGAAGCAGCTTGCTATGTTGCATAAATTATGTCATTTTAGAGAAAAAGAAATCAAATAAATGCTATTTCTCCCAAAAAAAATTTGATTAAAATTTTAAATACAAAAATTGCTAAAGTGATCGCTCAAACAGCATCTTCTGAAACATAAGATTGATATAGGAAAGAAGAGGTAAACACTGCCCTGGCTACATATACAAATGATAATGAAAACTCCAACAAACCATCTTTGGATCCAAAGAATTTTAAAATTAGCAACATTTAGAATACTCATTGAACANGGCACACTCAGTCACATTAGAGAGCATAGACAGTGCCACTTAAAGTGCCACGCAAAGTCATTGGACTGCTACTTTTTAAATTTAAATGGGCCCTTATTACATTTTTGGGTTCATCATAATTAATGAAAAATGGTAAAGTTTTATCAAAATCAACCCATTAAATTTTGAAAACAAACTCAATTCTATAAGCCAAAAGAAGGCATGCTAGTGACCATGAAATATTGCATGACGTTGTCATGTGATATCACTGTCACATGCTCTTGCTACTACCTTAAACTCAAAGACGAAGTCATAAACCCCCATTTTTTATAACACTTTTGGATTCCTCATTGTAATTAATGGAAACTGGCAAAATTTAATTAAAATCAAACAAACAGATTTTGAGAATGAACACAATTCTGTAGGCCACATAGAAAAGAATTCAGTAACACTCAGCCTCAAAAGTAAATTTACTCAGTATTTTAACAATTTCTTAGAAAAAAAAAGTTAAATGAAACCAAATTATAAATTTAAATTTTCTATGATAAAACTTATGCATTGAAATATATATCCTATTTTTATGTTTATTATTACAGTATCTTATAGAAAAAATGATTGTTTTTCAACTGAAAATTATACAAAGTGTTACTATAATTACTGTGATTATTACAACCCCATGCCAAAAGTATTAGACCACCTTTAAAAATTTTAATATTAAAAAAAATTAAGTAATTTGTGTGTGTGTGTGACAAAAATTTTAGACTGGCAAAATTCCTAATATCATGTGAACTTTTTTCTGTTAAATAAATATTGAATTTTGAGGAAAAAAAAAAAACAGAAGAAATTTGTAAAATGTAGCTGAAAACAGTTATATGCAATCAAAACTACAAAATCAATATTTCTGAAGTGTGGTCTAATATTTTTGGCAAGAGGTTGTATTATATTATTCATTTAAGTTAATGGTACCCAATCTTTTCCTGTTTTGTGAATCATCATGAACACACAATTTGTTCTTTAAACCTTTTAGATAGATTTTTGTGAAATAAAAATTTTATATTTAATATTATCAATTAAATAGAATACAGGTAACCCCTGTATAACACGGCACTTCTATAGCATGGATTCACTCTAACATGGTTCGAGAATTGGGAACATTCCCCATATAGCACGGGTTCACTCTAACACAGTCCGGGAAGTGGGTAAAACCCTCGTACAACACAAAATGTAATAAAGGGTGTGTTCTTTTTTACCTCCACGTAACTCCACGCAAGCATTCTAATTGTTTACATGACTACTTTGAATGCTCTTTCAACAAATAATCCATTTAATGGTTAAATTATACAATTGGGACCTTTCTTTTGCCTCTAAAAGCTCGTTTTAGAATTATAGATTCCTCCACACGATCAATAGTGCAGGCGCTGCCATCTTTCTTTCACCATCGTTCCTAAATGCCTACAAACGGCAGCACACTCCCATTGCAGAGCGACCGCTATTAACGAACGCACCCACAAACTGTTACCAGATGATAATGCTCAAGCTGAGATCATCATATAAAATGAATAATCCTCTGGTAAAATATTTACTTAAATAATAAATAAGTATTTTACCCATGAAAAAAATGAATAATAAATCTGATTTAAATAAGGATTTAACAACATGTTTTTTAATTTTTGGAACCCAACCCCCCTTATTGCACTAGTTCTTTGTTTCATATAACACGGCAAGTTTTTGGAATGTAACTCCCATGTTATACGGGGGTTACCTGTAATTTATGTTTTTCTTCAAAAAATTGTAGTGGCATTTTATTATAATTTGAAAAATTTATATTGAGTTATACAAATTTGTTGCATTAAGTCTCTTTCCTAATATTACACAATTCTTAAAATAAACCCCCTGTGATTTGCAAACCTCTGTATCACCAATTTAAGTGATAGCATAACTCCTATATTTTAGATTTTATAAATAAAAACAAGTATTTTCATATACAAAAATTATGAAAATCAGAAATAAGATTATAAACAGATTTTTAAGATTATACAGTCAGCCTCCCTATAACACTGTTGATAATTCTGTTTTATATGAATTCCATGTTGTACTAGTCACTTAGATTTTATAAATACGTGTGCTGGGCTGTAAACGGCTCATGTATTTGTAAAATCTAAGTGACTCGTACAACATGGAATTCATATAAAACAGAATTATCAACAGTGTTATAGGGGGTAGACTGTACAGGAAATCCTTGTTCAAGGAATAATCAAGACTTCAAATTATTATGTTTTAAATTATCCAAGATTGACATATTTCTATATAATATGCCAAATGCCATGTAACTGATGTAATTTATTAAATAGCATACAGAATGCTACTTTCATTAACTAATAATTAATATTACAAACTGCAATGTATCAAGCGAGAACCTCAAGTTGCCAGAAAAGTTTTATAAAAAATACAGAAGAATTCTGAAAATGTAGCCCAAAAAGTAGTAAGTCATCCAAATCTAGTAGCTAAGAGTCCTACAAATATCTGCTACTTGTAGCCCAACCTTCAACCCTAAAGCCCAGCTGTATTTTATGAGATAAGAGAAAAAGAATAAATGATGGAAAAGGAAAACAAAAACAAGAATTTTTGTATAATCATGATATTTTTATACTTTTAAAGAGAGAAAGGATAGTCAATGGGTAAGGTGACACCCAAAAATGTGTTACTGTAGCTTTTACAGTAACACATGTTACTGTAAAAGCCATGTTGACCAGATTGGATTGGTTCATAATCAATTATTCTCTTATAGTATGGAGGCATGTGAACTTCTATCTAAACATATGAGTTAATATACACATATCACAGTTTGGACAGAATTTTCACTTTAAATTTCAAAGTAACTATATTTTGAACTTAAGTGAACTCCTTAACATACAAATCACTGTATCCCTGGTCAGGACAAAAAGTATAGTCATGAACTAATAGGATTTAAAATTATCCAAGTTTAAATTAACAAGGATTTCCTATATATGTTAAAATTAAAAGATTTAGATCTTAACTTTTAATCTATCTTAAAATTATTAAAAAAGAGAAAAAAATATATATTTTTTAATTTTCTAAATTTTNAAGAAGAGGTAAACACTGCCCTGGCTACATATACAAATGATAATGAAAACTCCAACAAACCATCTTTGGATCCAAAGAATTTTAAAATTAGCAACATTTAGAACACTCATTGAACAAGCTTATATGCAAGAGGCTAAATGTATTAAAAAAATAATGTGAGACAGCATGGCTACAATTTAAATGCATCACTGACTAGCATTACTGAATTAGCCAAATGTTTAAAAAACAAATCAGACAGGAAAACAAACCAACAAAAACCAAACCAGAAATATGTAATATTTGAATTTGACACCAAGTTACACAAAATATAAACTGGCTTAGCAAAGAATATACAAATAAATATAGTGTTGAAAGAACTCCAACAATATTCAAATTATCCAATGTTTATAAAGTGTTATCACTCATCTAATTAATGTACGTACATTTCATCTTTGTTTTATCATCATGAAATTAAAAAGACTACTATTTTGTAAAAAAAAATGTCTAAGGACATAAGGAAGAGTAAAATTGGTCAGGTAAATTGTAGATCTAAACAGTAAGAATAACCAAAACCCTGAAGGCTATGAAGTCCAACTTGAACAACATCAAGTAAGAATGGTTTTGTCAAGGGCTGCAACAACAGCATCACGATGTCAAGCTTGACTTGAAGCTCTTCTCAATTCTTCAGTCTCTATTTTCTCATAAAAAATATTCCAACATAGAATTTCTAGTCTATAGATGTTTTGTATAACTGAAAACCAGTTTAAGTTATACATAAAAAGTTAGATTTGTTTGAAGAATATAAGTTTTAATATTTAATTTGCCTAAAAGTATTTAAAATTACATAATTTTTTCAGAAGATAGTAAACTTTTTACTGCAATGTTACAAAAATTTTCAGTTATTCAACTAAATTTAAATATGTATGCATTTTTAATAAATTTTAAAATTTTATCTTTTTTTCTTATGTTGTTTTTATACNTGATCGGATAACGAACACTCCACAGAACAAACACAAGAAGAAGTGACGTAAAATAATGAATACCGATTGGTTTTCCCTTGTCTTCGGGCAACAATCCGAAACTTTTCGGAGTGCGGGAGACGTCGACATCGACGCTCAAGCCGGTATATACCGATCGGATAGTATTCCTCTGAGCTTTGAAACTCTCCCTTGTAATTCCAGCCTTTTATTTTTCTGACAAAACAATTCTTATATGTATTTGTGAGACTGTCGGGTAGGCACTTGTTAAGTTTTGCATCTGTTTTTCTTTTCGAAAAGTGAGAGTATAATAGCACAGATAGAGAGTAGGCAGAAGATGCCTAATGTTGCTGGGCAATATGGTGCGAACAGGTCTACAGTAGGCCACAGTTCAATCTTATTTAAGTAAAATATTGTATTATCAAGAAGACTCAAACAGCTAAAGGAGTAACAAAAATCACGTCTGAGAAATAAAGAACATCGAAAAGTTCATAATGGAACCTGAAACGGATCTGACGACGGAAGAACGCCAAAAACTCTTGAATGAAGAACACCAAGAAACTCGGCAAAATATGTTTTCTTTTGAAAACGAGGATTAATGCCGATATCTGTTATTAAAGATCCTTTGAAGAAGTGGGAGGATGTCAGAACAATGGTCTTAGAATGGCATCCAAACCAGGTTGAGGCTTGGGGATTTCCACGATTGCAATCCTATTAATTACTTACGAAAAATCCTGAAGAAGAGAGAAAAACAATCGACATTAGACAGATTCTTTAACCCTTTCAAACGAAAAAAACATGACTAATAAAAACGCAAGACTGTGTACGTATGTATTTTTATTATTACATATAAATAAACGTAGTAAGAAAGTATATATTTTTTATTTTTGGGGTTCTCCAGAACGAATTAATTAAATTCCCATTAAAACCTATGGTAAACAGATAATCGGTTANAATATCTGACTTTAATTAAACTATTTTAATATGTTAAAAATTTACACAATTTTAGGAGTAAGGTCATTAATATTACACCTTGTCTATTGACATGTTTGCTTGTAAATTTCTGTTCTGATGGTAAAAACTGAAGAACATCTCTATTTGTACCAATAAAGTTCTTTCCAGGTAGAACATTAAAAATTTACTTCACAAGCAAATAAGCAATAAAAGATATTAGAGTATTTTATGACAAAAATCCAACATTATTTTCTGATCAACCTAATATATTCAAGTAATGAAATATAATTGATATTGTAAATGTGTTATATTTTCATTACTGAGCTAATTTCTCTGTATTTTTATAATGAAATTCAACTAGAGTTTTGCAGATTAACTTTTTGTAAAGGGTAATTTTATAACTATCAAAACAAAAATACTAGTGATAATAACTGAAACCTAAATTAATTTATAAAACTTTTAAGCTAAAATATTAATGTATTCATAAATTAACTATATTATGAAGTGTACAGAGTATTAATTCTGTGAAACATAACATTAGTATAGTTGTAAAGAAAATTTCAGATTTCAATTTTTATAGATGATTGGAAAAAAAAAAATATTCTAAAGATACAAATTAAATTAAATAAGGAGAAACTATTTTAAATTACCTGGCTAAAATTAAGTTTTTGTAAGCAGAATTAGCTTCAGGCCACATCTTCAATTTAGTAAAAAGTTCAGCCTTTTTCCTTGGCAAGAAGTCCAAAAATACTACTAACTTTTCTATATAATTAGGCAATATAAATTAACTAAAAATTTTTCAAATATTTAAATAATTTATATTTCTAATATTTAGAAATATGATTCAGAATATACAAAATCTCTGATTACTAGATTATATGAAAACAAATTTATCTTCTCTTTTATTGTCAAAATTAAAAACATTCCATTACCTTCAAATATAATTTAGTCATCCATTACAAAGAGTTGATCACATTAACAATATTTACTATTACAATAAAATTTTGGACAGTTTATCAATATTAAATTATGCAAAATAAAATTTAGCAAAATACTTAAGCAATAAAATTACAGTTACTCTTAAATGCTTTTACTTTTCCAAAATATTATTAATCCTTTTTGTTTATTATTATTAATAGTAAATTAAATAGTATACTTATTAACAAAACAAAATTAATAAATGTTTATAGAAATAATCACTTGTAGGTATAAGAACTGAAAGAACATTTCTTTCTCATTGAATTATTATTTGAAATGAA